TACTGGTCTGTCATATTGAGAGGGCATACTTAATAGAGGGAGGTGTGCACCAGTGGGCCGATCAAATTCCCCACCCCTCCCCCACTCCCCACCCCCACACCCTACACCCCCACACCTCCTCCCCTCACCCCCCACACCCCCTCCCCCCACCCCCCCCTCCCCCACACCTCCTCCCCTCCACCCCCCCTCCACCCCACACCCCCTCCCCCCACACCCCCTCCACCCCACACCCCCTCCCCCCCCACCCCCTCCCCTACACCCCCACACCCCCTCCCCTCCACCCCCTACACCCCCATACCCCCACACCCCCTCCCCTCCACCCCCCACACCCCCTCCCCCCACCCCCCACACCCCCTCCCCCCACCCCCCACACCCCCTCCCCTACACCCCCACACCCCCTCCCCTCCACCCCCATACCCCCACACCCCCTCCACCCCCCCACCCCCCACACCCCCTCCCCTCCACCCCCCCCACCCACACCCTCCACCCCCCCACCCCCACACCCCCTCCCCTCCACCCCCCCACCCCTCCTCCCCCCACCCCCCACACCCCTCCCCTCCACCCCTACACCCCCACACCCCTCCCCTCCACCCCCCCACCCACACCCCTCCACCCCCTACACCCCCACACCCCCTCCCCTCCACCCCTCACACCCACACCCCTCCACCCCCTACACCCCCCCACACCCTCCCTCCCCCCACCCCCCCACACCCCCTCCCCTGTGACTGTGTGTTTTGTGGGCGAGACTGCCGGTAGCTGCTGGAGTTCAAAAGCTCCTTTTGAGTGCCTGTGCGTAATGGCACGTCAATGGCAGTAATTAAGAACCCATGGTATAAAAATAGCTGTAGCGTTTGCTGTAAGTATGTGTTGTTACACCAGGAACAGAGCTGGTGAGCAAAATCTATACAGTTAAGAGTCAGCACTGCATTAACATCCTATAGCTGGAATTCACCAATACTCAAGCAAGTTGATGATAAACACCCCAAAGAATATATCATTGAAGTGGATCCTTCCCAAGTATGATGTGTCTTCTGTAACTGCTTCTGACTCGCCCACAAAATACATAGTCACTCCACTTTACAGTATATTCTGTGAAGCGCTTTGAAACGTCTCTAAGATGCGATATTCAATCCCAGGCAGAGGGCGAAACCTCGGGCAAGTTTCCTTACTCCACACAGAGCCTAATAATAATCCCTCCAAAACCAAAAACAATAATAAATTGGTCATTTTCAAACCACAACTGTTTGTGGGACATTGCTGTGCGCAATTGGCGGCCGCGTTCGCCCACAAATATACAGTCAATTCACTTTACAGTGTGTTCTGTGAAGCGCTTTGGGACGTCCTCCCGACGTGAAAAGCACTATATCAAATGCAAGGATTATTATTTATTATTATAGATTCAGAGTGAACAGCAGGTTATAAGTTTTTTTTAAAAATCTGTCTACGGCCAGAGACGGGCATTAACAAGGGCATAATCAGTTAATGACTGCCATCAACTTAGCTGCAGCCTCCAACCTTAAAAATATTCCTTAAATTCCTCAATACAAAACAGAAAAACTTATTTTCATATATTTTTTAAAAAACTCCATATCGTGTGCTACAGTATTTGCTGATGTTGTTAGACTTGCAATTTCAGTCTTTGGGTTGGGGGGAAATTGGTTGTTGTGTTTACATGAGCTGGAGAACAGAAACCTGGCCTTCACACTAACTGTTGTAGTTCAGAGTTGCCTCCCTGCATTAGCTCATCAGAAATTCCTGCTCCCCGTCTCTGTCTCTCTCCAACACTGCTTTCATTACGTTACCAACTGGAATCAAAACTGAAACCCAGCTCCTTAAAGGGGAGCGAGCTGGCTTGCAGGAAGCAGCACTGGTTCAGCACGATCAGTGTCACTGAGCAGAGAGAGGAGAGGGAGGGAGAGAGAGACAAAGTATATTGAAGATTTTATTTCAGATTTCCAGCATCTGCAGTATTTTGGCTTTTATTAAGGTATATTGAGGTGTGAGGCTGGCTGGTTTCTGTAGGCAGGACACACACACACACTGGCAGGATGAGCTTGGACAACCAACAAATCAGGCTGGGGCTCATAGAGTGTTTCCGCAGTCGGCTGGTGGCCATTGTCCAGGCAGAACCATTGCTAGACTTCATCACCTTCATCCCAGCTGCGGAGAGAGAAGAAATCCGCTCTGTGGGTCGTCAGAATGGAAACCAGGCGGCTGTCCACCTCCTGCTCAACAAGGTCAACACAAACTCAGGGGTCGAAGGCTGGTTTGGAGAGTTTATCACAGCCCTGAACAGAACAGGGTGTTCTCATGGAGCTGCTTATGTCACCCCCGAGGCCTCTGACCTGGTCTCCCCCGAGCTGGAGGCTCGCAACGACCTTGAAGTCAAGCTCATCATCTGCCTGACACCAACTGTCATCGACAACCTGTCCCCAGATGAGGTCTCTGTACACTGTTGCGCTGCAGATATCTTAACAGAAGATGACAAGGAGAAAGTAAGTAGCATTTTATTTTCACTCCTGCCTAACGCAGGCACAATCTGCCATTGAATTTCATTTGGAATGCATCATAGCTTTGGGCCAACACCCAATTAGTGATCCACTGTCAACTAACTTCATACTATTTTGCAGCTGTACAAAGAGCATCCCTTGTTTATGCTGCCATTTGCCAGGTCATATCAGTTCTGACGCTAGTTACTCAAAGCAGGAAGTAGAATGTAAATGTCTCACTCCCAATGTGTCTTGCTGGGATTGAGGTTAGCTCTGTGCCTGTATAGTCAACTGCTGAATAGTGTGAGATTTGTTCATATAATTAAAGTTTCGCTCACAAAACACAGTCAATCTACTTTACAGTATATCCTGTGAAACGCTTTGAGACGTCTCAAACACGTGATAAGACACTATATCAAATGCAAGGATTAATATATCTTTTCTAAAATATGTACTACTGTTTTAGTGGTACAAACTGTCATGACATAAATGACTGGAAATGAAGGTTTTATCTTGTAAAGTACATTAACTGCCTGGTTATTTTGTCCTCCTGTAACTGTGGGACGATGCCTGAATTGAGCATTTGAGCATTGGCACAGTTTATTAATAATAACAATAATAAAATCCTTTCATTTGATATAGGGTTTTTATCACGTCTTCGAGACGTCTCAAAGCGTTTCACAAAATATACTATAAAATCAAATGACTGTTTTGTGGGTGAAAAGCAGCAGCCAATTGCGCACAGCAGCGTCATAATAATAATGCAGAATGTCTTACTGCCATAACGATAATGCAATAACAACAATTGACATGAACACAGACCTTTTCACGTCGGGAGGACGTCCCAAGGCGCTGGACAGTCAGGGGTTTGGACCCGAGCTGGGGGTTGGGATCAGGAGGGGTGGAGGGCGGGGAGAGTAGGGGTAGGAGGGTGGCCTGCTCCTGCAGATTGTATAGATGTGTTGGGTGCCATGTTTGCTGATGCTAATCCAAAGCCTCGTATTTAGATCTTAAGTGAAATGAAACAGCGTGGAAAACAAGCAGCAACTCGGGAGTTACTCAGTAGAATAGTGATGAAGCCTCCTGGCTGGTTCTCCAAGTTCTTGGATATTCTGAGAAAGTCTGGCCATGAGGACCTGGCAGAAATACTATCTGGTGATGATAGTTCACTTGACATTGCAGGTAAATAATGAAATATCGCTGTTATTAAATTTCATAATAAGTAAATTTCATAATAAATATTAAAATATATCACTAACATTAAATAATATGTTTAAACTGTATTAATCAATATAAAGCTATATTGCTTGCAGTGCATTTGCTTATTAAGATACATATTGGAACCTTATTTATTTACTGTTATTTATTTATTTATTTATTTACTGTCACGTGCACACCATCTCTCACGCTCTCGTCCTCTCTTTCTCACCCACTCGCTCTCATTGTGGAGTCCTGTAGCTCAGTGGTTAGAGCACTCGCTTTGCAAGCGAGAGACCTGAGTTCAATTCCAGGCAGAGGGCGAAACCTTGGGCAAGTTTCCTCACTCCACACAGAGCCTAATAATAATCCCTCCAAAACCAAAAACAATAATAAATTGGTCATTTTCAATCTACGACTGTTTGTGGGACATTGCTGTGCGCAATTGGCTGCCGCGTTCGCCCACAAATATACAGTCAATTCACTTTACAGTGTGTTCTGTGAAGCGCTTTGGGACGTCCTCCCGACGTGAAAAGCGCTATATCAAATGCAAGGATTATTATTATTATTATTATTACTGTTGAAATGGTGAGGTCATGGAGTTATAAGGTTGACCTGCAATACACAGTCAATTCACTTTACAGTATATTTTGTGATCTTTGAGGTTGTATTATTTATTATTTATCATAATTATTTGTTGCCCAGAACCAGCAGACCTGGAGAACACGGTAAATGAGGCCGACACAGAGCAATCAGTCCAGAAGGTTGACCAGACAGACCAACTGTATGTTAGCCCCGCGACTGATGGAGAAATTTGCCTAAGGAGTGAGGAGTCTGATGAAAACCCTGCACTGCTGGACACATCCCTGTTGGATTCATCCGTGAATTCAGGTAAGAATGGCAGCAACAGGTATTTTCAGTAACCTTGATTAAATGGCGGATAATAATAATAATAATAACCCTTGCAATTGATACAGCGCCTTATCACGACCTCAAGACGTCTCAAAGTGCTTCATAGAATATACTGTAAAGTGAATTGACTGTATATTTTGTGGGTGAAACGCGGCAGCCAATTGCGCACAACAGCGTCCCACAAACAGTCGTGGATTGAGTGACCAAATTATTATTAAAACATTTTGAAAGGATTATTAACCCCAGAAAGGCAATCCGCCAATCGACTAACAACTGGGTTCCTATTTACTGCTAGGTTAAACAGAGACGTGGGGAGTAAGGAAACTTGCCCAATGTTTTGTCCTAAGTAATAGAATCCACAGAAAACTCCCTGCCAAGTGTCATATAGAGGCAATTGGAACAAAAGAATTCCAGCAGCAAACTAGTGTGAACGAACACATCAGAGAATGCAACCGAATAATACAAATGTTGAAATGGTAAAGGAAACTGAAATCAAAACCAATGTTATGAAACCAGAAGAAAGGATCATAGATGTAGGTAATTTCCCCAAGTCACAATTACTGGGCCTTTCCAGGGAAGTGATATGTTGTTGCTGAATTGCGGACATCAGGATTATTATAATTCTTGAGAATTAGCCCCCCCCCCCCCCGGCCCCCCAGCATAACCGCTCCTGATCTTGTGATAAAGGGAAATGGCATGGCACCGCTCCCTTTGCCTATTAGTTAATGAGTAATTTACTCTTCTTTGGATACACTTACTCTCGTTTGTGCCAGCCAATTAGTAAATTGTACAGTAAAGTAAAACTGATAAATATAAAGCTTATTCCAAGACAGAAACAACCCCATTCATTGGCAGAACATCTTGTCAACTCAATTCCCAATTCCAGGTTGACAACCTCAAAGATCACAGTGTCACAGCTGATCAGGGTAACATTTGATGCCTTGACAATGTGCTATCTGCCACTCTACCCAACACACTGTGTGGAAGCTACCCAACAGGTTAGCAGCTTTTACTAATGACTAATGTCAGGCTCCAGGAGTAAACACGCTAATCTTAAACATCAAAGTACTTTTAAATAAGGACTTTGCGTTATGTTTTGATTCGTGAATATTAGTCAAATGGAGTGCCCTGGTTTCCATTCATATCTGAACCGGAATGAAAGTTAGTGCCACTGTCACAACAAACCAATCAGCTGCTTCTTCCCGTCCCAGCACTTCTTTTTAAAAAAAAGAGCTAGCTATCTGGTTTATATATAAACACAATTCTGTGCTCCGATGCCCTGATTACTTGGAATAAAATAAACAATTTGGTTTCATTGGAAGCTGTAGTGCCAGTACACTTCTGTGTATTCCTTCCCAGATATGAAATAGGTGGAGACCTGTAACTCAATGGTTAGAGCACTCTCCTCGCAAGCGAGAGATCCTGGGTTTGATTCCCGGGCAGGGGGCGAAACGTTGGGCAAGTCTCCTTACTCCACACACGCCTCTGTTTACCAGCATTAAGTAGGAACCCGGTTGTTAGTCAATTGACGGATCATTTTCTGTGGGTAAATAAATAATAATAATTTGGTCACTCAATGCACGACTGTTTGTGGGACGCTGCTGTGCGCAATTGGCTGCCGCGTTTCACCCACAAACTATACAGTCAATTCACTTCACAGTGTATTCTTCGTGAAGCGCTTTGAAACGCTTTGAAGACGTGATAAGGCGCTGTTTCAAATGCAAGGGTTATTATATTGGATAGGTATATAGTGGGTGGCAGCCAAGGCGGGGTGGGGGGGGGGGTTAAGGGGAAAAACATGATCAAAAAGGTAAGTTTCAGCAGAAGTAGAAGAAATATGTATTGACAATGAATCAAGTGTCACATTTTAATGTCCGTCTTTCTGGTACAGTCGTTAAAATTATTGGCAAAGTGATCATGCTTTTCAATCTAGCCAAATTATTTCTAGAACTGATCGATCATTGCGCGGATACAAATTCAGGCAAACTCTCGCAGAATTCAGAAAGGTGCATTAGTGCAACTTTTGAATAGATTGGAATTAGGTTTCATTTGGTGTACGCTCTGCATTCTGTCAAGAGATGGTGCTGTTTTCACATGTTGTAGATGTGATTACATTTACATATCAGCTGAGGGAGCACTTTGCTGCTTAAATTACATCCCCCAAAAATATATACTGTATTTTACATTTAGCTCCTGTTAACCCTGCAAGCCAAAGCTCAAGAGGTAGGGTGGACCTAGCAGCGGGAAAGCCATTGAGAGAAATGCCAGACAGCGCTCTCAATGGCAAGCTATGAAGTCCTGTAACTCAGTGTTTAGAGCGCTCGCCTGATAATAATCCCTTAAGAAAAAAATAATATATCAGTCACTCCAGTCTATGACGGTTTGTGGACGCTGCTGGGCTCAATTGGCTGCCGCGTTTCACCCACAAAATGCAGTCGCTACACTTTATGCAGTATGGTCTATGAAGCCCTTTGAGACGTCTCGAAGATGTGAAAAGCGCTATATCAAATGCAAGGATTATTATTATGTGGGTTTAGCTGGTTAGACTCCAGCAGTTACCCCAATGCACACTTTGGAGTCCCCAAGCCTTGGCTCCTGCCAACCTGCACCAAATACCATGATATTGTGATTTGCCGGCTTATAAAATGAGGCTGTGAAACAATGTGTTCAGTTTCGGGCCCCGCACCTCAGGAAAGATATATTGGCTCAGGAGAGGGTGCAGAGCAGATCCACCAAAATGATACCAGGGCTCAAAGGGTTAAATTATGAGGACAGGTTGCATAAACCTGGTCTGTATTCCCTTGAGTTCAGAAGGTTGAGGGTGATCTGATTGAGGTCTTAAAAATGATAAAGGGATTCAACGGAGTAGCTACAGAGAAACTATTTCCTCTGGCAGGGAATCCAGAACAAGGGGGGCATCATCTTAAGATTAGACCCAGGCCATTTAGGAGTGAAATCAGGAGGCAGTTTTTCACCCAAAGTGTAGTAGAAATCTGGAACTCTCTCCCCCAACAGCCTGTGGATTATGGCTGGATCCATTCACCTTTTCAAGACTGAGGTGGATAGATATTTGTTATGTCAGGAATAAGGGATACGGGGCAAGAGCGGGTAATTGGAGTTCAGGTACAGATCAGCCATGATCTAATAGAATGGCTTGAGGGGCTGAATGAATGGCCTTTTCCTGTTTCTATGTGCCATGTTTGATATTAAATACAGATTTTTTTCCTTCCTTCTCCCCCCACAGAATCATCCCAGCATTCAGTAGCTACAAATAACCACAGTTTTAATGACAGTCTTCCAGAGAGTGGAAGCTGCAGCATGTCTGGAGGGGAGACCTCCTATTCGGGTAAGATTGTGAAAGTGGTGGAACGCAAGAAACTAATAAGATGTTTCTTTACTCGCTTGTGCCGAAATAAACCCGCGTTAGCCAATTAAACACGTGCTCAATCCGCAAATGTTTTTGGGACACTGCTGTGCACAATCGGCTGCCACATTTCGGCCACGTTTTTTTGAAGCTCCCTTGAGATGTGTTAAGGCACTATATCAAATGCAAGGATTATTATTATAACGCTGAATTCTTTACATTTTCAAATGTTCCATTGATGTGCTGTACCAGAATAATCCACACAGAGGCAATGCAGTATTAGACACACAAGTTGTGGAGTACTGAACATCATATAAAACTCATACACGGAGATCTGCTTGAGGTGTGGTCTAAGGCAGGAGGAATATTATCACATCTGCTTCTATTGGAATACCCCATGCTCATTAAAACAACGATGACAACAACAACAAATTACATTTCTATCTGGCCTTTCACTTCAGGAGGACATCCCAAGGCAGGAATTTGGACCCGAGCTGGGGGTTGGGATCAGGAGGGGTGGAGGGCAGGGAGGGTGGAGGGTAGGAGGGTGACCAAAGGGGTGGTCGAAGAAGAGGGTCTTGATACAAATAAACAGCAAGAATATTACATCTCACTATCAGAGAGTATTATCGGAATCGAGCCCCCACCCTCTGTGACGGTTTCTAGTCCGGTTCCTGAGCCAGGGAGGTCCGCAGTATCCCAGGGCACTCAGTGCTGATGACAGCACAGCTCACCCCGGCTGATCGGCAGGACCTGGAATCCTCCCACTCAGTTCGTGGTGACCCTGCAGCCAAAGCCCTAATGGATAGAGGTCATCATGAGAGTGGAGAGGAGAGAGTGCTGGCTGCCCTGCTTTCTGTGTTGCTATATACATAATTGGAAAGCTATAAAAACAAGTGAAAGGTAGTCACATTTTTATTGCAGCATTTCATGCTATAAAAAGTAACAGAAAATAGAAATATTGGCATTTACGTTTATGGTCGGATAAATCTTTGAGTGCCATCGCTTTGTTGACACATGTTTGTGCTTGCTTTACTTCAGGACATTGCCTTACCTACACTTAAATAATAACTTCTGACATGTTCATTCGCAAAGCTACAAGAAAGCTTAGCGTTGCTGCTTTATATGATGGGTGCCATTTACATGACTATGGTTCTGGTAACACTGTCATATATATATAGGTGATAGATATCATGACCCAAAAGTGTACGACAGGTCTGATCAGATGTAATGAATGCACTGAAGAAGATTGAGTCTGATTGTTTCTGCCATGTTGTGGAGTCCTGTAGCACAGGGGTTCAAGCCCTTGCCTCGCAAGCTGGAGACCTGGGTTTGATTCCCGGGCAGGGTGAAATGTTGGCCAAGTTTCCTTTTTCCACACTCCTCAGTTTACCTAGCAGTAAGTAGGAACCTGCTCTTTAGTTGTTTGGTGGATGGCTTTTCCGGGTGTACTAAACCCTTTTTAAAAAAATTTGGTCACTCAATCCACGACTGTTTGTGGGACACTGCTGTGGGCCTACAAAACACGCAGTCACTACACTTTGCAATATATTTTGTGAAGCACTTTGAGACACCTCAATGACGTGATAAGATGCTATATCAAAATCAAGGATTATTATTATAATTACTTTTTAATAACTGATAGAAGGCAAACAGCAAGTTAAATATCATTTTTCAGTATTTTTCTAGCCATTCCTAGAATTATATTGTCCCTCGCTCTTGCTATCATCCCCATCTTTAATGTTTTTTTGATGAAGGAATTGTAAATCTTAAGTGGAAACATTGAGTACTGCCAAATGCTGTAAGGTCAGATATTTCATCATACCATATGTTGTGTCAGGAAAAGATAGATAGTAAGTAGCTTGAAGACATTTAGTTTCCTGCATTTGCAGGGGATAATTTGAACCTTATGAACTAATATTTTTATAAGATTTTAAGGCGAAATGTGGGTGACAAAAAATTTGTGGAATGTAATCTTTTACCAAACATATTGTGTTGCGAGGCTTGGTTTGGTGCGATAAGGTAGGATACACAGTGAGCAGCAAGTACTCTTGAAAACTAGCCTAGGTTGATGGCAGAAAAATCTCTGTCACTCTGCCAGCTGTGAAGGTCCAAGGTAAGAGGTTTGTGTGGTCTCAACCCACTTCCTAATTGGTGTGAGTTCATCCTTTACCCTCCCTCCCCCCTCCAACAAAAAAACTGCCCCAACATGTCTCATCTCTTGCATACTCATTGGATGGCTGGAGTGAGAATCTGCCAGATTTCCACTAGAGGTGGGTTCAGGCAGATTGTTGGCATAGACTAGGGGGAGCTGGATTCTGTAGTTAGCTTTGCTATAGTTGGATGCTGGGCATCAAAATGGAAATCGCTCCCATTGCACAGCACTGACATTCTTTCCCCTGATCACCACAGGAATATATTCTCTTTTCCACCCAAAGCACACAAGATTAAAGTTATATTGAAATTGCTATCAAGCGGCTCATTTGTGGTTTGATATTGGCACAACGCAATGTTTTTTTTTTAAATTGCTGATTAACACATTTTCTTTCTATTTGACAGGTAATTATGCCACAGTTTTCAGGTTGACCTCTCTGCCTCTCTCTGCTGGATTAGTATATCCTGTGGTTAGAGTTTGCAGTTGCTAAGTGACACTCAGTACATAAACACTACCCAATATCTACATGGAGACCTGTAGCTCAGTGGTTAGGGCATTCGCCTCGCAAGCGAGAAGACCTGGGTTCGTTTCCTGGGCAGGGCAAAATGTTGGGCAAGTTTCCTTACTCCACACAACTCCGTTTACCTAGCAATAAGTAAGATTGTTAGTCAATTGGTGGATCACGTTTCCGTTTTTTCATCCCAAAAGTTAGAGATGGTATCCAGAACCTTTGATTAATGGTGGACTGTGTGTGGGGAGTACATAAAAGGGAATTCATATTTCCAGGCCTATATCTTGGCTACAGGATCTTCCCAAAAGTTTAACTTGATATGTGATAAGCTAAACTATCTGTAAAAGTTCTTAATTTGATGACATTGTTGACCGAATTAATACTCGTGTCAATCTCCCTCAGCTGTAAGCGCTTTCACCTTTGAGTCAGAAGCTCGTGGATTCAATCTCTATTTCAGGACCTGAGCTTGTGGTTTAGGCTGACACTGCCAACGTGGTAGGCACTGGAGGAGCTTTGCAATGTATATAGGGCCCTTCACACCGGGTAGCAATCTGTCTGTCATTCGGACGAGATTTTAAACCAATAATAATAACAATCCTCGCATTTGATATAACTCTTTATCAAGACGTCACAAAGCGCTTCACAGGATACACTGTAAAGTGAATTGATTGTATATTTTGTGGGCGAAATGCGGCAGACAATTGCACACAGCAGTGTCCCACAAACAACCGTGGATTGAGTGACCAAATTATTATTTTTTTAAATTTTGAAGGCATTATTACCCCCGGAAACGTGATCCAGCAATCGATTAAAAACCGGATTCCTATTTGCTATTAGGTAAACAGAGGCAGGTAAAACCAAACAAAGGTTTGTTTATTTAGTTTCAGTAAAACTAAAGCAAGGTGGTTACACTGAAGCAAACAGGGTTAAGCTGGTCAAAGGTTTGTTGTGAAGGACAATCAGGAAGTTCCTTCCAGTGAGGCTCCGATGATTTACAATTGTGATAAAGATAAAGCAAACATCAGCTTACTTTGAAGTGACCTTTACAAACTATTCACATCAGCACATTTTCAGAGTTCATTGCCTTGTGCCCCTTTGCTTTGCTTGATAGGTTAACCTTCCCTTAATATATGATAATCATGATAAGATTATTCATCTATTTAGATGGGATTTACGAGCAATGAATTGGTTTACAGGGTTGTCGAGACTTTTAAAACGCAACTTTTAGCCAGTCATGTTCAGGTAAGAGAAGCTCATTGATCTATTTAGCCTACGATACCTAACTTCCCCAAAGATACCTTCAAAACCACTTTGTATCAATTGTTTGAATAAGGTTTATCAGCTCCAAACATTTTAATTTCATTGTCGAGATTCGAAACACAGCTTTTGAACGTCTTAATATGTGTACGCATCATCCCCAATATTGTTAATCATTTTGTTCTTTCCCTCAGCCACAAATAGAAATTGTGTTATGTCATTTACAATCGTTATTGTTGTTGCCGTTGAGTAATTAAGTGCTACTTTTCAGGGAATATGTGGGAAATAGAGTCAAATCCATTCTGACAGGTTGCTTGTGGCAATATAGTCAAGGTAATTGATTCTTGATCTAAAGACTGATCTCTAGTGACACCTGAATGCATTAATTTGCGCACCATTTCATTCTTGTGTCTGTCAGGAACCAAAGGTGCAAATTATTTTCATTTGCCCTTCAGAAAAAATAAACCTTATCTTTTAATAGAAAATCAACCATGGCTTAACTATAATAATAATAATCATCCTGGCATTTTATATAGCACCTTATCACGTCTTTGCGACATCTCAAAGTGCTTCATTGAATACGCTGTAATGTGAATTGAATGTATATTTTGTGGGTGAAACATGACAGCCACAAACAGTCGTAGATTCGGTGACCAAATTATTATAATTTTTTTCAAGGGATTTACAATTCACAGTTCTTTTAACTTGTACTTGCACGGATCATGTTGTGCAATAATAATGCGGGTTTGTCAGTTAATATAAATAGAGGGAAAGAATTGGCCTGAACTAGAGGAGACTGTGACCTATGGAATGTTATCCAAGGTTGATTTGTACTTAAAAGCAGCGTAATGTTTGTTATATCTATTTCACAATTCTTTAACATGCCTTTAACACCAGTTAACCACTACTGCACTAGTTGTAAAAGGGAAGAGACTTCCTCCCTGTATCCTGACCATCAATCCCCAAAGTAAAATTGGTCATTCACTTCATGGCTGTTTGTTGCTGTGCACAAATTGGCTGCCGCATTTGCTTCAGAGCGAAATCCTGTGTGTGAAGCGCTTGGAGACATCCTCCTGACATGAACGGGACTACAGTATATCAAAGGCAAGGATTATTAATACAAAGTTTGAGGAAAAGTCACAAAAAGCTCCCAACTTGTTTGTAAAGTAAAATCGTAAGAACTTCCAGCCATTCCGTGTCATTTTCATGACATGACTGTGCTGCAACGGATACACAGCTCTGAGGACCTGCCAAGGGAGGCGAAAGCTTTTGGAATGAAAGCCCTTCAAGAATTCTCCCAAGGTCCTGCACCATTCCTTGTTCCCTTTCTCAGAGGATTGATTTACAAAGCGCAGAGATTAATCCTAATGTAATTCTATGTCGTACTAAATCCTCTGCAGATAAAATGATCACCATTTCAGTATGTTTTTGGCCAACACAAGAGAAAATCACAGGAGCTTAACATCTTGCATATTGCTGAGGCTTTTTATTAGGATTCTCAACAGCTGTATCCAACAACATCTTTTTACCATTACCCACAGTATAAAGTCAGTCGTTTGCAGCTGACTTTGTGATGATGTTACCGATCAGTGACTCTCACTGTGACTGAGCTGTGAACGATTACAGATGCAGATTTTTAAAAGTCAGTGGTTTGAGTCTAGTGCAAGCTCTCCTGCTCCTTAGCATAAAAACATAAGAATTTGCTAGACAAAAGATGACCAAATTCACCTTCCACCATCCTGGCAGTCGCTTGCACGTGGTCCTGTCCCAAACTTGACAAAAAAGTCTTCCTTTTCATTGTTTCATTCTGATGCACTCCCTTGGGTCCAACAGCAGTAATTCCACTGGTAGATTTTAAAAAGCTGAAGAACCTAAATTTCCCGCAAAATTACAAATTTACAAAATTACAAGTGGAGTCCTGTAGCTCAGTGGTTAGAGCACTCGCTTTGCAAGTGAGAGACCTGAGTTCAATTCCAGGCAGAGGGCGAAACCTCGGGCAAGTTTCCTTACTGCACACAGAGCCTAATAATAATGTCTCCAAAACCCAAAATAATAATAAATTGGTCATTTTCAATCTACGACTGTTTGTGAGACATTGCTGTGCGCAATTGGCTGCCGCGTTCGCCCACAAATATACAGTCAATTCACTTTACAGTGTGTTCTGTGAAGCGCTTTGGGACGTCCTCCCGACGTGAAAAGCGCTATATCAAATGCAAGGATTATTATTATTATTAAATGAAAGTTTACCTTCCTTCCACATTTTCAAGTCGCGCCTGAAGACCTTCCTTCTCAACTGTTCCTACGGTCACCTCCCCCTTTCCCCCCGGCTCAGTGTCGTGCTCCGCCACTGTCCAGCGCTCTGGGACACTGCCCTGTGTGAGGGGGCGCTGTGTAAATGCAAGTTGTTGTTGTTGTCTGTTTGTTCACACTGGGTATGTTGGTCCACTGACACATCAGTAAACATGGTGTAAAACATTCTGTGTCAGCCTTGCTGTCTATCTGGCAATGTCATCTCATGCTCTGAATCAAAGCTGTTTATGTAAATGTTCCAGATTCAGACGATGAGAGCACACGAGGGGGGAGAGGGTCACCGGTTCCCGAGATCAAGCTCAGAGATTATCAGCAGGAAGTGGCAGTTCCCGCTCTGGAAGGTAAAAACATCATCATCTGCCTCCCCACAGGCAGCGGGAAAACCAGAGTGGCTGTCTACATCACCAGGCATCACCTCAACAACATGAAGTGTCAGGGCAAAACCGGCAAGGTCATCGTGCTGGTCAACAAGGTAAATTATTCTGGGGGAGGCTACATGGCTCTTAAGGGGACCATTTGGAGTGGGGGGTGATCACCGAGTTTTCTAGCTCAGTGGTTAGAGCACTTGCCTCGCAAGCAAGAGAACCTGGATTTGATTCCTGAGCAGGGCGAAACGTAGGGCAAGTTTCCTTAACCATCACTTCAATCCCCGACTGTGGAAGGAATGTATATGTAGATGTAACTAAAAGGCACTTGTTATTCTATTTATCCAACAACTCATAGATGTTACATCAAGTTTTGTAAAATGTGTCTCTCGTGCATCTGACTGTTGTGACAAAAATAAGGTGAGGAAGTGACCTCAACTCTGGGGCAAAGAATAACTATTCCCAACAGACAAATATAAGTCATGAAGAAGCCATCTTCAAAGTAGTACTTTCAGGAAACCTGTGTCTCACTGTGTAGCCGTCATTGTGTTTGGAAAATTCTATACCTTACTGTGCACAAAGGGTCTCTGATATTAAGTGGGAGGTGAAGAGTTGGCAGTCAAGTGATGATTGGTTGGCAGTCACGTTTCACCCACAAAATATATACAGTCAATCCATTTTACAGTGTATTCTGTGAAACGTTCTGAGACTTCTTGACGTGATAATCAAATGCAAGGATTATTATTATTATTACCATCATAGGACAGATTGGCACTGAAACCTATTGACGTATGACCAATACTTGCTGATCACCTTAAGAAATTCTATACTTGCACAACACAACCAAGTTTGCTAAATTTACACACTGCGAAGAATGGTTTCTATAGACCTTCACCTTTCAAGAAAACTGTTTGACTGAATATAAACTGAAAAATTAATATCCTTCAGTCAGAACATCATAGTTGCGTTCAGCTACAAGTGACTGTTTGACGTAACTCATACTCTGGACAAGTCATATTAAATGTATGCTCCCAACAGATACGACTTGTGTGCGGTTTACTATAGTCTAGTCGTATTCTAGTTGAATTAGATCAGCAAAAAAATGTACCAATAAATATGTTTTGATTTGGGATGTTCTCCAGGTGCCTTTAGTGGACCAGCATTTCCGTAAGGAATTCAACGCTTTCCTGAAGGATAAATACAGCGTCAGCAAAATAAGTGGCGACACCCAGCTAAAGATCTCCTTCCCTCACGTGGTCCGACAGAACGACATCATTATCTGTACAGCACAGATTCTGGAGAATCAGCTGGCTGGGCTAAATTGCGATGATGAGGATGATGATGATGACAGCCTGAAACTCTCTGGTACCTGTTTGTTTGTTGTGAATACATCATTTGAAATCGTTTGCACTTGTCTAACTGGTCATTTTAAGCTCCTGTCATCAAATTTTGCCGTGTGATTTTTGACGGCTTTTATTCTTCATTTTCCACCTCAACAACAACAGATGATATTGTGATATTTCCCATTGGAAGGATGTACCAAGGCACTGGACAGTCAAAGGTTTGCATCTGAGCTGGGGGTTGGAATCAAGAGGAGTGGAAGGTAGTAGAGGGGAGGTGAGATGGTGGAACGGTACGGTCAAAGAGAAAGATCTTGAGACGTGAATCCAATCAGATGTGCTTTGTGGTTCCTTGTGTTGGTGCTCAAGAAGAGATAGGTAGGTACTTGAGAAGTGAGGGTATTGAGGGAGATGGAGGAAAGGGGAGAGTTTAGGCTGAGGGAGATAAGGAGGTGTCACCTTAGAAATAGAACAGTGGCGATTGCTCATGAGCCCAATCCTGGATCCCGTTTCCATATTCCTGCATAAGGAGTTCAGTCCAGACTTAATCTTTAAATAAGATTTCTGTGGCAGATGTTTCTGCATATTCCACTGGAAGTCAACAGAGACCAAGGGTGTTTTCTTCATGTTTTATTGCATTCCAAGGCTAACATTTCGGGTAAGGTTGCTGACCTATCACTTGATGGATCACTAACTGGTGTGTGATGTCTAACTAGTTCCACATGTTATTAACCACTTTGTTTTTTGAATGTTCTTTTCTTGACACAAACCACTTCAGAAACGTTACTTGATGGAAAATTGTTTGTTATCTTTCCCATTTTAACGGCGACTGATTTATTTTGGCCAAATAGAGACTATAAACTTGCGTGTTTTCACTATGTCATGAATATGGATGAAAATACGTTTGGTAAAAATTTTAACCGCAGTTTAATGATGCTGCAATGTTCTGACTTTAACGGAATTAATTCTTAATACTTTGTTCTTACCAGATTTCACGCTGATAATAATTGACGAGTGTCACCACACCCAGAAGGAAGGTGTGTACAAGAGCATAATGACCCGATATATTGAACAAAAGCTGAAGAACAAGAAGGGGGATGTGATTGAGCCCCTTCCACAGATTTTAGGATTGACGGCATCGCCTGGCGTGGGTGGGGCAAAGAACAGAAAGGCAGCACAGTCTCATGTCTTACAAGTAAGGATTTGTATGTTTACGTGAATAGAATAACACAGGATAAATCTACAACAGTTAACTCGAAAAATACAAATAATAATAATAACAATCCTGGAATTTGATATAGCGCTTTTCACATCTTCTCGACGTCTCAAAGTCCTTCACAGAATATACTGTAAAGTGAATTGACTGCATATTTGTGGGCGAACGCGGCAGCCAATTGCGCACAGCAATGTCCCACAAACAGTCATGGATTGAAAATGACCAATTTATTATTGTTTGGTTTTGGAGGGATTATTATTAGGCTCTGTGTGGAGTAAGGAAACTTGCCCAAGGTTTGGCCCTCTGCCTGGAATTGAACCCAGGTGTCTCACTTGCAAAGCGGTGCTCTAACCACTGAGCTACAGGACTCCAGCCTTCTTGTAACCCCATCAGTGGAGCTAGCACTTCAAATCATTACAATTCTAATAATAATTTGGTCACTCAATCCCTGATTGTCTGTGGGACACTGATGTGCACAATTGGCTGCCGCGTTTCGCCCACAAAATGCACAGTCACTACACTTTACAGTACATACTCTGAAGGCGAGCGCTCTAACCACCGAGCTACAAGACTCCACATTTTGTCGCAAATTCCATTACAAATTGAAAACTTTTGATGAAGGTGGTTGCTCATCGAGGAAAATTGGGCAAAGGACAAAATTATATTCTTTGAGCATTTATTTGGATTTAACTAAGAGATTGTGCTCTTTTTGGGTTTCCTAGATTTGCGCAAACCTGGACGCCTATCGAATAATGACTGTACAGAATTTCCAGAAACAGTTAAAAGATCAAGTGAAGGAACCTGTCAAAAAGATGGAGATTGCAGAAGAAAGAAGAGAGGTACAGACATTGAGTTGCTAACATTTCCCTTAAAAGGCAGCAGAATTTATTTTCATTTACAACTGATCCTAACTTCCTTAAGAGTGTGTTCTTTTGAGTAGGAATTTTGTTATCAAGTGGTCTGCTCGTAAGAGCTGTTTTTAATAATATTATAACAATAATAATCAACTTTCCATTATATTTGAATAAGATGGAAGGAAGGAAGCAAGCAAGCCAAAATATGTGCTGCCACACCAGACCTGTCTCTTGTGTTAATCTTTTTGGACATTTATATTTCCTATCACTTAAACCTTTCTTTTTTTTATTTTAATTCCAGTGAATAATTGCCTCATTAGTAGTTCAACTAGAGGTGAACTCTTATTGTCAGATCCAAATTTCCCAGCTTGGCTCTTGATACCGAGTGACTGGGAATATTCCTGTGACCGATTTGCTTTCCCCCTTGATATTTGCAATGGTTCAAAGTATACGACATCTGTCAGATCAGATGGTGCCCAAACTGGTAATAACGGCTTTCAATCTGTTCTCAATTCCTTCCTCTCCTCTGTTTTTTTTTCATTTTCATTTAGTGAAATAATCGATGGCAATTGAGAATGAATGAAACCTAACATTTTACTTAACATGTTATATAAATGACAATCTAATGAACGTTAGATATATTAAATATATCAAATAACCAGAAAAAGGTATCAAATACGTTATATCAAATAAGCAGATAAACGTTAAATGAATAGGAGACTGTATAAGTTACCAAAGTAATGGAAATTCATTTCTCCACACATTTTAAGGATCCTTTTGGAGATCGAATCAAGCAAATGATGAACAAAATCCACACTTTTCTTGAGCAAGCAGCGACCACAGATTTTGGAACTCAGTCTTACGAGCAATTGATTGTACGAATGTGTTCTACAGGTTAGATTAAAGTCTTCATTTACGTCGACAGTAATCAGTGATTCACAGTTCTTTCTTTATACGGTGATAACATAACTTGTTCCAATTTAAAGAGTCATTGGCTGGTTCATTAGGGAAACAAATAAAATTGTTATAGAAAGATTGATATTGCAGAGTGCATATACAACAACAATTTGTACTTATATAGCGCCCTTCACACAGGGTAGTATCCTGGAGTTCTTGACAGTGGCGGAGTCTGACCCCGAGCCGGGGGGAGAGGGAGGGGGGAGGTGACAGTAAGCACGATCAAAAGTTTCGGTGCTTAGTGGCTGAAGGCACGAACACCGATGGCAGAGCAGATGAGGGACACAGATGTGTTTGTTCGTGACCTTATCAAAGATAAACAGCAACCCAATAACATTGTGTATCTCCCCCCCCCATCTCCACAGGGGCAAAAGAAGAGAATCGTAAGCTCAGGGCCTGTGCAGAACACTTAAGGAAATATAACGATGCTCTGGTGATTAATGATACCATACGGATGATTGATGCTTATAATTATCTCACAAATTTCTACGAAGAGGAAATTCGCAAGAAGATGACAGACGATGATGAAGATGACCCCAAGTCAAAGTTAGACCAAACGGATAGATTTCTCTTTCAGTTATTCAATGGTAAAAAAGAACACTTTTAGATAAGAATGAAATTGCAAAAATAATCACACACCTTCTCTTAGAAATCTGACTATAAAAGTGAATCCGTTTTTCTGGGGAAAACTGCAACTTGGGGTGTTTAATAGGATCAAAAGCCAAGAACGATTGATCTGGGAAATGGAAATATCATTTGGCGCATGTCCTTTTCTAAGATTGGAGGTTAACCAAATTGAAACAGAGGAAAGTGCACATTGCTTTTTATCCAGGGCAGATTTCATCAGCAATGTTGCCTCTAGAATCATGGAATCTTACAGCACAGAAGGAAGCCATGCAGCCCATCACGCCAGCTCTTTGAGAGAGCTACCAACTAGTCCCACTCCCCCCTGCTCTTACCCCAGAGCCCTGTATATTTATATATCGATTTATCTTTCTAATCTTCCTAATCTATGTATCTTGTCAATGCCCCCACCCTTTGGAACTCCATCCCACAGTCCCTTGGCCTCGCTCCCTCCCTCGCCTCCTTCAAGGCACATCTGAAGACCCTCCTCTTCAACCTTGCCTTCGGTCACCCTCCTACCCCGACCCTCCCCGCCCTCCATCCCTCCTGATCCCAGCCCCCGGCTCGGGTCCAAATCCCTGACCATCCAGCACTTTGGGACATCCTTCCGACTGTGAAAGGTGCCGTGTAAATGTCATCTGTTGTTGTTGTTGTTGCTGTTGTAATTCATTACCAATGAAATCCCTTTGCTATTGCTCTCATTGGCAGAAAACCAAAAGGAACTTCAAACAGTGGCTAAAGAGCCTCAGTATGAGAATGGAAACCTGGCCAAATTACGGAAGACAGTTCTTCAGGAGTTCACCAAAAAGAAAGAGTCTCGAGGCATCATCTTCACAAAGACACGACAAAACACACACGCACTACACGAGTGGATAGAACAGAACGAGAAGTTCACAGAAGTTGGGATCAAGGCTCATTACTTAACTGGGGCTGGGAATAACAGTCAGTACAAGCACATGACACAGGTAAAACCCCTTGATGGAGCTGCTTAAAGTAGTGGCTAAAAACTGATCATTTCATTGCTATTCCGATTAGACGTCCATTCATATAACTTAGCTGTCAGTGAAGCGTTAGGTCCCTAGGAGATTGTGGCTATGTCACACCTCATGCCCCAGTGACTGGTTTGCACTGCCAGGTCCTGCTGATGAGCCAGGCTGAGCTGCGCTGTCATCAGCAGTGAGTGCCCTGGAATACTATGGATCCGCGTGGCTCAGGAACTGGACTAGAGACCAGCACAGAGGGCTGGCTCGATTCTGACATTCTGTTGCCAGGCATGTCACCTTGAGACCAGTTCGCTGCAAGGAGACCCTTACATTAAAGTCTGTGAAGTGCTTTGAGACGTCTCGAAGATGGCATAAGGTGCTATATCAGATGCAAAGATTATTATTATTAATATTAAGAGCAGTAACATGTCCATTTGTGAATACAGATCTTAACAGACATTTCTACAGTCATATCCATAAATTCCAGCTGTATGTTTGTTCAGCATTGTCCCACGTTTTTGACTATTCCATGTGTATACTTTGGAACAGCACGAACAAAAGGAAGTGCTGAATAAATTCCATGATGGGGAGATAAACCTCCTGATCGCAACAACGGTAGCGGAGGAGGGTCTGGATATAAAAGAGTGCAACTTTGTAATCCGCTACGATCTCGTGACCAATGAAATCGCCATGGTACAAGTAAGTTCATTTGGTAAAGTTTTTACTTAGTGAGGGCCTCGTGTTAGTTACTTCACTGGGTTGATGTTAAACCATTTGCTTTATGGCACTACATTGTTCCAAAGTAAAATACAGTAAACTTCAAACAAGTCGTATAGAATTGGGACCATACATTTGATATGACTTACACAAAGTATGAGTGATGTGAAACTTATAGAAAATTCAATGGGCCTTGGGCTGAGGCATAAGGGAGATGGGCAAAGGCGAATTGGAGTTGAGTGACAGATCAACCACGAGCTAACAGAATGGTGGAACAGGCTCGAGGGGCTGAATGGCCTCCACTTGTTCCTATATCAACCTATGTTCCCAGTCAAGCACTGTCATGCACTCCGGGACACTCCTCGGCGCTATATCAATGCAAGTTGTGCTTGTTTATCCTAGTTGTACGACTTAAGTCATTCTATGGTTTGTACAGATCAGACTTATGCAGGTTTTACTGTATTGCTGCGTTGAAGTCTTTTTCCAATCGTTCACTGACTCTGTTCATTCACAGGCTCGAGGCAGGGCCCGATGTAACGACAGCACTTATGCTCTGGTAGCTTTAGACGGGTCAGGAGTTGTTGATCGCGAGTTCGTTAATGAATTCCGCGAGAAAATGATGTACAAAGCCATTCAAAAGGTTCAAGAAATGTCAGCAGATGATTACAAGAAGCAGGTAATGTGCCTCGCTGTGCGCAATTGGCTGCTGCGTTTCACCCACAAAACACGCAGTCAATTCACTTTACAGTGTATTCTGTGAAGAGCTTTGAGACGTCTCGAAGACGTGATGAGGCGCTGTATCAAATGCGAGGATTATTATTATTATTATCGCCTGAAGTATCTTTAGCGCATAAGCAATATCTTTGTGTTTCCCTTTCCAGAAACATGACATTTCCGGGTTACGGAGGGAGTGGGTGGGCCAGATGTAATGGAGGGGTTGGGGGAGGGTTGGGTGGGGGGTGAGATCGGCCCGCGGGCTGTATCTGGCCTGCAGGCTGCCAGTTGGGCCATCCAAAATTCTAGGCAACGATCAATATGCAATTCTACAGAAATCTTGTAATTGTTATGATGTTTGTACAAATTGTTAGGTGGAAGAACGACAGATACAGAACATAATGGAACTGAAGATGAAGAGGAGGAAGGATTTTGCGAAGAGAATACAAAGTGATTACTCTAAAGTGGCTTTCCACTGCTATGGCTGTAGCAAACTTGCCTGCTCTGGGAAAGATGTCCAAGTCATTGAAAGCATGCACCACGTCAACATCACAAAGGAGTTCAAGTAAGATCTCATTAAACCTTTTCAAACTCCATCAAAAAAAAATAATATAATAACCTGGTCACTCTGTAAAGCACTTTGAGACGTCTCAAAGACATGATAAGCTGCTTTGTCAAAGCAAGATTATTATTATTAAAACAATATTTTGCAAAGATAGACCAAAACCAGGTGAATATCATTGTTATAAAAGGAGACTATTCTTTTCAAAAGAGAAAACAAAATATACATTTAAAGCCAATTTACTCTATTAATGATACAGATGATCCTGGTCTGATTAAACTGTAGAATAAACCCTTTGTGTTTAATCTCACTAAAGTAAATCAGAATTGTAATGACTATATCTTCCTTCCATTGCAGAGACTTGTACGGTGTGCGAGAAAATAGAGCTTTGCAAGAGAAAAGTTTGGATTATCAAACAAACGGAGAGATCTACTGCAAAGAATGTGCACAGGTAAAGTGTCCATTCAGTCCATTGATTTAATTTCACCAAAGAAACCTGGTTGTTAATTGATTCCCAGGCAGATCAGAGTGAAACATTAGCCAAGTTTCCTTATTCCACACACCTCTGTTTACCAGCAGTAAGTTGGAGCCCAGTTGTTAGTCAACTGGCGGGTTGCTTTTCAGTGATAATAATCCCTTCAAAAAAAAATTTGGTTACTCAATCCATGACTGGGACGCTGCTGTGTGCGATTGGCTGCCGAGTTTCGCCCACAAAATATACAGCCAATTCATTTCACAGTATATTCTGTGAAGCACTTTGAGACGTCTCGAAGACGTGGTAAAGAGTTATGTCAAATGCAAGGATTATTATTATTATATATTCCATCATTAATCGTTGCAAAAGAATGACTGTTTATCTTTTTTTTAAAGACATGGGGATCGATGATGGTGCATCGTGGAGTCAATTTGCCTTGTTTGTCAATCAAGAACTTTGTCGTGTACATCGATGAGAAGCATCTTCAGAAACAGACATACAAAAAATGGAATGAAGTACCCTTTAGGCTTCCCAAATTCGACTTCATCAGTTACGCTGCTGGCTCAAATATTTAATCCAGTTTGTGCAATGAATGCCCTGAATACTTAAGTCATTATTATCTTAAAAGTTAACTGTGTGACCTCAGCCCTGCACTGTGATCAGCGGCAGATATTTAAATGACAGTATGTTTTCCTGTTCCAAATTAATAATCAAGCACGTTGAATGATTCTATACAGTGTATTGTTAGACTGAAGTTAGACCCAATTAATTCTGGCTATTGGAGGCATCTTTCCAATCATTCTTTCAATGTGTAACTCTCTTTGCTGCATATCAAATGGCCAAGGCAATATAGCTGCATTTTTCACTGCGTTTAGTGAACGTAATGAATTTTTTAATTTGAATGTTTCAAGGCTGAATTCATAGGACATGAAACAAGTGTGGAATGGGATTAAAGAACAGCAGGATATTAGAGCCTGCAGCAGATTTTTGCTCTGTTCTGGGTCAAACCCAAAGGGAAATAAAGTGCAATTGCCTATTCTACATTACAGTGTTTACATTGCTGATCTGGATTTGTTGAATTCAGGACTTAAATCACAATGAACTGACAAACTGTCTGGATTCTTTTCTGGTTTGAGAAGGTGAATTTTAAAATGGAAAGTTGCAGTTGGGAAAAAATGTAAAAAAAAAACTTCCAGCTTTTGTGTTGTTACTTGAGCTGTTAGTTGAGTTCTCGTGTTGCTGTTGGGGGCGGCTTGGGACATCCTCCCGACGTGAAAGGCACTGTACAAATGTAATTTGTTGTTGTTAGGACTGGCTGTCACAAATGCAAAAACTCTTTAAACCTCAAATAGCTCCATACTGAATGCTTCGCGTGATCCAGTTGTGATTACTGGCTTCGGTTTTATTGTCTCCTCTCTGGTTCTGGTGCCACAAGATAAATACAGTTGGAAATAAATTGTTTTATTTAATAACCTTGTTTTCTTTAAAATTAAATGTTGATTTTTTTTTGTTAAAATGTCCATATTGCCATGTGTGGTTTAGAAACTGTGACAATATTTTGCATTTCCCTGCAATCATAAATTATACCATATATAGTTTGGGACACGACATGTCAGGTAACTGTTTGGATAGTGGAAGGAGAACTAGATGGACCTTAGCCTTCTTTCGTCAGCAAATTCTTATGTTCTTACCATAAACACACATTTAATTTGTAATGTATTTTAAAGGTATACCACCTGAACAAAGCCATGAACACTATTAAGGCAAGAGAGAAGAGCAAGAGAAGTTTCTTACTTTGTTGCTATCCCCTATTCAAACTTGCAATGGGAAACAAAAGACATCCAATAATATTATTCCAGTCCTAAATGTAATGACCAGGTGTGGGCAAAATGACAAGAGCACTATGGCTTTCTCGGTGTAAAACAGCTGTAGTGTTCAAAGCCAAAGACAATTACCGTATGTTATTTGTGAAAGGCCACAAATGTGAAAGACCATAGCGAGTGCTCTAACCGCTGAGTTACAGGACTCCATGATCAGGTATTTATCACCTGCACCTTAATTACAGTCAAGGAGCTGCAATTTGTAAACCTTTGGCTCCTGAACTATAAACCCTTTGCTGACTATTTGCATTTAAATCCTTAATACTGTGCGACTATGATAAATTAAGAGCTGATCTACTGAATAAGCAAAGGTTTATTTCCCCCCCCCATCCCCATATAATGAAAAATATAATTGTGTGGTTTGCGGTACATTTCAGTAAAGAATTCTATAACACTTGATATTTAGTTAATACAAAGTTTTTAAATCATAAAAAATGTTTGACATATATGCTACAGAAAATATGCTTTTTTACTTCTGAGAGGTTTTCTTGGAAGGGGAATGGGGGGAAGGGCACTAAACCAGGTTACAAATCTGACGACAACAACAAATTAGATTTATATCGTGCCTTTCATGGCAGGAGGACGTCCCGAAGTGCTTCCAGAGACCAGAGAATGCCTCTTCCCCTGCGTGTAATCTCTCCCAATGTAGTTCAGGGTTTCTCTGTTGGCTTCTTTCTGTCATTTTAACAAGCCCATAGCTTGACAAATAATAATAATAATCCTTGATTTGATATAGCGCTTTTCACGTCGGGAGGACGTCCCAAAGCGCTTCACAGAACACACTGTAAAGTGAATTGACTGTATATTTGTGGGCGAACGCGGCAGCCAATTGCGCACAGCAATGTCCCACAAACAGTCGTAGATTGAAAATGACCGATTTAATATTGTTTTTGGTTTTGGAGGGATTATTATTAGGCTCTGTGTTGAGTAAGGAAACTTGCCCAAGGTTTCGCCCTCTGCCTGGAATTGAACTCAGGTCTCTCACTTGCAAAGCGAGTGCTCTAACCACTGAGCTACAGGACTCCACAATGATTTAACACAAAGTAAAATCAATCTCCCAACAAGCCAGGTCAAACCCAATTTAAAGTAAAGCCCTGCTGTATCAGGAGAAAATACAGTAGAACATTCACTTAAAGCCTCTGCCTGACATCTTTAAGAATATTGTTATCTTCTCAAGGCTTTCTCTTTGTCAGTGTGAGAGCATTTCCTGGATCCCACAGCCTCTGTTCACACCATCTCTGCTTCTAATGAATTGCTTGGTTTATTATTCGCCCAACTCTATCATTACTTCATTAGCCAGAATCAGAATATCTTTACATACATCGACAATAATAATAATAATAATCCTTGCAGTTGATCTACCTTCTTATCACGTCGTTGAGATGTCTCAAAGCGCTTCACAGGATATACTGTAAAGTGGAGTGACTGTGCATTTTGTGGGCAAAACGTAAAAGCCAGTTGCGCACAGCAGTGTCCTACAAACAGTCATGGAGTTAGTGACCAATTTTTATTTGAGGGGGTTGTTGGCCAGGACATCGAGAGAAAGAGAGAAGTTCTTTTCTCTTTTTGAATATCGCTGGGGGATCTTTAAGGTTCATCTGAACAGGCAGACGGGACCTTGGTTTAGTGTCTCATCCCAAGAACATTAAAGTCCTTGATTTTGCCAGACTTATATAGAACAAGAAAGAACGTTAAAACAACTAGGCTTTAAGTGAACTGTCTCAGAATGTTTTTCACAGCATGTTTTTTTGAATCTTATTCAAAACGACCAGAGGGATAAAAGTGGAAATGAACAACAACAACAACAAGATTACATTTCAGGTCGGGAGGACGTCCCAAGGCGCTGGACCACAATTAAGTACAGATGCTTATTTCAAGTGACTCAGAGGTTTAATGAGAAGTGTCTCATGTAAGTCTGGGTAATGCAAAGGAATGGATACTATTTGCTTTGCAGAGTTGAACCAAACAGCTGAACGATTTATTCACTCTGCGTCTGGTATTTTTTAGACAAGCTACCAGTTCTGATCGAGTGCTGGATTGCTCTCAGATCTGTCAACATTGTCCTGTCTTCATTCCCCATCGGCCAAAGCCCTGCTGTTCTGCTGGATATACAGCTGCACAGCCACTGCTCCCACATGACAAATGTAACCCTTTCTTCATCAGCCAGATCATACAATCATAGGATCTCACAGCACAGAAGGAGGTCATTCAGCCCACCGTGCCTGTGCTGGCTCTTCGAAAAAAAACTACCAACTAGTCCCACTCCCCCACTCTTACCCCACAGCCCTGCACATTGTTCCTGTTTAAGTACCTATCCAATTCCAATCCAGATTTTAAAAAACAGAGAGAAAAAAGTGAGTTAATGGATTGGAATGTGCTCTCTCTCTCGCTCTCTGGAGAGACACATCTTGCTTATCTAATTCCGTAGAAGATTAGGCACAGGTTGGCAAGAGCCAAGGCTTGGGGACCCCAGAGTGTGCATTGGGGTAACAGCTGGAGTCTAACCAGCTAAACCCACATAGTTTGAGAACAGTATCTGGCCATCTTTTCTGATAAGAACCACCCTTCCTATTAATAATTTGGCTTGCAGGGTTAACAGGAATTGATTCCCTACCCCCAGTGACTCGTCTGGCCTGCCCCAACAACACAGGTATTAAAGATTAACGAAGAGGAAATTGTTCAGAAGATGGATGTTTATTTACAGGGATTCTATTTCAAAGATAGACGTAGTAACCAGATAAGTGTTGGGGCACAAGAATGGGCAAGTTTGCACCTGAATATGTAGATTATGCATCTGGTGCAGCATTCCAATAACATGATTTGCAACCTTCCTGAAAGTAGTGGCAACAGAACTTCCTGATGCTGTGTAAATACTGTTGGTTGTTAAGCAACATGAGTTCCCGCAGGATTGTAATTGCAAGCGAGGAATTGGGATTTATAATTTCCACTCCACTAATTGGAACTGATCTGGATTGAGATTTCTCTACCAACAAACCCTGGTCAGTTTTTAAATAACAACACCTATTAGAAAGGTGTTATTTAAAAACTAATCAGCGTTAGTTTTAGAAAGTTCTAATAGTTGTTGTTTTGCGATAATCCTCCATGTATAAAGAACATCATGCGTAACATGCTTCCATGGAACAGCAGCTCACTCTGAGTATTCCCACTGTGGGGGAAGGAGAGGGGAGGGAGCAAGTTTACATATTTTCCTCTCTCCACACTAGAAATCCCTCAATACTAGTTAATCTAACCAGGACCGAACCCAAACTTGGCAGGAAGCAAGAACCAGAGGAAGGAAGGCTGCTAATCCTCTCTGTGAAGACGGTACTTTAGGAATGACATTCTTTCTACATTTCATGTCATAACACAACCTGGCTCTGCGGAATACAGTTGCACAGTTCATTTAAGAGTTAAAGACTAAATAACATTCCTGCTAATCTACCCCCCATCCCCCAAAAAAACATAAGACTGCTGAGTGTCTCAATGGTGAGTGCTGTTTATGTTAACCCTAACTCCAGCCCTTACAGTAACTGTGGTGAAAACAGCTGTTTTGCCGACAGCCACATTTGCTGACTCCAATTCAGTGCCTGAGCAAAGAGCATTTTTAGGATTATCTTTATTCCTTGCTTAACCCGCCTCCTTGTCTTATTGCACTGCACACTCCCTGACAAAGGATCACACTTTGCTATCGATCGATTGATTTACCTTCTGGTATTTGGTAAATGTGCAAAACCATTAACTTGCTGGGGGATTTTTTTCGTTCAATGAAAGCTGTGCAGAGAAATTATTAATGTTTGCTCGTCTTCATTAGGTTCATTAGAGCTATTGTCAAGTGTGCTATGTGTGTTGCGAGCCAGGCTAGTGTGTAAGCAGTCGTCTGTGTCTCAGTCCTGCCTCTGCCTTTACCACTATCTGACAAGACTCAGAACCATCAAGGTTTCATCTCCACCAAAAGCACAAGACTTCAGCCGAACATGAAGGTCAGTGAAGCTCTGAAGCTGCCTCTATCTCTCTCTCTCTCTCTCTCTACGCTTTATAATGCAAACACACACTGCACAGAGTTACACTGGGGGGGGGGGGGGGGGTTGAAAGTTGGAGCACGTGTCCTGTCCCTTCTCTTCAGTTCATTCCCTCAGATTCGCAAACACAAAAACTGCAGAATTTTCTATTTGCTCTAATGGATATTTTTTTTAGGGGAGAGAAGGGGGAGGGCGAGGGGGGAAACTGTGGTGTGTTGATTCACCATCACTTCAATCCACGGCTGTTTGTGGGACGCTGCTGTGCGCAATCGGCTGCCACGCTTCTCCCACAGTTAATCCACTTTACAGTATATCTGTGAAGCGCTTTGAGACGTCTTTCCTCTTTCAAGGCACGACTCAAGACCCTCCTTTTGGATCGTGCCTTCAGCCGCCTCTGCCCTCCCTCATCCAAACCCTGTCCCCCCACCACCCCCACGCTTAGGTCCTGATCCCCGACCGTTCTGTGTCTTGGGACGTCCTCCCAACGTGAAAGGTGCTTTACACATGTAATTTTGTTGTAATTTTGTAAATTTTATTGTTGTTGTCTCAAATGCAAAGATTATTATATTGTTATTATTATTGCGTGTCTGAAATTGGATTTCTCAGGCGATTGCTGTTTGGGGTGCTTGGTGTATCTCCCTGCTTTAGGATTAGCTAGAGCAGATTTGGTGCATTATATCCTCTCTCTCTTTCTCTCTTGGTTTCTCTCTCTCTTTCAGACCCTCTTAAAAGTGCTACTGGGGATTGTGGCAACTTCTGTCATCGTAGTGGCTATCGTGGTGCCCCTCGCAGTGCTGATGCCGAGCAGTGAGTTTACTTGACCGTATGTCGCCATGAACTACGTGGAGTCCTGTAGCTCAGTGGTTGGAGCACTCGCCTCACAAGCAAGAGGACCCGGGTTCAATTCCCGGGCAGCGTAAAACCTTGGGCAAGTTTCCTTACTCCACACACCTCTGTTTACCAGCAGAAAGTAGAAACCCAGTTGTTAGTCGATTGACGGATCGCTTTTCCATGGGTAATAATCCCTTCACCAAAAAAAGAAAAAATAATGTGGTCACTTCAATCCACGACTGTTTGTGGGACATTGTGGGTGTAATTGGCTGCCGCATTTTGCCCACAAACTATACAGTAAATTCACTTCACAGTCCTGGAGTGGAGTTCTGTAGCTCAGTGGTTAGAGCACTCGCTTTGCAAGTGAGAGACCTGAGTTCAATTCCAGGCAGAGGGCGAAACCTTGGGCAAGTTTCCTTACTCCACACAGAGCCTAATAATAACCCTCCAAAACCAAAAACAATAATAAATTGGTCATTTTCAATCTACGACTGTTTGTGGGACATTGCTGTGCGCAATTGGCTGCCGCGTTCGCCCACAAATATACAGTCAACTCACTTTACAGTGTGTTCTGTGAAGCGCTTTGGGACGTCCTCCTGACGTGAAAAGCGCTATATCAAATGCAAGGATTATTATTATTATTATTCTGTGCAGCTGCTTGGGACGTCTCGAAGATGTGATAAGGCACTGTATCAAATGCAAGGATTATTGTTATGGTTTCAACAACAACAGTTTGCACATACACTGCGCTCCTCACACGGGGCAGTGTCCCTAAGCGCTCAACAGTGGCAGAGCCTGACACTGAGCCGGGGGGAGTGAGGAGGTGACTAAGCACGGTCAAAGAAGAAAACCTTCAATCGTGATCTAAAAGAGGGGAAGGAGGGGGGGCACGGGGCGAAGGGATTGGGGGAGAGAGAGAGTTACAAAGCCTTTCCAGTTCTTATTTGTAGACTTGTCTCTATCAAAACCTGATGGGGAACAAAATAGGAATAAGCTTGTGGAGAGCTGTGTCTGTTCCCATTATGTCACTCTTAATGTGCTGCTCAGTGCACTGAACTTGCCGACTGTAGCTGTTGCTGCAAAACACGTCCTGGGGAAATATTTGATACCTGTAGCTTTCATTCCGCGTGGTCTGTGCCATTCGGCCAACAACCGAAGGCCTTCAGATCTACTGCAGCTAGAAACCCGTTTGCAAAACAAATATAAGCACAAGCAGGCAGTGCCTTCAGATACTTGTCACGGTTTCTAGTCTTGTCACTTATACCCACCTCATTTTATGACCATTTCTCTGAAGTCCCGGTTCTTTCCAATGGACTCGCTGTTTGTTTTAGAATGAACAGTTGCAGCTTGTGTCAGAGTGTGGATTTGCATCGCATTTATACACAGTACTGTAAGCAGATAGAGCTGGTGGCCATTCTTACTGTCACAGTTGGTTGGATGCACATGAAAGGACATGAATGGCTCTACCCTGGATTCTAATTGCTGTTTCAAGATTTGACTTTTATTGATTTGATTTGAAGCCTCCAAAGCTGGTTGGAAATATTAACAAATAAATATTGGAACAAGAACCTACAATTAAAGCTATCTCTAGTGGGTAATGTACAATGCAATAGATTATAGTATTAGAATTATAATATAGAAAAAAGTCACAGGATATACTGTAAAGCTCAATGACTATATTTTGTGGGTGAAACACTGCAACCAATTGTGCACAGCAGTATCTCACCGACAGCCAAAGAGTGAGTGGCCAGTTTTATTTGGGGGATTATTGGCCAAGACACTAGGAGAGAGAATCTCCCTTCTTTTTCGAATAGCTCCGCGGGATCTTTAATATCCACCTGAATAGGCAGTGGACCTAGTGTTTTCGGGGCAGCTGGGCGTCTGACACACGCAGCAAACTATCCCCATGATTAGAGTCTCCAAACTAAGCTGAGATTTCCATACATCCCGCCTACACATGGAAATCCTAGAGATATTTGTTGGAATGGAATGCGCTCTCTCTCTCTCTCTCCCCCTGGAGGGACTACACCTGCTTACCTAATTCCAGAGAGTATTAGGCACAGGTTGGCAAGAGCCAAGGCCTGGGAGGAGCCCAGAGTGTGCGTTGGGGTAACAGCTGGAGTCTAACCAGTTAAAACTGCGTAGCTTGCTATCGATATCAAACGTATAGAGTGAGATGCTTTGGGGTTCAATATAGACAATATAGAAACATCATGTGAATTGAATCTGATTGTCTGCTACCATCCCTGTAAACCACAACCAACAGCAGTCCATTTGATATATTTATATCTAGTAATCTTATGGGTGTTTTTCCTGTCTTACAGAAACTAAATGGATCCTCTTGGACAAATACAGGGTTTCTCGTAAGTTCAGTAGGCCTCGTTCACTCATCTTGCTTTGTCAATTAATAAATAACCTTTACAAAACCACCTTACGATATTTACAGAAGTCAGGTTAATGAGTCCTGTAGCTTAGTGGTAAAGCAAGTAGAGCAGTCGCCTCACAAGTGAGAGGACCTGGTTTTCGATTCCCAGCAGGGCAAATCACTGGGCAAGTTGCCTTACTCCACACGCCTCTGTTTACCTAGCAGTTAGTAGGAAATCAGATATTAGTCAATTGGCGAATAGTTTTCCCGGGGGTAATAATCCCTTCAAAGTAAATATATAATAATTTGATTGTTCAATCCACGACTGTTTGTGGGACAGACACTGCTGTGCATAATTGTCTGTGCACAATTGGCTGCCGTGTTTCACCCACAAAATACACAGTCAATTCACTTTGTAGTATATTCCGTATTGTTCGGCCTAAAAATAGAATAAATTGTTCTTTGTAAATTATTAATTAGGGAAAAACTATCTAATCTTCAATAGATCAGTATATCAATTAGTTACTGTGAACCAATGTCCTAAACAACATTATGTGTGGCTTTGTTTAATCATTCTTCTGATTGCTTTATCATTTATCATTACCTTCTTACAATCTTTTTGTTCAATTTGCTTACAGCTTATTGCGATAAGTAATAAAAAATATATTATATTTGCATATTGCTGGAGTGGTTAGTTATATCATCACATATTTCTAAAACCATGTAAGGCTTCCCAAAGTTCGGCCAACACATGACAGAACACTACGAAAACTACAAAACATTTTAAAATGTTGAACAAATGTGCTCCATGTGCTGCCAGACTAAAATCTCTGGCCATAATTGACATTCTTTTTGCTTTTGGAGAGGAAAAGTTCTGGAATTTTGCCTGAATTCAAATGTCAGCAAAAATATTCATTATAATTAATAAAAATGGTCCAGTCCAGTGTATAAAGGGTGACTTGGACACCTTTTTTGTTCTCATATTCTTAACACATAAAAGTGTGAAACCCAGCAGTTGTCAAGTGCTAAGCAGAGACAGACATGTTTGATTTCAATTGTGACTTATTGATATAGAATACAGCAAAACTTTCAAAAAATGAAAGCATAAATGTTTCTAACATGTTGACATTCTACAATGAGTGACCAGAGAGTGTATGGGTTACAACACAACAATATCCAATCTTACACATCCTCCTCTCTGTTTGAGAATTGCATTTGAAACCGAGCCAGAATTCAGGACTGTTCTGCATCAGGAGAAAACTAATCTGTTTATTGTCAAACTCCAATTCTCTTGTATATTCTGATGTACGTGGATGACTGAGAACTGTTTCGTTTTGGAGTATGAATTATTTTAACTTTGTAAAACGTGTGGAGTGGTTAGTGTGTGAAACGTGAGCTTCTTATATTTGAAATGTATTTGAGCTCGCAGTCTAGCTTACACTGCAGTACCGTGCTGGCTGAGTGCTGCATTATCAGAGGCTCTCCTCCAAATGAGATATTAATAATAATAATCCTTGCATTTGATACAGCGCCTTATCACATCTTCAAGACGTCTCAAAGCGCTTCACAAATATACTGTAAAGTGAATTGCGGCAGCCAATTGAGCACAGCAGTGTCCCACTGTACTGAACAATATTTTTTATTCATTGTGCTATCAGAGGTAGTAATGCTGCATATTTTTTACAGGGGTTTAAATTAAAAATATATATATTTATTTTGTTACCTGACTAAATAATTCATGCAATTTGCTGTTTTGCATTAAAAAGTAGTATTTTTTATATTTGTCTACATCTAATACACAAGATATATCTCACCCACAACATACACAGTCAATTCACTTTACAGTATATCCTGTGAAGCGCTTTGAGACATCTGGAAGACGTGATGAGGCGCTGTATCAAATGCCAGGATTATTATTATTATAAGATCGCAAGACACAAGATATCTAATATTACAAGATACATCACCTCATCTTAATCAGTAAGTCTTTGCTGGGACTAAAATAATGGATTATAAATGTGTCAAACAGTGGTGGACCTCTCTTCCCTTGCTGGGTTAGACAACAATGACTCAACTGCATCTAGTCTGTCTGTCTCAAGGAATTAGTCGCAACACAGTACGACATAGAGCACTGACATAGCAGCCATTGCCCTCGGCAGCATGTGATGTGATGAGTAGTTACTGTACAGAAGGTTCGGGGAATAATGCTCAGTGTGTATTGTTAGACTCTCTGCAAAAAAAATCTAACCAGACATTAACCCCCTCTCTGTCACTGACACTGAGGAATGCTGACAACTCTCTCGCTAGCTTTCCTCCAATGTTTGTCTTCCATGTTTATTTGCAGATAAATTGTGTTTAGGACATTGTGGTTCACAGGAGCAATAATAATAATCCTTGCATTTGATATAGAGGCTTATCACGTCTTCGAGACGTCTCAAAGCGCTTCACAGAATAAATTGTAAAGTGAATTGACTGTGTGTTTTGTGGATGAAACACGGCAGCTAATTGCACACAGCAGCGTCCCACAAACAGTCGTGGGTTGTTTATTATTATTATTTTGAAGGGATTATTATCCCTGGAAAAACTATGTAGGATTATGAGGCATTACAGATCCACTTTGGGACACTGTATTTGACATTCCTAAATGCGTATACTGCCAGACATACTCCTCTCTTTGTTGTGAATTTGTCATTGCCTCTAATCCATATGTGATCATTTCATTGCATGGTCCACAATCAGTGGCTAATAATATGAACAATAACCATAATCATAGAATCATAAAATCATACTGCACAAAAAGAGGCCATACGGCCCATTATGTCTGCGTCGGCTCCTAAAAGAGCAACTCAATCCCACCGGCCGCTTTCTCTCCATAGCCCTGCAATCCTGTCCTCCCCAAATATCCATCTACTTCTCTCTTAAAAGTTGTTGTTGAATCGGCTCCCACTACCCTTTCAGGTAATGCATTCCAGATCCCAACAATTCGCTGTGTGAAAAAAGGTCTAACCTTTTGGCTGCTGAGGGCTGGATACCCTATTTGAGAAACATCCGCGGGCCACATAAGCAATATTTTTGTGTTTTCCTTTCCAGAAACATGACATAGCATTTACAGGTGGAGGAGCGAGCAGGTGGGACAGATGAAATGGAGACAGGGGGCCGGATGTGGCCCACGGGCCGCCTATTGGAACACCCTGTTCTAACTCGTGTTGGGTTGCAATGAATGTTTCTTATATATCAGTTTCCTACAGTGATTATGCTTCAAGCAAACCAATTTTGCTTTTTTCTTTCTTTGCATTAAAAAAACAAGAAAAAGATGGACGTCCAAAATTCACTTTAGATGATTGTTTCAACGACATTTACAAGTACAAAACCCACAACGTCCGATGGATCTCAGGTAACTCTCGATCAACTTGCATTGACTGAGGCTTCAATGTATTATGCAATAGTCCTTTTGTTAATTGCTGCAAAAGCTTTTTGCACTTTAGACGTTTTTTGACCTATAGTTTCAAGGATATGTGATTTGATTTCAAGATCCTCATCCTCACCTACAAGGCCATTCACGGCCTTGCTCCCTCCTACCTCTCCAACCTACTATCCCCCTACCTACCTGCCCGTACCCTCCGTTCCTCTGGCTCCGGTCTGCTCCACGTCCCCCGCCCCAACCGCCCTACCATCGGTGGTCGGGCCTTCAGCCTCTCAGCCCCGAGGCTCTGGAACTCCATCCCCAGTGCCTTCGCCGCTTCCTCCCTTTCCTCCTTCAAGGCCGGTCTCAAAACCTTTCTCTTTGACCGTGCCTTCAGCTCCCCTCTCGACTCTCTTCCCCCTCCTCGCTCCCTCCCTTCCCTCCCCTCACCCTGACCATTTCCCCCTCCTCGCTCCCTCCCTTCCCTCACCCTGACCATTTCCCCCCTCCTCGCTCCCTCCCTTCCCTCCCCTCACCCTGACCATTTCCCCCCTCCTCGCTCCCTTCCTTCCCTCCCCTCACCCTGACCATTTCCCCCCTCCTCGCTCCCTCCCTTCCCTCCCCTCACCCTGACCATTTCCCCCCTCCTCGCTCCCTCCCTTCCCTCCCCTCACCCTGACCATTTCCCCCTCCTCCCTCCCTCCCTTCCCTCCCCTCACCCTGACCATTTCCCCCCTGCTCGGCTCATGACCCAACTGTGCAGCGCCTTGGGACGTCCTCCTGACGTGAAAGGCGCTTTATAAATGGAATCTTGTTGTTGTTGTTGTTGTTGATGTGCACAAATCTCAAAAGTTTATCAGGCTTTTAAGAACAATGATAAAGGTCTGTGAGCAGGAATTGATCTGGGTTCATACAGCAATAAACACATATATAAGGGTTTCCTCACACTGGAAAAATATTAGTAACTTGATACAAGTTACAATACAACTTACATTTATTTAGCACATTTCACATTTTTTAAAATTAAAATAGAATTCTAATCCTGAAACATGTTTTTATTCTAAATCACTGTGATGAGTAATATTTTGATATCATTTCAATATTAATATTTTCAGAGAACGAATACCTACATAAAAACGTCGACGGAAATATCTTGCTCTATAACATTGATACAGACACTGTGAGCACCCTTCTGTCCAACAGCACTTTTGTAAGTACAGCACTTGTTTATAGTGTAAAAGGTTTGTGATATGACAACATGTTTGATGACTTAACAAAACAAACATGTGTTTGAATAAAATATTTTTAGGATAATCAGCCGGTGACACTTTACTGATATCTTTCGGGTGCGACATTTCCATTACATTTAAAAATATCTAAAGTAGCAAAGTATTATTATAATAAGTAAACCTGCAAGTAACGCTGTAGTGAAAATCACTGGTCGCTGCCTGGTGAAAACAACAAACTTCAATTTAACCATCTCTGACAATCTAGCAATTTGATGTCTTCAGCATTCTGGTAATTCAATTGTAGATACAGAGGCAAGCGAGTCTGTGCCTATAATGACAAGTGTAGCTATGACTTTAACAGGGATTTTCATGTGTAGGTAGGATGCAATGGAAGGTTCAGTTTGTGCTCATCCCAAAAACATGTCGTCAACTTTCATTCTAATAGGAGCAAGTCAAATCTGATGATTACTTACTGTCACCTGATGAAAAGTTTATTTTACTTGAAAGCAACTACACAAAGGTAACGCTATATTTTTACATTTCAAGGTTTTTACTTTTATTATTTTATTGAGAAGACATGTGGCAGATATTAAACCTGTGCTTCTTTGTAAAACTACAAAGTGGAGTTTTAGATAGACATCTGTATAAAAAATAAGGGTATGGTGAGGGGAAAGAGTAGGAAAAGTGAAATGCTAACACAATACCGGCCAATGAGCCAAACACCCTTCTCTGTACTGACATTGTTATATATAGAGAATTATTTCTGCTGAATGTAAAATGAATTCCCCAGAATGTTAATAGAAATAGGAATACCTGCTTCTAATAATTCTACACCATACACAATACACTTAATTCTCTCTTACTTTGCTCACAGACTTGGAGGCATTCCTACACAGCATCTTACTCCATTTACGATTTGAGTACTGGGTTAGTTATTCTTGCTGCATGTACATCATTATTACTGCATGACCTGTGCGCAATTGGCTGCCGCATTTCATCCACAAAATATACAGTCAATTCTCTCTACAGTATATTCTGTGAAGCGCTTTGAGACGTCTCGAAGACGTGATGAGGCGCTGTATCAAATGCAAGGATTATTATTTATTATTATGACAAGATAAGGTGATGTTTCGCCGTGTGATTTTTCTCCCTCAGCAATTTTGTGTCTGACGCCAAGCTCCCTCACACGATACAGTACATCACCTGGTCCACAGTGGGTCACAAACTGGTTGGTTCATATCCCTTTCACTACTTCAATTGAAGTCTGAATGTTCAAATCGTTAAGCTGTTTAAAATTTAGTGTTACTAATCAATAACGCTTATTAGACTAAACTAATTTGAAGTTTTGAGAAAAATACCTTGGGATGTCAGCAAGTTAAATATATTAAATCCACAAAATCGTAGAAGGATATTTTGGAGTATTTGAATGTTTCCACTTTTGGTCACTTTCAGTGGTATTTCTAGACAACTGTGTTCTTTGTTCTTTAAAAATATGATGAGGATGATGATCTTTAAGGAGGAGAGAGTTTGCTGGGGGGCCAGAGTGGTCTGGGGGAAGCAAGGCTGGGGGGCTGCGGTGAGGAACTGATCGAGTTATATGGAGTCCTGGAGCTCAGTAGTTAGAGCACTCATCTTGAAAGCGAGAGGACCTGGGTTCAATTCCCGTATATATATATATTATAGTATATTCTGTGAAGCGCTTTGAGATATCTTGAAGATGTGATAAGGGGTACATTAAATGCGAGGATTATTATAATTATTGTAAAATGCTGAGAGAAACTCTCAACAAAATACTTTCTCCCTTCAGGTCTATGTTTCCAATTATAATATATATTTGAAATCTGAACCTAAAAGTGCTGCCATACAAATAACACAGAATGGGGAGAAAAATAAGATTTACAATGGGATCCCGGACTGGTTATATGAAGGTAAGTTGAGGTCTAATAATATTGTATTTCATCAAGATTTTAAAAGTTACACCTTTAATAATTTCATACAATTTTTCCCCTGATATATCCTGAGAAGCTCTTTGGAACTTCTCGATGGTGTGATAAGGAGCTGTATCAAATGTAAGGATTATTATTGTTGCTGTTCATATAGTGCCTGCAATTACCAGAAAACTGATGGTGTCTCTCCTGTTCTTCTAGAGGAAATGTTTAGCTCAAATTCTGCTTTATGGTGCTCAACCGGTGGGAGATTTTTTGCTTATGGTGAATTCAATGACACACTGGTTCCTCTGATAGAGTATTCAACGTACGGTGATGGGCAGTATCCAGAAACAACAGAGATTACATATTCCAAGGTAAGACATTGTGTATTGTTTTCTTTTAAAAAATATTTGTTCACATTCCTGCCTTGACAAACAGCAGTGCCAGACACAGAGCTGTTGGTTTATTTTATTGGTTCAAATGCCTGTATTTCTAAACACACAAAAAAAGTCCTTGTAATAATATAACCCTTAAATTAAATTAATAAAATTATGTATTATACAAGGATGTTTGGTGTTTTTTATTATTTTATTATATAATATTATAATATGAATATACTTGTGTCTGATATGACCAACAAACCTTCATGAATGGTCGTTCTCTGTAAATAATAATTTTCTCTCAAGTAGAACAATTGTACTAATTATTAGTGCGAACACCCGAACAAAATGTTTCAATTTTGCTTTCTTCCTAAAATCAGGCCGGAGCGAATATTCCTACAGTTAAGTTGTTTGTTGTAGACACCACCAATATGACGAATGTGCAGCTTCCAGTTCCTGATAATATTAAGTCGAGGTAAGCCTTTTAACCAAAGAAGAATTTTGTTTTACATCCGGTTTACAATCCACAAAATATACATTCAATTCACTTTACAGTGTATTCTGTGAAGAGTTTTGAGACGTCTCGAAAGGGTCAAAAAGATTATTAAATGCAAAGATTATTATTATTATTAACATCTTTCTTTTGTTTGCAGTGAATATTATCTAAGTAGCATAACATGGGTAACAAATGAACGGATTGCTGTCCAATGGATTAAACGAATACAGAATTATTCCAGTTTAGTCATCTGTGATTTTGTTGCACCCGACAGTTGGGATTGTAAAATGGTGAGTGATTTGGACCACATTGTTTCAGATGTCCTTGATAATGTTGTGTAGTAATAATAATAGTAGAATACAGAAGTACAGAAATGAGATATGTGATCGACTTTAATCCCAATTTTATTTTTATTAAACCCCAGAAACAATCATCTATTGAAACAAGTTCCACAGGGTGGATTGGTAAAGTAAGTAGCATCAGTTAGAATACTTTATAGATATATATATATCTTAAATAGCTAACATTTAGATATTTAAAATGCTACATTAATAGGTTACATTAAAAATACCAATGGTTTAAATGTTGTTTAAAATGTTTATGATCAAAGAATGTTTCAGAAGCAACTGTTTTTATGAAATTGTTCTACTGATTATTCACACTGTCTGCAGTTTCGTCCATCAGAACCTTTCTTTACTTCAGACGACACAAATTTCTACAAAGTAATGAGCAATGCTGAGGGATATAATCACATTCACTATGTGACTGGTACTAAAGTGCGTAAACCAAATTTTATTCTTTTCAATTTGTAAAAAAAAAATGATTTCTGTAACAATATTATAATGATTTAAATCAATGCTCTTTCATTTCATTTCTAGGCCACACCAATTACCATGGGAAAATGGGAGGTTATAAGCATAAATGCCTTGACAAAGGACACCCTGTAAGTTTAAAGAGAATAAAAGAAATGCTATTTCTAGCCTATTCCTCAAAACAACACATTCCATTGTTCAAATGCCATGTACTGTACCTTAATTTGTGCTTCTCTCATCCCTGGTAACATCCTAACGAATCTAGGTTGCACCATTTTATATTGCTTTTATATTCTCAATCCACGTCTGCTTGTGGGGTGGGACAATGCTGTAAGCAATTGGCTGCCGCGTTTCGCCCAAGAACACACAGTCAAACCACTTGACAGTATATTCTATGAAGGGCTTTGAGATATCTCAAACAACAATGATAAGGTGCTGTATCATAAATGCAAGGGTTATTATTTATTCTTCCTATATCAGAGTGCCCCAAATATACCAGATGCTCAAACTATGGCTTAACCCAAATCTTGTGCAAGTGCATTACCTCCTCGCTGTAGGATTGTATACCTCTGAATATATAACCAACAATAGTTTTTTTTTATGATCTTATTTACGTAGAAGGTGGATCGAAACCCTTAACAACCGATTCAATACAGTAACGCAATAAAAATAGATAAAACTTATCAACAACATGAAATCCAAAGGTTGAGCATTATCCCTTGTCTGACAAAGACAATTTGAATATTTGACTTTATTTCGGCCATAAATGTTTATATTGATTGAACTAAACATAACTGCTAATCCTTTTTATGATTTTTTTTTTACGTCTCTCTTAAAATGCTTTCCAGAGGGCTTTATAGCCAAACTCCTTTTACAGCATGAGGGGCTGAAAACCATATGTTGGAGTACTTAATAATAATAATAATCCTTGCATTTGATATAGCACGTCGGGAGGACGTCCCAAAGCGCTTCACAGAACACACTGTAAAGTGAATTGACTGTGTATTTGTGGGCGAACGCGGCAGCCAATTGTGCACAGCAATGTCCCACAAACAGTCATGGATTGAAAATGACCAATTTATTATTGTTTTTGGTTTTGGAGGGATTATTATTAGGCTCTGTGTGGAGTAAGGAAACTTGCCCAAGGTTTCACCCTGACCTGCCAGGGATTGAACTCAGGTCTCTCACTTGCAAAGCGAGTGCTCTAACCACTGAGCTACAGGACTCCACAATTGGTATAGTTTGGGCACTCTGATATAGGAAGAATAATAATCCCTGCATTTATCATACAGCTCCTTATCACGTCTTCGAGACACCTCAAAGCGCTTCACAGAATATACTGTAAAGTGATTGACTGTAATATTTGTGGACGAAATGTGGCAGCCAATTGCGCACTAGTTTAGCAGTAAACCACCAATATACAGTGCCACACAACCTGGGGTAAGATTTAATCCCTTTACACAGCCAACAGAGCTGGGAATACAGATTCAAACTCCTACACAGCTTCGCAGAGCCTAGGGCATAAGCTCTATCTATCATCCTCCTAACAGCTTTCACATTCTGAGGCTCAATCTCTTCTCCCCTTAGAATCACAGAGTGTAGACGGCAGGTTTAATTTCTCCAAACCTATAATGAGACTGTTTGTGGGACGCTGCTGTGCGCAATTGGCTGCCGCGTTTCGCCCACAAAATATACAGTCAATTCACTTTACAGTATATTCCGTGAAGCTCTTTGAGACGTCTCAAACACATGATAAGGCGCTGTATAAAAAGGCAAAGATCATTATTAGTAGTAGTTTGATCCTCATTGTACATCTTATCTTATTTGCAGTTACTACATCAGCAATGAACATGAAGGCTATCCGGGGAGGAGAAACTTATATAAGTATGTTTTGAAAGCAATATGTTAATAGTTAAAAGTTGATAAAGGAATAAATATTTAATGTGCTTTTTTATTTGTTACTTTTCTTAAAGAGAGATTAAAAATAATTTCAGAGAGAGCGCCCAAATTTATCTGCTCCTGTTTCCTTCCAAGTCAGCTGATGTAACGAAGGACAAAGTAAGAACTGTGGCATCTGTCACTGTGCTATCTGTTTGTTTCCTGGGAAACCAGGCATAAGCCGTTTTAGCTGGTTACACTCCAGCCGTTACCCCAACACATACTCTGGGCTCCCCAAGCCTTGGCTCTTGCCAACCTGCACCTAAAACTTACCGGAATTAGGTGAGCAGGATGAGTCCCTCCAGGGATAGAGAGGGAGAGAGAGAGAGAGCGCCCGCCTTCCATTCCAACAATCTAGCTCTGGGATTTCCATGTGTAGGTTCACAAAAGACATTCCATCAATTCTAATTACCTTTGCAATTATCAATGACAGAATCCCAGTGTTAGTAATTCAAAAACCAAACCTGCCGGACCTGCATAGTGAAGAACAAACATATTAGAATGAACGAACATGCTTATTGATCCACAGCACAACCCAGCCTGCCTCCTCGGCAGTCGCATTGTAGATGGATCTTGATCTTCTTTCGCCAGAAAATTCTTATGTTCTTTATTTTCCATTCTTTTATTCCCTAGGATTGGAATTGGAAATCAATCTGAGAAGAAATGCATCACTTGTGATCTGGATGTGAATAGGGGTCAATATTACTCTGCATACTTTAGCAAAAGTGCTAAATATTATGTGTTGTATTGTTATGGTAAGTCTATCCCAGACTATCCTCCTCCTGGGGGGGATGGGGGGGAATGTAAGGGGGTAAGGTGACATATTTGCCAAATGAATGTGGGAATCGAACCAGCCCTCTGTGACGGTCTCTAGTCCAGTTCCTGAGCCAGGCGGGTCCACAGCACAACCCAGCCTGCCTCCTCGGCAGGACCTGGAAGGGCCGACTAGTCACTGGGAGCAGGGAATCCTCCTCCTCAGTTCCTGTTAACCCTGCAGCCAAATCCTTAACGCGGCGGGCGGTCCTAGCTGGACAAGCAGCGGGAAAGCTGGCCAGACAGTGATCACAGAAAACAAAACCAAGAACAAAATGCAGCAAATCAATAAGCATGTTCGTTCATTCTAATATGTTCATTCTTCACTATTCAGGTCCTGGAGTACCTAGTGTTAAGCTTTACAATGCCAGTACTGATCAAGGTAATCTAATTTTATTATCTTTGAAATGGTTGAAGTCTGAAATGGTTTATTATGGAGCCCTGTAGCTCAGTGGTTAGAGCACTCGCCTCACAAGCGAGAAGATCTGGGTTTGATTCCCGGACAAGGCTGAAACATTGGGCAACTTTCCTTAATCCACACACATCTGTTTACCAGCAGTAAGTAGGAACCTGGTTGTTAGTCGATTGGCAGATTGCTTTCCGGGGGTAATAATCCCTTCAAAACAATAAATAAGTAAATACTGATCATTAGTAGAGTAAGATGCCATTTTAGATGTGTGTAAAACTAAAAAACATGGGTTTTATTTTAAGAAATAAAAACTCTCGAAGACAATAAAGAATTGGAAGACGAGCTCAGGAAGATTCAGATCCCTACAAAAGTACTGAAATCTCTGCAGCTGGACGGCACAAGTAAGTACAATGGTTAGAAGAAACCTTAAATACGTTTAAACCACTGAAAGTAAAGCTATAGCTAATTTTCCAGGTGTAAAAGAAGCATAAATCAAAAAATAATAGTGTGGTCACTCAACCCATAACTGTTTGTGGGGCACTGCTGTGCTTAATTGGCTGCCACGTTTTGCCCACAAAATATACAGTCACACTACACTTTACTGTGAAGCACTTTGAGACGTCTCAACAACATGATAAGGCACTACATCAAATACAAGGATTATTATGATGATTATAATAGCTACTATTGACGCTATGCTCACTAGTGAACCCACAATCTGAAGTCAATCAGCAAAGCAAAGATTAAACAAAAAAAATTAATTGTAATAATATTCCTGAAAAAAATATCAGCAGTTAAGAATAACTAAATTGTAACACTTTACTAAACTGTGTTGTGAAATCTAAGTCTACATTACCTGAGTCAAACCTTCTGTGTTAATGGCTGTGTTGAACTGAAGTCGTCAGCACAATACGGAACAGATAGATATTGGCATTCTGATACCAGAGGCAACCTTTGTTCTGTCTCATGTGTCTCAAGGCAATATTTGCCACCATTTTACAACTCACTGTTAAAGATCCAAGGTTCCGCATCAGTCGGGTGTCTGACACGTATCCCATCACCGTTGCTTAAGAGTCTCCAAACCAAGCTGAGATTTCCAGGCCTCCCTCTACACCTGGAAATCCCAGTGAGAGATTGTTGGAATGGAATGCGCTCTCTCTCCCTGGAGGGACACGTTCCTGCTTACTTTATTCTGGAAAGTATCAGAAATGCTGCAACCTGTACTGGAATTATTGCTGCTGTCAATAACTGTAACGTAAAGGTGCTCAATGAGCAAATAATCCCTATTTATCAAATAAATTATGAAATGAGTAACAACATCCCTATACCACAGGCGAGGTGACATTGACACACACACAGAGTTTCAATCTAAGTCAATTTGTCATCTTTTACCTGGTGTGTCAGCTGTGATTTTCTATTTAGTAAATGATTCCCCTATTTGGTGAGGACCTGAGGTAGCGCTTAGGACTGGTGTGAGGCAGAATGTCTCCTGTTCACAGTGAACAAAGCCATGTGGAACCTTGGCCCCTTCTCATCTGGAACTAATCCCCGGTCCTCTCCATTTCCTGTTCACTTCCTATTTCTCTTTCCCTCTGGTATCTAATTGACCACAGCAATAGCCTGTTCTCTACACCCTGTTTGTGTGGAGAAACGTTACATCAGCCATCAGCCATCAACTCTCCTAAGCTCTCTAAGTGGCCAGGAACCCAAACTAGTATCCATAAGAGAATCCTCACTTTATTAATCAAACACTGAGAGGCTGTAAAGGCTATGTACCGAGGACATTTCTCACTTGAGGTCAACACTCAATGGCATTATCTGTGAGTGATGCAGTTTAGTACTCTTTCCAAAGTAAATCTAATCCCAAAGCTATAATATAGCAAACAATGAAATGTGGCAGAAAGTGATTTGTTCTGAATTTGCTGCACAACGCGAGCTGATCGGAAACCATAAGGTGCAGTTGTCAAAATTCTGTTTGATAACTGGTTACTGTTTAACGTGTAGGTTTGAAAGGACTGAAAAGTATGACAGATAAGTGTGTATAGATGGGGAAGTGTCTTTTATTATCCATTAAAAATGTTTGCTTAACGTCAGATAAGTAAAAACTAAAAAGTGGTGGTGTTTGATCTTATGTCCTATTCAAACGCAAATTGTCTAGTGCTAATGGCAATCATGTCAAATGTTTTAAATGTTTTTTTTCAGAATACTGGTATCAAATGTTCCTTCCACCAAATTTTGATGAATCGAAAAAGTATCCTCTCCTCATTGACGTGTAAGTCAATTCCTTAAGCAATTCTGAAACCTATTCTGAAGAGCATCGAGGATGTTGTTTTGTGTCATTACTAGATATGATTGATAGCAATTAAATCAGCTGCGACATATTCCTGCTCCCACCTCCCTCTGTAATGTCTTGCCTCAAATTCCAAAACTAGCAAAATGGCATAGTGAGAATCTGGGTTTGTAAGTATATAGCGGCTTTTACATCAGTAGATGTTTCAAAGTACTTATTGTCGGGTCCTGCAACGTATTGGTAGAGCACTCGCCTCGCAAGTGAGAGGACCAGGGTTCAATTCCCTTGGGCAAGTTTCCTTACTCCACACACGCGCCTCTGTTAACCCAGCAGTAAGTAGGAATCTGATTGTTGGTCGATTGGTGAATCGCTTTTCTGAGGGTAATAATCCCTTCAAAAAAATGTTGACACTCAATCCACGACTGTTTGTGGGACTCTACTTTGTGCAATTGGCTACTGTGTTTTGCCCACAAAATATACAGTCAATCACTTTGCAGGTTATTCTGCGAAGAGCTTTGAAACGTCTCAAAGACGTGATAAGACTCTATATCAAATGCAAGGATTATTATTATTAAATTATTACTATTGTTGTGTTGCAGAATCAATCTCATAATGACAAGTTATAAATGAGATGCAAAGGGATCTAACATATCATTGTAAGTGCCACACATTTGCTCTTACAGTAGGAATGAAAATTGTATTCTGCATCTAATGTATGTTTAAAGAGAACAATGCAGGGAGACAGATGATCATTGGTATTATCTATTCTGTCCCAATACAATACATTGCTGCAGATACTGCCCTCTGTTGGCTTTCTAATGGCAACTTTGTCTGAGAGCAGCTCTTCCAATTTGTTTTATTATTTACTGTTAGAGTAGATAATAATAATGAGAATAATCCTTGCATTTGATATAGCGCCTTCTCACATCATCGAGACACCTCAAAGTGTACAGTATACAGAATATACTGTAAAGTGTAGTGTCTGTGTATTTGGTGGACAAAATGTTCTAACTTCATCCGCTTTTGTTCCTCAATGATCATACAACATCCACAAAGCAGCAAGCTCTACTGAGTTGACTGAATAGTGACATAAAACCTGTCAACCTGCACATTCAGTCAGTCAGCCTCGAAAAAATTTGGTAAGGTTAATGATAAACGAGTGATGGTAGGAAAAATCATTGACTCTCCAGGAATAATCCAGGAAAGGGGGGTAGCAGTTTGGTGGTTTTATTCTCACTTGTAGAGAATTGTGATATAAATCTATTGCCATGATCTATCTTGTAGGTATGGGGGACCAGCGAGTCAGAAAGCGGACGCTCGTTTTTCCATTGGTTGGGCAACGTATCTTGCCAGCTCAGAAGATATTATTGTCGCCAGTTTTGATGGACGGGGTAGCGGGTTCCAAGGTGACCAAATAATGCATTCACTGTATCGCCGGCTGGGCACGTATGAAGTGGAGGATCAAATTAGAGCAACAAGGTACAGAATCGTTCAATGCTATGAATTTACCAAAAAAAAGTACGTGCTTTTTTTAGCTTGAAATTATTGAAAACATTCCCCGAGTATAAATTGTCGTTGAGGGATAAAGAAAGCGCTGTCATATAGTTCTGAACCATTTTCCATCGTTTTTACACTTTTAAAAAAAAATGAAATATTTTGCTTCTTTGTAGAAAATTTATTGAATTGGGATATATTGATGAGAAAAGAATAGCAATTTGGGGATGGGTAAGTTCTTATTCCTTTTACAATCGTTGATGTCCTGCGATCTCTTTGATGTTCGGCAACACTAGGAACTATAAAATAAGGTTGACTCAATTGGTCAAAAAGTCTTGGTTCAAAATCGCAAAACTCCTTTGATTATCTCAACTGTCAATCATTCAATCACAGGATTCCGAATCTAAACATTACCCATTTAATTCACTATCAATGAATCAGTGTTTTGTCACTGATGTGTAACCAAATGTTTTCGATCCCCTTTAGTCTTATGGAGGCTATGTTACATCTATGGTACTTGGAGCCGGGAGCAAAGTGTTCAAGTGTGGAATGGCGGTCGCTCCTGTGTCAAATTGGACATATTATGGTATGTTCTAATCTCAGACAAGATAAGCATGCAAACTACAAGAGCGTCATATCATTGTCACACGGCTGAAAAGACCAATGTGTGGTGTCCACATGTGCATCGGTTTTCCCCAAGTGGTTTCGTTGGTAAAGGCAGGAATTGTGCGTTTGCTGCTGGCCAGTAAGATTGGGATCTTCAGTTGTGCAATAACCCACACGTTAGGAGTTTCAATTCCTGATTAACCTGAACTTTGCGATCTTCTTCTCCATTATTGACTGCAGCAAACTGTAGTGTTCAAATGTATGTGTAAGTTGAAAGATAGAAAGCAATTTAATACTACATATCATGGCCCAGAGTGAGGAATGGCATGCGTTGTATTAACTACAAGAAGAATATACTCAATACATGTTCAAATAACAAGCAGCGTGCTGTAGATACATGGTTGGTACACTTTGGAACATAGGAAAAGGAGGAGACCATTCAGCCCCTCGAGCCTTTCCACCATTCTATTAGCTCACGGCTGATCTGTACCTCAACTCCAATTACCCGCCTTTGCCCCATATCCCCTGACCCAACAAACATCTATCCACCTCAGTCCTGAAAATGTGAATGGATCCAGCCATAATCTGCAGCCTTTTGGGACAGAGAGAGAGAGTTCCAGATTCCCACTGGCCTTGGGTGAAGTTTCTCAGTAAACAATTGAGTTGTTGTCACAAGTCAGAGAACACAAATGTGTGGAATTACTGCAATCAGTGAAATAAAAAAAGACATATTTTTTAAGAAACAAAACCACGTGAATGTATGTACGTTTATGATGTGTAAGCTTTGCTTACAAACTTTCTTTAAAGATGTGTTTCAAACATTACAGATGCGATGTATGTTGAGCGTTATATGGGACTCCCAACTGAAGCTGATAATCTTAAATTCTACCGGGTCAGTCACAATTAACATATTATTCAAGTATATACGATTTTTTTCATTCAGCAAGTACAATTTTCGAATAGTAACCTCCAGTTATTTTAGGAATCTACAAACTCAAAGCCTTAATAATAATGATAACATTTACATTTATCTAAAATTTATATATTTATCTAACGGGTCTCCTACTCTTATCAGTTAAATGGGTTTATTAGTATTATCGATTTTAAACTTTTGCTATGCATTTTATCTTGAACCTGAACTCAAACTGGACTAATGCATGTTTTTATTTTCATGTATTATTGCTACATAAAATAATCCTTGCATTTTTAATTAAATTATTTGGTGCTTTTGTTTTCTAATAACAGTAAGAAATAATCCTTGCATTTGATATAGCGCCTCACGTCTTCGAGACTTATCAAAGTGCTTCACAGTGAATTGACTGTATATTTCTGTGGGTGAAACACATTTTCTTTTTATCATCTGAAATAAACTCACTAGTGTCATGTCATTACAGTTTGGACAATCCTTTAACGTTCTGCATTAAATGGTCAATTTATAAGTATATGGTAATATACTTATAATATACATCTTGTAATATACTTTTAATGAAATCATTTTGCAGAATTCTACTGTGATGCAAAGAGCTGAGAACTTTAAATTGGTTGATTATCTTCTCATCCATGGAACAGCAGATGGTGAGGCTTGAAGCATTTGCAAATCATTCTGTATCTTCCAATAGCTTAGGCAAATGATAGTTATATTTAAACTCAAGATCGGAAACCAATCTGCGAAGCAAATACTGAGCAAGCAATAATACTTCATTACAAAGCATTAAGCATCCCACTTAGCATGGGAGTCATTTTCTGCCTATGTTCGCTGAACGCACACGGCATGTGTAAATTTTAATGCATTATAATGCTTCCAAAAGATGTCAGTGGCATTTTCTTTTTAATGTGTCATGATGTTCATCTAATGTAAGTGGAAGGTGTTTACCACAGCCTTAACATGTCAAACAGACTCTAAGAGATCACTTTACTGTCTTTCAGATAACGTTCATTTCCAGCAAGCTGCACAGATCTCAAAAGCTCTTGTTGATAATGGAGTGGATTTCAGCGCAATGGTAAACTGTGGGCTAATGCTCTCTGGAAAACTTATTCAGAGATCACCACTTTCTTATACATTTTTCATATTCAACTGTTAAACGCTCCCCAATATAAGTCAGTATATGAATAACGGTACTATTAATTATTTAATAGTGATAATAATAATAATCCTTACGTTTGATTTAGCGCCTTATCACTTCGTTGAGACGTCTCAAAGCATTTTACTAATGACTGTGTTTAAAATTGCTTTGTGAAAGAATAAATGCTGATTCTCATGTTTCTTCTGGTTTCAGTGGTACACAGACAAGGACCATGGTCTGAGTGGTCATGCCAACAAACATGTCTACACACACATGTCCTATTTTCTCAAACGATGTTTCTCTCTCACTTAGTAATGCAACACCTACTCTGAAGTTCGCCAGCCAAAAGACTCCGACTGTTCTCATTAACATTTTATTTCAAGTGTTGTTGTTGGTAAAAGTAAAGCAAATCAAGGCTAAGAATGTTTTATTTTGTTCTATTCATAATAATGTAGAAACCATAATACACAAGTTTTTGGTGCCTGATTCGCTGCACCTATATATTATAACAATTGATTTATGAGTTCCAGATTATTTTAAGTACATTTCACCACACTTCAGTGATGTGTAAAGCTGTTGTGATCATTGCCAGATTGGCTCACACACACAAAAGAAAAAAACTTTAATGACTAGTGCATAAACCTGATATAATTTCACACAAATTATAATGACTATTTTTGCTGTGGCAAACATTATTCTCATTGCCATTTGCTAATACTTCACAAAATAGTTGGTATTTGTTAAACAGAAATTCAACAGTATCTAATAGTTTTTAAACAGCTTCATGACTTCCTTTAAAATTATTGGAAGTCAACAGAAGGAAAATTGAATTGTCCACTGTCACAATAATTTCTGGTTACTGTATTGTTTTTTATGTAATTTGGAAAAACTACAGTATTTGTATGTCTCATGTGACACCTCACGCTGTGTCTCACATTTCTCAAGCATTATTGATCATTAAACCTATGTGAAGCTTCAAACCATTTCTTCAATGGCAGTAATGTTAACATCAACTTCTTTGGCAGCCAAACACACACAGTTTACATTGTTCCTTGATGGTATTTCTGCAATCCATGCCTGTCTGTGGGACACTGCCATGCGCAATTGGCTGCTGCATTTTGCCCACAAAACACATGGATGATCCACTTTACAATATATTCTGTGAAGCGCTTTGAAACGTCTCGACCACGTGATAAGGCGAGGACTGTATTATCTTATTGTTGGTGTAGAACAAGATCGTGTGAGTTCTACACAAGAAGTAAAGAATTAGAAGTGAATAAATATTTTTAAAAAATATTCAAGGGCTTCCATTAATACTCCATGATAGGTTTCAAAATACATATTGTAATCAATAAAATATCACCTCCTTTTTGAAGAATTTCAGTGGTCCTTTTTACTTTGTGTGAATGGTCGCTTTGAATGGATCTTGACAAATTACCATCTCCTAATGTTCGCATTGATGAAAGGAAAAGCAGTGCATTCTCCAAGGCACAGTATATATTCTATTTATATTTTAATAGTAACCCGATTCCTTACGCATGGCACAAATGTACAACATTGACTGAGTTGAAAACAAAGAGAAATGAAAGAAACCCATTCAGGGACCGTGTATTTTGAGCTCTTGTAAGTGAACATATGATTATAGTTAGACTTGTGGCGGACTTCGATGAACAAGAATTCAAAAATTGGAATTCTGTAGCTCAGTGGTTAGAGACCTCGCCTCACAAGCGAGAGGACCTGGGTTTGATTCCCGGGCAGGGGGCGAGATGTTGGGCAAGTTTCCTTACTCCACACGCCTCTGTTTACCAGCAATCAGTAGGAACCCGGTTATGAGTCAATTGGCAGATCACTTTGGGGGGTAATAATCCCTTCAAAAAATAATAAAAATAGTAATTTGGTCACTCAATCAACGACTGTTAGTGGGACATCGCTGTGAGCAATTGACTGCCGCGTTTCACCTACAAAATATACAGTATATTGACTACAGTATATTCTGTGAAGTGCTTTGAGACGTCTCAGAGACGTGAGGGGGCTGATTCTCTTTATGCTTCTATCACCATAGAAGCGGTTCTGCCTAATTCTCAGCACGGTAGGTTTGGAGAAATTAAACCGGTCGAGGATTGAGTGACCAAATTATTATTATTATTAATTCTATTTGTTGGTTTGGTACAGATTTGCTGGTCCCTTCTGACCAGTAAATCTGTACCAAATCATTTCTGATCCCTTTGCAATCTTGATATCTTGTGTGTTAATGCATACAATACATATATAATATATTATATTATACAATACATGATGTATAATATAGTATTATACAATACAAGAAGATACAAGATAGAGGGAATCTAGTGTTATATCTTATATTCATTTCAGATGTTATGTATCTTGGATACAAGTGTCCGAGACAGATTGCTACGATTCATCTTTCCATCCTCATTTCCCTGACAGCTTCTACGTCTCTTCTTCACATTGCCACAGTCAGTGAATGCAAACATTTCACAATGTAAGCAAGCGGAAAGGCTTTGTTATGCACAATTCACTTCCAGTTAAAAGTGTGCAATTGTATGGAAAACAGCAACTCATCCGGAAGAGTCGGAAAAAAAAAATCAAGTAATAATAGTAACTAAACAATTCCACCTGAAACTTGTCAAATCAGATGGAAAACAAGTGGTTTTGCAAATAAAGGGGGTGATTCAGTAATTGTTAATCCAAGATGTCAGCAAGAATGGGGGGTTGGGGGGGAGTCAATTGCACCTTTTTTTTATGAATGGAAGTGATGATGCGTTTTCCTGATATATTGCCCAACCATCGCCTTTGGCTGCTATATAAAGGAACCAAGGTGTTTGAGCCAATGCAGATCAGCTTCAGGTTCCAGCAGAGCTTTGGACCAAGGGAAGCTACTGTTTGCCCAGCTATCAGTTTCATTCAGGGAAGTTCAGCTGCAGGTAAGAGTTACATCTCTGTTCCTTTTCACCAGTTGGGGCTACTTTAGCTGCATTTACAGAAAGAGAGAATGGCCCAGGAATAGATTTATTTGAAAAATATTTAGTATGGAGATCATTTACCGCTCCATGTACTGTTATCGCTAGTTTATCCTATTATCTTTTAGAGATGGATAACTATTACGTTTGACTGCAGAGGAACCTTAAGAATTATTCACTCTTACGCTGTTTCCAATGTTCTGTTCTTTCTTCCAAATGTCCTGACCTGAAGGTAGACACACATTCTGGTTAAGATGCCCTCAATTCCTGACCTTGCCCAAGTTACTGTTCCTCAAGTGAGAGTGAATTTGTGGGCAGGGTATTTAACCTGGGGAGATTTAGGGTCCAACACACACACACAATGTCCTAAAGGAACCCCCTCTCCATCACACCACAGCACCTCTCTCTCTCCAGCTCAAGCCCCAAATACCACCCCTACTCCTGCCGTTACTAAGATTCTATCATTCACTCACACCACAAGAGCAATGAGCCTTGGTTCCTCTTGATTCCTATAGCTCAGTCCCAACCGCCTAGTCCTTGGGAAGAACCTTTCATTTGGATTCTTTTTAACTTGTGATACACTTCATGACTTTTCATTTTGCTCTGCTGCTATGTGCTAATCTTTCAGAAACCTGTTTATTAGTGTTCTGAAACTACTGACCATTTTTAATGGTCCTCACTCGTGCTATGGCTTTGGCCATTATATTGAGTGGACATTTGATCCATTTTATTTTGCAATAAGTTAATATGCATTTTACAAGCATCATCTATTTCATTCACGTAGTTATTAATGAGATCGCTTGCAAAGGACTTTATTATATCGTAAACTAATTTATGTGTATTGTGCCCATGTAAAATATACAGTGATTTCTAAGTATCTAATTCATTCAGACAGTATTGTAATCCACAATGTTTAAGTGTATTTTATGTTGTGTGAATGCTGTGTAGGTAATACAATGAAAGGAGTCGATTCCATATCTGTTCTGCTGCTTTTGATACTAGTACAGAATACCTGGCAAACTCCAATACAGGATTCCGATTCATCCAGGTAAGATTTGTAACACACTGGTTTATCAATAAAGACATCAATAACCATCTAAGAAAACGATATTGGCTTGTATCAAAATAGAAGATGATATCATTAATTATTTTTAATATCATGAATAATTGAAGTTAATATTGGGGTGATGGTGAGGGCTGGTGGGTATATGATATTTTAGAAATACAAAATCATTGTCTGTTCTGGTCCACATCAGACAATGGCAAAGAGAAATTAATGGCTGGCTGGGTGTGTGTGTGTGTGGGTGTGTGTGTGGGTGTGTGTGTGGGTGTGTGTGTGGGGGGGAACTTTTTACAAGCTACAGTACAGCTCCCTAAGGCAGCATTGGTAGTTACAGTAATGTTAATAAAGATAATAATTGTGAATATGTTTATGATTACAGTAATGGTATATCTTTCTGAATTGAACAGGGCATTGGAGACGGCAGAGAAACAACCCGTGGTTACTCCCAATGTGATGACAGATGTCAAACGCCATTCTGAAGGCACCTTCAGCAGTGACTACAGTAAATACTTGGACAGCAGACGTGCTAAAGACTTTGTTCAGTGGCTGATGAGCACCAAACGCAATGGGTAAGTTAATTATATATAGAGTATTATATATATATATATACATATACACACAATAATAAAAAAGGACCAAAAATCATAATTTCTTTGACTCATCAGAAAGTATGAAAATGTTAAGGAAAATAATGTGTGAATAATTTTGGATAATACCCTGAAAAGCAATCTATTTACCAGGGTAAAGTACAGCAGAAATCTAACTGTGATATATATCTCTATCACTGTAAGAGCAATGTGTGCACAATGTCATTCCAGTGCCAACACTGACAAAACCAAGAGACACGCAGATGGCAGCTACACCAGTGATGTTGAATCTCTCTCGGATTACTTCAAAGCAAAGCGATTTGTAGATTCACTCACTAACTACAACAAGCATCAAAGCGAGTAAGTACAGCCTAGTATTATTATTATTATACTCCAGCCCCACATATCGTTCCCCCAAAATGCAATATATTAGCCTTATTACACTTGTAACTTTCATTTATATTATATTGTTAATATAATGAGATGCTATATCAAATGCAAGGATTATGATTATTATTAACTCTCATACGTGTTCAAGAGCAAAATAGATTAAGGGTTGGGATCATTGTGACAGGTCCCACTCACATCGTTTATGTGTCAACATCAGTCTCTATCAACTACATGGTATGCAAGTCACTCCAGATGCTGGGAGATGCAGTAGACAGACAAGAGAGACGGACAGAGAGAGAGAGAGCGTGAGAGAGAGAGCATGAGAGAGAGTATAAAGAAGGATTGTTCTCCTATAATTCAGCAGGAGAATGTCAAAGAGAAATGCCGACAGAGCCAGCCACACAGAAGAAGATTATCCCAGTGATTTCAGCTCCTACCTGGAGGCAAAAGCCGCCAGAGACTTCATCAACTGGCTGATAAAAGGACGAGGAAGGAGAGAGTAAGTGTTTTTCCAAACTAGTCGCATTCATTCCATCGTCATTGCTTTTTTCGTTTAGTTATCCTCCTCCTCACAGTTACATTTGGATATTTTAATGCTCCGACAAATCAGAATTTTTTTTTTCCCATTTCTGTAGTTGTACAACAACTTATATTCACTTTATAGGAACATGAGATCATAAAATCAGATCAGTCTTTAGCACAAGGAGTTTTTTCTGTGGTTCTAATGTCCTAATTATCAAATCAGTTCTAAAAAGGGGCTTTTATTATCGGTCAATTGGCGGATCGCTTTTCCAGGGGGTAATAATCCCTCCCAAAATAATAATAATAATAATAATGTGGTCACTCAATCCACAACTGTTTGTGGGACGCTGCTGTAGGCAATTGGCTGCTGCATTTCGCCCACAAAATATACAATCAATTCACTTTACAGTATATTCTGTGACGCGCTCTGAGACGTCTCAAGGATGTGATAAGGCGCTGTATCAAATGCAAGGATTATTATTATTAAATTGAGGGTCGAGAAAGGGAAATCACATGGGTTTCATTTAGGCAAATGGAGATTCTGGTGTTTAAAAAGAAATCCTTGTTCCATTCCCAGCTTTGCCGAGGAGAGCAGGGAGATCGAAAACGAAGTGATTGCCGAGGAACTGGACAGAAGACACGCTGACGGCACTTTCACTAGTGAGATCAATGTGGTTTTGGACACCATGGCTGCCAAGGAATTCCTGAACTGGATCATCAATTCCAAGAACATTCAGTCAAGGTGAAAGAAATCACTGTGTACTGGGTTTATCATGAGACCGTTTAACATGGTCAACACATGTGCCATTCATTCAGTGCTCCATTCAACTCTAGCTTACACCTGTGTAATTATATTACGTGCTGCTCTCTTTTTTTGATGCATTGTGTTGTCAGCATCGATGTAAAAGTGATGGAAATTTGCGGGTAACACTGAATCCAAGCTACACAACAGCCTGATGTCTTTTGACACTCACCGATTCTAAATCTTAAGCTCATCTGTTTGAAATGCCATATGTCAAACTAACATGATTAATGATTGAAAAGAAGCAATCAATAAAAGTACTTAACACTGCAAAATCTTGACCATTCAATGTTGCTGCTACACTTAGAGAGCCTGAATGAGTGGGTTGAGGAGCATTAAATGATATTGCCTTGCTCATATTGTAGGATTATAGGATTATACTCACACATAATACTGAAGTACACTCTTCTCTTTAACTCAGAATGCCTTATTCATACACAGCTGTAAATGTGGGATGATGTTGCATGTGCAGCCCTGTAGCTCAGTGATTAGAGCACTCACCTCGCAAGTGAGAGAACCCGGGTTCGATTCCCGGGCAGGGCGTAACCTTAGACAAGTTTCCTTACTCTACACGCCTCTGTTTACCAACAGTAAGTAAGAACCTGTTTGTTAGTCAATTGGCGGATCACTTTCTGGGGGTAATAAACCCCTTCAAAAAAAACAATAATTATTCGGTCACTCAATCTACGACTGTTTGTGGGACGCTGCTGTGCGCAATTGGCTGCCGCTTTTCGCCCACAAATATACAGTCAATTCACTTTACAGTCTATTCTGTGAAGCGCTTTGAGACGTCGAGAAGATGTAAAAAGCGCTATATCAAATGCAAGGATTATTATTATTATCCTGTGAAGCTCTTTGAGACACCTCGATGCTGTGATAAGGCGCGATACCAAATGCAAGGATTTTATTTGGGGAATTTATTAGCTCGGACACCGGGAGAGAGAAACTACCTTCTATTTTCAAAGAGAAAAGGCACCAGAGGTGTTTTTACAAGATTTTTTTTTACTACCAGATACGGCTGAATATGCTCACATCTGTCAAGTTCCCAAATGTTACTCTGCAATTAAATCTAAATGTAATCATTGCTCTCTCCCTAGAGACGCTGAAAAGGACTTCTTCAATGAGTACAAGGGAAGATGAGACTGATTTCATATCCAGCTACTTTCTGTTGCAACATTGGCCAACACGATGAAATATTTACAGCTTTTTTGTTTTGCAAATGACACTAACCGGGGTGTGTGAGGCTCCTCTTGCCGCTAACTTCAGGCATTTTGATGATTACGCATTTCAAATTAGATTTTTTCTAATGATGTGCACATGTCGTCAAGGTCACTGCACTTAGCGACACGTGGGGAATCTCTCACCCAGAATGAATGTCATCTGAAGCCATAATGCTTTTTGCGTGTGAAAAGAATTGACACAAAATGTAGTGTGTTGTTTTGAAGTAGGACTCAAAGTAAATAAACATTATCAAAAGGATATTTAAATGAATAGCCTGAAAGTTAGAGTCAATTCCAGCAGTTCTGAAAAATATCCGAATATCAAAACGAACCTGTTTACATTGAATTTACGAAATTATTTTTCTATTAAATAATTTGTATATATTTGAATGAATAAATGTAATCAACTTCAGTTTAGTTTAAATGGACTATTAAAAAAAAATTCAACCGTCCGGTTTCAAACCAAGCTTGTTTAAAGTAAATCAGTAATGCACAGCTTCTCGGCCACTCCTACCAACCATTAATAAAATGTTTCATCTTACCTGAATCTGAAATTCTCTCTTAGACTTTCATCACATTGATATGAGGATACAACATATTGCACATAGTGTGAAGTCCTGTAGCTCAGTGGTTAGAGCACTCGCCTCGCAGGAAAAAGGACCTGGGTTCGATTCCCGGGCAGGGCGAACATTGGGCAAGTTGCCTTACTCCACACACCTCTGTTTACCAGCAGTCAGTAGGAACCCGGTTGTTAGTTAATTGGCGAATTGCTTTCCAGGCATGATAAGCCTTTCAATAAAAAATAATAATAATGTAGTCACTCAATCCACGGCTGTTTGTGGGACGTTGCTGTGCACAATTGGCTGCCGCGTTTCGCCCACAAAATACACAGTCAATTCCCTTTACAGTGTATTCTGTGAAGCGCTTTGAGACATCTCGAAGATGTGATAAGGCGCTGTATCAAATAGAAGGATTATTATTATTAATACAGTCTTCACTGGTTACACTGGGGATTATATTCCACATGAACACTGTCGCCCTCCCCGGGCTGGGCTCCGGGCCCTATCAATTGCCGTGACAATTACCTCTCACTGGGGGATGAAGCAGTCACAATGAGCTGAAGCAGAGGTCACAGAGGCTCGAGTGGTCACAAAGGCCTGGAGAGTTCATAACGAGCCGAAAAGGTCAAAGGTGGGTGGGGTGGGAGTTTGGCAGTTGGAGCTGGAGTTGGGTAGCGATGGAGATCACCCCCAACAGACATGCCGTGAGCTTCGTGCGGCCACTCACACGCCTGAGGATCCACAAACAGAAGAGCGTCTTCTCCGGCACCTACAAGATCTGCAAATTGGCTGCCAATGTCCCCGACCTGGTGGTGTTTGAGGGGCTCGACCGGCCCATCCCAGATGTGGAACATTTTCATGGAGTCCTTCTGTTTGCTGACATCTCAGGTAAGAGAGAGAGAGAGAGAGAGAGAAAGAGACTGGGGCAGTGAGTTGGGTTAGATACAGTTTCACAGAGAAGCTTCAATTATATAGACTCGACCACCACTAGCAAGGCCTTACTTGACAAGCTTGATTAAGGCGTGTTGTTTTCAGAGATTGCTAAGGTACAATAAACTCCAAATTGCACCTAGTTTTAGTCTATTTTAGGCTATCAGAAGACCTGTCTCCTGGGGTGAGAGGAAGCAAAAGAGAGAGAGGGTGTGGGGAGGGTGGGTGGGGGGGGTGAGGGGGGAGAGACAATACGCACTGACAGCTGTTGAGGCAGAGGGAAAGCCTTGCCAACTCCTGATCCAATTTTTTTGAGGACTGTGAAGTCCTGTAGCTCAGTGGTTAGAGCACTCGCCTCGCAAGTGAGAGGAAGTGGGTTTGATTCCTGGGTCAGGGCGAAACCTTAGACACGTTTCCTTACTCCACACACATCTGTTTACCAACAGTAAGTAGGAACCTGCTTGTTAATCGATTGGCGGATCGCTTTCCGGAGGTAATAATCCCTTCAAAATATACAGTCAATTCACTTCACAGTACATTCTGTGAAGCCCTTTGAAATGTATCGGGAACGTGATAAAGATGCACGGATTACTATTATCTTTTCTTTTGAGACAGGGTTCACCAGCCTGACCGAGAGATACACAAAGAACAGTAAAAAGGGATGTGGGGCTGATCATCTGACCAGAGAACTCAATGGTTACATCTCAGAAATTGTGGACCGTAAGTGGTTACAGGTGTCAGCCTGGCTCGGTTACTAACAACAACAACAACAACAACAAGATTCCATTTATAAAGCGCCTTTCACGTCAGGAGGACGTCCCAAGGCGCTGCACAGTTGGGTCATGACCCGAGCATTGGGGAAATGGTCAGGGTGAGGGGTGAGGAGTGAGGAGGGGTGAGGGTGAGGGGAGGGGAGGGAGCGAGGAGGGGGGAACAATGTTACTCTGGGAGATTCTGGGTTCCAGGCCTTTCTCAGGACTTAAATTCACAATCACACATATTGACACCTTAGTGGAGTGCGAGGGAGGCACTGTTTGGGATGAGTTGTTAGCTTGAGGTCTTGTCTGCCTGTCCCAGAGGACACTAAAGATCCTGCGACTGTTTGAAAGACAACGCGGTTTCTCCCAGTGTCCTGGCCAACCATTCTCTGGATAAAAAATGTGATCATTAATCTTATTGGTTGTTGAGGAGGGAGTTTGCTGTGTGTACAACAGGTGTTGCTTTTGACTTGGGAAAAAGTCATTTGTCAGCACTTTGAGATGGTTTAATGTTCCAACAACAACAACTTGAATTTATATAGCGCCTTTCACATGGGGTAGGAGATAGCATAAAGCACATTACAGGTGCTATATCAAATTCACACATTATTGTATTATTAATAAACTAAATGAACCCACATTTGACTGATTAATGCAAGTGTCTAAAACTAAACCTAATACTGTACATAGTAAATAGTACAATTTAAAATGAGATTGGAATGTGTTAACATTGTGGACATGTAGTTTTTGAGTCTGGATGAACAACACTGTAAATGAACAATAATCACAATTTCTTTTAGATATTCTTCAAGCGGGCGGAGATATTGTGAATTATGCAGGTGAGTGTTCCAAATGAATAGAATCTAAAACGCAACCTGTGTTTTTGATGGTGTTATACAGTAAGATGATTTAATTCTCTCTCTAATCATTTTCCTTCCAACAGGTGATGCAATGCTGGCCCTTTGGAGAGAGCGCAGGAAAGCACTCAGTGACATTATCTCTTTAGCCGTCAAATGTAGTCTAAATATCCAGGATAAATGTGATAACAGGGACACGGAAATAGGAGTCAAACTCAGAGTAAAAATAGGTAATTAACGCTTTCAGTCCTTATTATTTATTAGGTTTATCTATTGTGATATAAGTCACTTTCCTATTTTTGTTATAGTTTTTTTTATATATTACATTATAAATGTATCCAGAATTATTTTATTTTTATATTAACTGGCAGAACAACTATTGGAGGCAACTTATGTTAACTAACTGAGAGATAAACAAAGAACAGTAAGAAGGATTGTGGATTGTGGGGCTGTCAATTGAGACATCTCGAAGACTTGATAAGGCGCTATATTCAAATGCAAGGATTATTATTATTATTAAAGCTCCCGGCCAATGTGTGTGTTTCTCTCTTTAGGTATTTCAGCAGGAAAGCTATCGAAAGTGGTGATGGGAGATCATGAATCTCGCTATTATGCCCTGATTGGCTGCGCGGTTGATGAAGTGCGCAAAGCTGAAGGTCTTGCTTTAGCCAATACTATAATCTTATCCCCAAATGCCTGGGAGCTCTGTGACCGAGACAATATAGTGGTTGAGCAAATAGAAAATGACCGGGCTGTTAAGGTAGGAGAAGAGAGATCCCACTATAGTTTGTTCCTATTTGAGGCTGTTAAAATGATAAATATTTGTAAGTTTTAACATTAGATGAGAGAACTGTGTATTATGTCAGCTTGCCCACTGAGAGAGAACTATGGAGCATGGTCTCTGTAGGCTGACCCGTTTGGGACGTCCTCTCGATGTGAAAGGCGCTATACAAATGTAATCTTGTTGTTGTTGTTATATGTTTCATGTCTGTTTACTAACTAGAAACACTTTCGCAGTTACAGCAATGAAGCTAATCAAACATCAGGATACATTTATCACTGTAATACTAATTCTCCTAACCCACAACCAGGCAACAAGCACAGGTAAATTTTAAAAAATATTTTGGGTTTTAACCAATTTTAAGCAAAATATTTTTTAAAACATTACCCGCTCTTGCCCTGTGGTCATATTTACCTTCTAATTTCTCTTCCCTATCTTTACATGTTTTAGTTTTCTTACTGTTTCCTATATTTTCTACCGATTTAAAACATTTTGCACTCGTTCTTTAAAATGTAGAGGTTTTCAAACAGCACGAAATTAATAAAACCATCTGTATAGCTTGTAGTGAAGATTAGAGATACTATTGAGAGAAAAAGGTATTAAAATATTGGTTGTCTGAAGGTGTATTTGGGCATGAGGCTTTATAAACATTTTTAATGCAGGTACGATACATTAAGAGAGATCCCCAATTTTCAGTTGAAGATTATACCAAGTCGTTCGGAAACCATTTGGAATATCAAGAAGTCAGTGTTAGTAGAAGTACGTTCATTCTATAGTTTTCTTGTCTCTCATTGGTTAAGACATTTTGCTCTTTGGTTTTAACCAAAAATCTGAATTTTGATTTATTGACAGAAGCAATAAGAAAAACATCGAGACTATTGCCAAACCAGCCCCTCGAAGCTGTTCTTCGTAAATATCTCTTGAGAACCGTGTTACTTAAGGTACTCAACTCCAGAAGATTTTTGATGCCTTGAATTAATTTATCGTTGCCCTTAAGTTTGTGTAATTGTGTGTATGTTCTGTGAAACGCTTTGAGGCAGCTCAATGACGTGATAAGTCGCTAAATCAAATGCAAGGATTATTATTATTATTATTACCACGTAATGATGTGAGTCAATCTCATTATTGCAGATCGATGACGGAGTGCCTTTAGAATATTTGTCCGAAATGCGTCCAGCAACAGTGGTGTTTGTTAACCTGCAGTTTGTGGAGGCTGCTACTATGCACAATCAGTGCCAATCAATACAGGCCTGTTGTCTTGAAATTAACAATGAATTCAAAAAATATCAGGGAAGAATAAATAAGGTCTTTATGTTTGACAAAGTAAGTAAGGTCACCCCTGGATAGTAAAGATGTGCAGCTGACATCTAATGTACTTAAACACAGATTCTATGTGGAATATTTGCATCATCAATCAATGCTACGCTGGTTTCTTGATTGCCCTCAGAGGTGGAGTTCTGAAGGGAACGGTTCAAAGCAAATCTCATACTCCTTGTTTCAATTTAGCCCAAGATAGCCCGTTGAAAACAAATTCTTTGTTCCCATGAATTCAATACATATAGACTGTTTAAGGTGGGTAAAAGAGGAATAAAGGAGTGGTATTACACAATAAAGAATTTATTTTATAAATAAATGGGACGCTGCTGTGCGCAATTAGCTGCTGCGTTTCGCCCACAAATATACAGTCAATTCACTTTACAGAATATTCAGTGAAGCGCTTTGAGATGTCTCGAAGACATGAAAAGCGTAATATCAAATGCAAGGATTATTGTTTATTTATTATTATTTTAATATATAAGAATGTAAGCTATTCAGGACATTTGAACTCGGAGATACAAGTGCCCAGCTCCGTGAATTTGTACTCAACATAGGAGGAGGCCATTCAGCCCCTCAAGCCTGTTCCGCCTTTCTATTAGATCACGGCTAATCTGTAGCTTAACTCCAATTACCCACCTTCGCCCCATATCCCTTGATCCCCTGACCTAACAAACATCTATCCACCTCAGTGGGATGTCTGTGAAAGGCCATGAAAGGCGCTGTGTAAATGTAATTTGTTGTTGTTGTCGTCACATTAATTTCAGGGCTGTACGTTTCTCTGTTGTTTTGGTCTGCCTGGCGACAAAGGAGAAGATGAATGTGCAAATGCTCTACAGTCCGCACATAACGTGCATGAATTCTGCACTAAAATGCTTAAATTTGTCAGGTAAATAAAACTTTCTAGTATTAAGATTTTTGGATCCACACGAATCGTATTTCAGTTTGAACACATCAAACAGCCATTTGAAATAAAATAGTCACATCTATATAAAATATCAATTATAAATAAATTATCGTCCACAAAATACCGTCAATTTACTTTATAGTGTATCCTGTGAAGCACTTTGAGACATATTGAAGACATGATGAGGGGCTGTGTCAAACACCAGGATTATTAATAGTAGAAATTCATTTATCTTTTCTTGTATATCTAGTGTGCCGTCTATTGGTATAGCCACCGGGCCTTTATTCTGTGGAGTGGTTGGACACCCTCTAAGACATGAATATACAGGTAAAGAGAAGGTGATTTACAAACTAAAATACAGGGAATCCCTTTTATAAAAGGGACCTGTCAAGAGAACAAGTTTTCTTACAACCAGAGTAATCAGCGGAGTCCTGTAGCTTCATGGTTAGAGCACTCGCCTCACAAGGGCGAGGCCACAGGTTTGATTTTTTTTTTGAAGGGATTATTACCCCTGGAAAGTGATCGCCATTCGACTAACAACTGGATTCCTGCTTACTGCTCGGTAAACAGAGACGTGTGGAGTGAAGAAACGTGCCTAAAGTTTTGCTTTCCCGTGCTCTCACCACTGAGCTACAGGACACCACAACTTCAACAATAATTGGCAATTCTGTCAAAAAGTTGAAATTTACTGAGCTTTCTAAAAGCAGACCGATGTGAAGCAGTGCTGGCTGCTGTTGATTGGGGTACATTTGTAATGTAATCTTCTGTTTTTGCTTCTAATGATTGTTTCTCCTCAATAAAGTCATCGGTCGCAAGGTTAATTTGGCAGCAAGGCTGATGATGACCTATCCTGGTGTGGTTTCCTGTGATGAACAGACACACTATCATGCCAAGATGCCATCTTCCTATTTTAGTGAACTGCCTAAACGAGCTATGAAGGGTGTGCAAAATCCAGGGCCTATTTACCAGTATTTATCCAAAAAACATCAAAAGTAAGTAACATTTATTGTAGTATTTAAGACTCCTCAAGCCATTTCTGTGAGTGTAGGTATCTCAGGAACTATTATACATATTATAATAATAATAATCATTGCTTTCTTACTCAATCATTTTACTGTTCATTAGAATACTTGGAAAACCTCGGATTTCTGTTGAAAAGGAGGAAGGTTACCCTATTTTAGGTGAGTTTGCAACAACAGCGTAAAGGAATCACCTCATTACAAATGTAATTGTTCAGTGGAAAACACAGAAATGTAACTTTAAAAAAAAGCTACACTTAACTCAGTTTGACTATTTTCTAATAATCTCACCTTGAGTCAGAGGCTGTGGGTTTGAGCCCCACACACAGATTTGGAACTAATATAGTCTAAAATGACGCCCCAATACAGTGCTGGGATCTGCTGCAATATTGGAGATGTCATCCTTCAGATGAGACATTAAACCAAGGTCCCGTCTACCTGTTTAGGCTGACATCAAAGATCCCTTGACAATAGGAGGACGTTAATTCGAAAAGAGAAGACAGTTTCTCTCTCCCAGTGTCCTGGCCAACAATCTCCCATTGCTCTGCGCAAATTGGCTGCCGCGTTCTATCCTCTTGAAGTGAAAGGAGGTATTCTAAATGTAAAGATTATTTTTATGGATTTAATTAATTAATTAATACCCAATACCTCAGGTCCAGTGAAAACTCACCATCGAGTTAAATGCATGTTGGAAAATGTTACTGCCATGGACAATGCCTAAACAATGAGCAATGCTAAATGTGCTATTTCTCATGTGGCTCTAACCTAACGTAAAAACTAACCAACACTTAGAATATAAGGCACTCATTTTCCTAACTGTGACAAATGAACAACTGATTTCTTTTTCCCAAATACAAAATTCTTAAGGTCGGGAGAAAGAGATTGAAGTTTTCAACAAAGCCCTAAAAATATATGCTGAAACAAAAAATTTGCCTTCAATTAATTACTGCCAAGTGGTTATGTATGAGGGAACAGTTGGATGTGGAAAAAGCAAACTATTATCTGAAGTCATCCGCAGAGCACAAGGAGAAGGATTTAGGTTTGTGTGTTGTTTACATCCTTCATTGTGAATATCCTGGGAGGGTGAAACGTTGGGCAAGTTTCTTTACTCCACACACCTCTGTTTACCAGGCAGTAAGTAGGAACTCGGTCGTTAGTCGGTTGGCAGATCGCTTTTCTGGTGTAATAATCCTTTCACAAAAAAAAACCTACTACTCATAATAATTTGGTCACTCAATCCATGACTGTTTATGGGACGCTGCTGTGCGCAATTGGCTGCTGCATTTCGCCCACAAAATACACAGTCAATTCACTTTACAGTATATTCTGTGAAGCGTTTTGAGACATCTCGAAGACATGATAAGGCGCTGTATCAAATGTAAGGACGATTATTTTTCTATGATACGTTTGGAATAAACATTTTTCATCTGTTAAATGGAAACTGCTTATACGAGTCAAAAATAGCTTGAGATTTGTACGAAGACACAATACGTTAGTTACCTGTGTAATCTACTGTAGAATTTTAAGATTGTTCTTCATTCAGATTCCTTCATATACAACTTGAGGCTCCAGCAATGCTGGCATTGGTAGGTATACTCTACTGGGGGGAAATGTTACAGAAATAATATCATCTTTTAAGATGTTATGTGAAGCCTCTATTATCCATTGTGTTCACGTACTAGAGACATAATAGTCCACCTATAATATAAATCTTGCCGTTTAGTATCACCTTGATCAAATCTTTTGTTGTATTTCCAATCTACTTCTCTGCCTTTGCAATTTTATCTTATGATCATTACCATCTTTCTTTTTATCTTTTTCGTCCCGATATTTTAATTGTTTGTTGTTGCATTGCATCAAAAAAATTAGAATTTGGTCACTCAACTCACGACTGTTTGTGGGACGCTGCTGTGCGCAATTGGCTGCTGCATTTCACCAACAAAATATACAATCACTACACTTTACAATATATTTTGTTCTTTGAGACGTCTCGAAGACGTGATAAGGCGCTACATCAAATGCAAGGAGTATTATTATTAAGCCCCAATGTTTTTTGATCTTTGCCTTGACTTGGCAGGTACCAAAAAAAATACCCTCTTTGGTAGAAACTGTTCTTATAACAGCCCAGACAGTGCTCGTTGGTCACAAGAGCAAGCGCTCTCCATTCTGTAAGATTAGTGTGTTTATCTTCAATTGTGTGTGGAGGATGCTGAGTGAAGCATGAAGATAAGGTACCTTGAAGGGTCTTCTTCATTCTTCGAATGACACCATGTTCCTACCTGACAAACCACTTCAGTCCTGTTGAGGGGAGGGAGCTCTCCTTTTTTCCCCCCTTTGGTTCAAAAATAATTGGCCTGGCTCGAGCGGAATTGCCTTTAACCCTAAAAAGAACAATATTTCCTTGATTGTGTTTTACCCGGCAGACTGTATTTATTGGTGCCAGTAATGCCGGAGTCTCTGTGGTGTATGGAGGTCATTTGAAAAATGAAGAAAACCTTTACAAGGTAGGTTGCTCTTTCTTTATCGTTCCTAAACTACACATTCCCCCCTCCAGCTTTGGTATTCAGCACAACATTGATAAACTAATGTAGCTTTGACATACCTAGAATTTAGGAATAACACAATGGATATCTTCTAAACATCTAAGTGCCCAGTGATACATTTGGGCTCACTCCCAAACCAAAAGAATATCTTCACCTTCTAAGTGTATTTCACCCACAAAATATAGTCAATTCACTTTACAGTGTACCCTGTGAAGCACTTTGAGACATCTCAAAGACGTGATAAGGCGCTGTATCAAATGCAAGGATTATTATTATGTAAGTATCTGAGTCAATTTACAACTGTAAGATAATATATTGTGCCTGATTTATTGTATTGATTTAGTTGATATGCAGGTCAAGTAGTGTACTAAAGCTCTTTAAAAAATCAATACACTTTTATAATTATCACTGTTTTTCTCTGCCACAGGGTGTTGCCATTTGAGTTGGGGAAAATGGATATCACCGAGTCTTATTACACCATCCAAACTATGTTGGCTTTACTGCTCCAAGTCAACCACTGCAAAAGCTACGTAGAACGAGAGAGAGTTTTACTTAGCAAAATAATAGTCCGAGAGCAGATTGTGGATTTGTGTCTATTAAACGACCTTCTTTTTGTGAAGGTACCAAAATAACTGATTATATTTATATATACAACAAAATTACATTTGTGTAGCACATTTCACGTCGGGAGGACATACGCGATTCAATATATGCAATTGAAGGTGGATAAATTCAGAACAAATCTGCGGAAACACTACTTCAGTGAGCGAGTAGTAAACATATGGAACAGACGTCCAAGGGAGACAGACAGTGGGAGCAGAAAGTGTTGTTTGTTTCAAGAACAAATGTTAGGAAATAATATCCAGGGACACAGTGTACAGTTTGGGACACAGCATGTCAAGCGACTGCCAGGATGGTGGAAGGTGAACTAGATGGACCTTGGTCTTCTTTCGCCAGCAAATTCTTATATTTGTAACCAATAATAATTTACTGACAAATATTTAAGATTTGGTTCCCAAAGATGAGTGAAGAGTTAATTGTTGTTTCATACTATTAACCTCTGGCTAGAGGAGTGGTTAAGATCTTGTAACAGAAGAAAAGTAAATACAGTTGGACCTTGTTATAGTACTGTGGTTTGGGGTCCATCAGAATCAAATAAAGGGGTGCATTAGCAAACAGTATTTAGTGATGATTCTGGTTGTCATCGCTCTGCTTACCTCATTGCTTGTCCACTGCATGCATTTGGGCATGTGCCAGGTGCCTTGGTGTCACTCCCTGTTCTTGTAACATGCTTCCAATATACCAACAATGGCCAATATACCCAAACACTAACCTAGTCTATACCAGGGTCCAATATAACAGGGACTGATTGTGTGTACACACTAAACCTTTAGCAAGTGCTTAACATGGTCAACAAGGGGACAATGGTTCACAGTGAGAGGATAGATGAACAGACATCAAACAATTATTTTATGCGGAGGATATGTAAACTATATAGTGTGTAAGTGAAAGCAGTTTGTGTCAACAAAGTCAAGAGTTACTTTGGATAATATTCAGTTCAGAATTCAACTGAGGGGTATGAGGGAAGAGCAATACACATGTTTTTAACTTGGGGACTTGCCAGATGGGCAGCAATGCTCCTATCTGGTTCTGTATATTCCCGTGTTTGCATTTAATATTTATGTTCTTTTTCAGTTTCCGATTTCAGAAAGAGTATCTCTCATGGACTCCAACACCAAACATAAGACATTTAAGAACTATGTGATCACAATTATCCAGCAGGTATGAAGAATTTGGCTTGTATTGTGGGGCTCCAATCCTCACCGGAATGGGGGTGGGGGGTGGATAGACCAAAGAACAAGTGTATTGGATAACCAAATAGTGCCTCTCTTCGCTATGAGTTGATGTGTATAATTTGCATAAGCAAAAATAGTCATGTAAGCTGCAAACAATGCATCAGAGACCAGGTCATCGCATTTCATGGTTAGAATTGAGGCCTCGATCCTTATTTGCAGAGGATTTGTTTTTCTGATCAGTTAAGTTAGAAAAACACAGAGATTTTAAATAACGAGCTGTAATAATATGTAATGAAGTGCACCCCAACAAAATATGTTTGTTTTAATTCACTTTGTCATCTACGGTCCCTTCAGGCGACTATGAGTGAAAATATTCTGTTTGTCATTGACCAAGTTCAATATATCGACGTACAGTCGTGGGAACTGATTGTGCAGTTGCGCGCCAGGACGGGTATATTCCTGGCGATGGCGTTGAGACCCTTCACTGCAGAAAAGCCCCCTTGTCCTGCCGCAGTCATTGTCATGAAGAGCCACAGAACTGCCTACATAAAGCTCTCAGGCTTAGACTCCAGTATAATCCGACCACTCGCTTGTCAGATCCTGGGGGTGATTAGTATCCCGCGGGAGCTGGAAATGTGAGTACAAAACAGATAAGTTATTGCCAGTAATAATCCTTGCATTTGATACAGCGGCCGATCGCGTCATTTTGTGGGCAAAACGCGGTAGCGAATTGCACACAGCAGTGTCCCACAAACAGTCGTGGATTAAGTGCACAACTGCACAGATCTACTGATGGTGCTTAAAACCTATGAATTCTAATCTCCCCATAAATACATGGATTCCTATCACAATTTAGGCTTGATTTACAATTTAAATTTAAACTTACAATTTAAAATTGATTTGAAATGTTGATATGTCTTTGTGTGTTGCGCTGCCAACAGTTTAATCAATGTTACACCCTGTAAGTCAGGTTCTGACAGCAAGACAGACTGCATCCATTCAATGTATTTTACTAACTTTGATCTGGTTTAAAAAGTTGTTCAACAATTTGTTTGATAAGAGTTTCTGCTTATGGGTATTTAATCTCAAACCATTAAATTATGGTTCATTCTCAGCAAATAAAAATATAAAAATTTAAGGATGGGAAGTGAGCTTGAGGTTTAGGTACAATTGATCTGATTTCCAAATAAGCATTGGACACATTTTCTGAATATCTTTGCTGCATAAACTCTGGAACTCTCTCCCTCTATCCCTCGCTCCGCCTTGCCCCATCCTTCCCCCATTTTCTGGTCGCACCTGAAGACCTTTTTCCTCTTCGATCGTGCCTAGGTTCACCTCCCCCCGGCTCGGTATGGCGCTCCGGGAAGCTACCCTGCGTGAAGGGGGGGGGGGGCGCAGTAAATGCAAGTTGTTGCTGTTGTTATTGAACTAAATATTGGCTTCTTATTGCTGTCCTGTTGCATGTTTTCCTGGGCAGCCTGCTGACTGAACGTAGCTATGGCGTGCCCTATTACTGCGAAGAGATCCTCAAGAGCCTGTATTTCAGTGACCTGATCATCCTGGAGCCCCTGGAGGAGGAGGAGGAAGATGAGAGCGATACCGTACTCTCCTACATGCGAAACAAATTGACACAAAATCGCTACCTGCACAAAAACAGGGGGTCAAAGAAATTAAGTGGTACGTCTTGGAATATCACTCTCCTCTATTTTACGTGGCCCGAGTGTGGGGCGCTGTATGAAAGCAAGTTGTTGTGAACCCAGTAAATATTGGGGTGAATGTTGCTCCCCACCTGTAGCTCAGTGGTTAAGTGCACTCGCCTCGCAAGCGAGAGGACCCGGGTTTGATTCCTGGGTCAGGGTGAAACTTTGGGCAAGTTTCCTTACTCCACACACCTCTGTTTACCACCAGTCAGTAGGAACACGGTTGTTAGTCGATTGGCGGATCACTTCCGGGGGCAATAATTCTTCCAAAAAAATAATTTGGTCACTCAATCCACGACTGTTTGTGGGACACTGCTGTGTTTCGTCCACAAAATATACAATCAATTCATTTTTCGGCATATTCTGTGAAGCGCTTTGAGACGTCTCAATGATGTGATAAGGTGCTGAATCAAATTGAAGGATTATTATTATTAGTATAACTACCAGGATAGTCACAAGTTAAGTTTAATTTACCAGCATCATTTAAAACCTTGGCAATTTTACAAATGACAAAAATCTTCTGTTTTTAAAGGCAAATTTATAACGGAAATAGAAAACCCCAAATGCCGAAAGATTATAGCACTGGACAAGAGTGCAAAAATGGATAATCAGCAATTTATCTGCACGATTGGTGAAACTGTAAACCTTCAGGAGATTACTATTCCACTTACACTTAAAGGTGTGTCCCATAGGAATTGCTGTTAAATATGCCAAATATACTTAGATTTTCAGAAAGTGTTTGAGCCCTTTAAAGATCATGAATATTAAAGATATTTGAAACAAAAACTAGTTTAGTTAAAAGCAACCGGTAATGATAAATAAAATAATATGGTCACTGCATTCACGACCGTTTGTGGGATGCTGCTGTGCGCATCAGGCTATCGCGTTTCACCCGCAAAATATAGTCAATTCACTTTATAGTATATTTCTGCGAAGCCACTTTGAGACGTCTCAAAGAAGTGATTTATTTGTGAACTATTATGCTACTAGTATTTAAGTGCTCCGAGAGGCTGCCCCGCTATACAAATGCAAGTTGTTGTTGTTGTACTACATGCAGCATTCCACCCATATTGTTCTTATTTTCCTAAAATATGTATTAGAAATGTTAATGTGAAGAGAGACCTGGATGTTATCAATCCTCACAGGTATAGCCTTAGCACAGCTTGACAGGATGAACCCCACAGAGCAGATGATTGTTAAGTGCGCATCCATCATCGGACACACTTTCACCACCAAAATGCTTCGATACATCTTACCCGAAGGGGCCGAACTCAAGCTGAATCAGTCCCTTATCTCGCTGGTAAAATCACGGACTCTGGAATGTGCGTCGAGAAGCGACGAAGCCTGGAGTTCAATCCTAGAAGACAACGAAGACTTCCATGTGCTGCAGTGTTTCTGCCCGATCACGCCTGATGAAGATGAAGAACACGATGAAGAGAAAGGTATGTTTGGGAGGCATTGGTGGTCGATCTGTAGTCCTGTAGCTCTCAGTGGTCAGAGCACTCGCCTTTCAAACAAGAGGTCCCGGCTTTAATTCCTGGACCGGGCAAAACCTTAGCAAGTTGCCTTACTCCCCAAGAGTCAATCAACTAACAACAGCACAAGAGAACAGCATCGGCATTTTGAAGATTACAAAAAAAAATCAAGGGGAAGACTGTTTGATCCTGTTAAATGGGACTTTGTTTTCCAGTTCTTTATATGAACTGTAGATCCAATTTTTTGTTTGGGATGAGGGATGCGATATAAATGCAGGTTTTTGTTGTTCTGCTAGTGTTGGAAAGTCAATTAACAAAACTGTCACAAAACTCAAAAAATTCAGTTTTCCCCATTACTTCCACAAGGTGTCAGAAACTCCAGTATCATTGAACTTGCCCAAGGTTTCTCCCTGCCCGGGACTCAAACCCAGGTCATCTCACTTGCGAGACGAGTGCTGTAACCACTGAGCTACAGGACTCTGCATACCACAATTAGATTATTACTCTAGCACAAAATACAATCCTTACTCCTACATGCAGATTTATAAGTAGATTTTTCTTTTGAAGGGGTCATTAACCCCGGAAAAGCGATCCATCAATCGACGAACAACCGGGTTCCTTCTTACTGCTGGGTAAACAAAGGCATGTGTGGGGAGTAAGGAAATTTGCCTTCGGTTTCACGCTGCCCTGGGAATCGAACCTGGGTCCTCTGGCTTGCGAGGCGAGTGCTCTCACCACTAAGCGACAGATCTCCATGTTGTATGTGAATAACAATAATGGTCGGACATTCATTTAATATTTCTGCTCAACTTTTAGGTCCATCAGTCCCCAGCAAAGACAAGGAACTTATCTGGCGTTGCAAACTGATGCGATTCTGCATTGCACTCGTGCACGAAACAGCCAACGAGCTGTGGCTAAAGCAGCAGAAAAAGGCACTTCACATAAAATGCACCCGGTTTCTGGAGACTGCTGCCCACAGGTGCAGCTCCTGTGGGGAAGGCGACTTTATATACAAACACGAAGCCATGCTTAAAACCAATGAAAACATCAAGATAAAAAAGGAATCGTCTCAAACTTCCAGTATTGTGGCTGTAGCTTCGGTTCCCAGTGTGGAAACCAACATCCATTCAGGTAATCAAACACAACCATATAAAAGATCAAAGAGCCATTGTAAAGAAGTGGTTTCGGGAATAATCTGATTTTGCTGAGAAGTTTGACCATGTGGAATTCCAAAGGCAACTTTCTATGACTGTCAGTCAGTGGGCCAGGTTTAGGGTTAGGCAGCGCTGTTATACTGTGTAGCAAGATGGACAATATTCGGCATTTATTTCTCACAAGTCAGTTTGACAGTTTTCATGCTGAGGCTCACACTGCCAAGCTGCCACTTAGCTTTGAGAAGGTACTTAAAAGGGAAAACATCTGCAGTGCTGTGGGGTGAGGGCGGGGGACTCGTTGGAAGCTCTTTTCAAAGAGCCAGCACAGAAACGATGGGCTGAATGGCCTCCTTCTGTGCTGTAAGGTTCTATGATTCTGAATAGTCATATAACTGCAGGCAATAGTGAAGACATCTTTTTAAACTTTGGTGGAACTTTAAGAAGTTTCTCGCACAGTTAAGATACTTAGTTTAGGAGCCAACAAATAGTACAATTTGTTCACCCAGACACCTTGCTTTAAGCTTTAGTCTATGAGAAAGTAATGTAAAACCATGAATATAACTTGAAGTTGCTGGTTCACATCACGTTGACCTAGGCACCAATTTCACTAACGGTTCTGTTAGTATTCAGTTATTAATCAATTAATCAGCTCAATCAATTGGCAGTTGTTGGAAAGTAATTTAATTTGCTATTTTGTTGTAGAGACGAATTTAAAATACCTAACATCGGGAAACTCTGGTTCCCGGGAGATGTTTCGAGCCTCGGCTTCGCTGTCTGATCCACAGTTTGGTTCTTTCGTGTTCCCGGAGAATATTCACATTGGAACCACAGGTACATCTGAACAATGCCCAAGATGGCAGAAGACCATCATTTTGTGAATCTAAGTCAACCCAAATGCTTCTCTTCGTTTCACCCACAAAATACAGTCACTACACTTTACAGTTTATTCCGTGAAGCACTTTGTGACATCTCGAAGACATGATAATGTGCTATATCAAATGCAAGGATTATTATTATTTTATTGTGGTTTTAGGGGATATTGCTGTACACAACTTGGCTACCACTTCTGCTTACAAATATACTTACTAGACCTTTTGAATATATATTCATATTTATATATTTAAAAAATGTGGTCACTCAATCCAGGAGCTCTTGGACACCGCTGTGCACAATTGGCTGCCGCGTTTGGCCACAAAATACACAGTCACTACACTTTACAATAAATTCTGTGAAGCACGTTGAGGCATCTCAATGACGTGATGAAGTGTTATATCAAATGCAAGGATATTTTTTTTCTCTTTTAGATACTAATGGAGAACATTCAAGTAACGAGAGCAGCGATAATGATGATGTTTCCCTGACAATCTTTCCTTTAACTTCTCATCATGGTGAAGGTATAATAAACAGAATGAAATAAATGTTACAGGTGGAATTCAAACCACTTTTCCTCCAGCTCATCTGTCAAACACGGCGTCACTGTGCATGGTTCCACATTACAACAACAAAATTACACTTATAGAGCGCCTTTCACGTCGGGAGGACGTCCCACAGTGCTGAACAGTCAGGTGTCAGGGCCCGAGCATGAGGGAGGGATGGTGGAGGGGTGATTATTCCTGTGATTACGAGGTCAATGGGTTTATTTACTCTGTGTTGCATTCTGAATCATTAAATAAAAATTATTTTGAAGGCCAGGCTTGTTGAGTCTCCATGCTAAACAATGAATTATGTTTGATACACTGCCTTTTTGTAGATTATTAATTATTATTATATTTTCCCTGTTCAAGTAGTTATACAATTCCCTTTTAAATGGTGGTAAATGGCTTGAACCTTATTAGCCAACAATAATCTATTGTCAATCTCTTTCAGCTAAGGCCAAGAAAAGGGAGAAATTGTCACACACCGGGTAATTGACATCTTGTTAGAACATATTTTCAGGAGCTCTTGGATTAATTTTAGATCGTGTGGAATTAATAGGGATTAATAAAGCCATGCTTTCTTACAGCCATGATGAATACATCATTCAAAAGTTCAACAAAGTGCTCACCGATTGTGAAAACGATAAGTCGCTGAGTTTCAAGATGTGTGAATGTAAAGCCATATTGGACGCTGTATTTGTCCCACTGGTTCGCCACTGGATGGGAGCTGGACACGTGTCTAAAGCATTCTTTTATCTGCTTGAAACTGCTGCAGCTGCTTTGTATTTATCCAATAACTTGATGGTAAGTTATACAAATAGCTTTTTTTTTAACAACTCGTGTTTGGTTTAATCTCATTAAATAAAGCAAAGTTATACACTAGAATTCACATTTATATTATTATATATTATTATTAATTATTATTATTGATCATTTCTACTGAGCGCAATTGGCAATTCTTGCATTTGATACAACGCCTTATCAAGTCTTCGAGACGTCTCAAAGCGCTTCACAGGATACACTGTAAAGGAGAAACGCAGAAGCCAATTACCCACAGGAGTGACCCCATAACAAAAAGATTACATTTGTATAGCGCCTTTCCCGTTGGGAGGACGTCCCAAAGCGCTGGACAGAGTACAGCACAAATACTTTACTTTAATAGTAAAATAAAATCATATCCATTCCTGTTCATGATCACCTTTTCAGGCCATGTCATATATAATAGAAGCACAGAATATGCTTTCATTGATGAAAACAGGGAAACTTCCTTTTGAATTTGCTGATATCACAACCAAGCTAAAAATCTCAGCTTATGAGAAAGCCTGTTTGTATAGCCTCAAAGGACAGGTAAGGAACGTCCCAATTTGTTTTATTAAGGATATAATTTACTATTGATAGAAGTAAGTCTTGGTAGAATGATAGAAATGAATAGATGTAAAAAAAATCCTTGTAAAATTTTGTTCACTTTGCGGTGGTTTTCAAAGTCAAGTTTCTGTTCAATGACATTCATGACTGAGTATTTTCAGAATATTGTGCAGCTATTACTGACATTCCCATAGCATAGATATGAGTTTCAGGAACATTTACACTGTGCCTTTTTGGGGGAGGGAGAGGTGGGAGGGTTGGAGAAAAAAATGTTAATGGGAGATTTGGTGTATAAACGGGAAAACTTTTTTTTAAAAAAGCAAAAAATAAGACGTGAAGGTGCTACGTCAAATGCAAGGATTATTATTATTATGATTATTATTTGATTCCATCACAGGTTTATTTTAACCTTAGCCAGTTGACTGAAGCGGAGGTACTGTTTAGGAAAGCCTTACGTCTGCTGAACAAGACGTTTCCGAAAAGCTTTCTGGGACAACTATTGCTCTACGTCATTGAGAATTACAAAATATCTAAGAGATCTCACACCAAGAGAAACATATCTGCACTCCCCATGTATGAACTGTTATCTAAATATACTATATATATTATATATATATATGCCAAAATTATTTCACCTTTTCCTCTCACCATTGTACACCGAAGGGAATTATGTTGGGATATTACTCGTGAATTTAACAAGATGTGTTAAAGGGGTTGTGGACACTCGGCTGATTTTCATGTTGGATTACTGTAACTCATACTGCACTGTTCATTGTACATCAACTCCTAAGCTTTCCTGCTGCTTGTCCAGCTACGACCAACCTCCCCATTAGGGCTTTGGCTGTGGAGTTAACAGGAGCTGAGGGGGAGGATTCCCCGCCCCCAGTGACTGGTCGGCCCTTACAGGTCCTGCTGATGAGCCGGGCCGGGCTGGGCTGCCATCAGCAGTGAGTGCCCTGGGATACTGCGGACTCTCCCGGCTCAGGAACCGGGGGCTAGAGATCATCATGGAGGGCTGGGCTCGATTCCGACATTCCTTTGCCAGGCAGGTCACCTTGGGACCACTTCAACTACAAGGGGCCAAGTTCTAACCCTAACCCTAATTTCAAATGCTTGGATTCCAAATGCTATCCCTAGGTATTCCAAATGCTTGGAATAGCTTGTTACTGACTCTCTTATCTCTCCTTTTGTATTTTAGTGATGACATCTCACCTCAGGTTCATGGGCAGATCTGTTGCCTCTCATTCTTGTGGCAGATTTACTGCCTTAAGAGATGCAGGAGCTATAAATTACCTGCCTTGTTAACTGTGTTAATGGAGGTGAACAATGTTGAACAGGCCAACGCTGAACTCAAGGTGTGTTTCCAATAGCAATTGATACAATAAATCAAGAGGCTGATGACTAGTATTATACCTGATATGTATTCCAATTTGTTTCTCTTTTTCAATTAAATATCTATTAATTGTTGTTTGCAAAGTTGACTGTCAACAGCCCAAAAGCTCATCCATAATTATTGAGTCTTTTCAAAGAATGTCTTCAGTATTGTTAGAATGTGTGGTCTATTGATTTGTGTGGTTTTAGATCAGATTATGCAGCTCATTTACATAGAAGGTAATATACAGCTGAACCTGGTTACCAGAAAGAATGATTAATGATAATAAATTGGTCACTCAATCCACGACAGTCCACAAATTATACAGTCACTACACTTTACAGTGTATTCTGTGAAGCTCTTTGAGACGCCTCAAAGATGTGATAAATTGCTATAATCAAATGCAAGGATTATTATTATATGAGGGTTGAGGCCAGAACATTAGTCTCATTTAGGAAACAGCTTGATACTGTAATTGAAAGACTACAGGGGAGGGGAGGTATTCAGGTAGGGTGAGATCGCATGGACCTAATGACCTAACTCATCTACATGTCTCTTGCGACCTTGTGTATGTATTTTAATATACAGCCTTAGTTACTTTGCCGAACATAATTGTTTCTCTCTTTCTCTTGGACAGATCATTTCTTCTTACATTGATTCTTTCCGATGTTACCATTGTATGGGCTGTAATCAGAAGTACAGGAAGTACGAGATGTTAGCTGTGGATAAATGCCTCGCCCTTGAGCAGAATAAATATGGGTTACTGATGCTGGGTGAATTGATCTGTGCACTTTCCAGTATCAAACTGTGCAATGGACAACCCACAGAATGTATTCAATACGGTAGGTACCAGAGCTCTCAGCAGATGAGCATTCTTAACGTTGACAGGAGGTTATCATTGCAACGTGTTTTCTGTGGAACGCTGGATTGTGCAAACTTAACCTGTTCTCTTGGACCTTTAAGGACGCCAAGCGCACAAGATTGCTGGAATTCTAAACAAGCCAAGTCTCGATGTCTCCATAATTCCTGTTCTGTTAAAGGCCTTGATCGTCTGCAACAGGTAACTTACAATTCAATAGCTTTAACCATGTTAATCTTTCCATTCTCACAGACATGACAATCTTTGGATGTATAAATAGGTTGTGCTTCTTTGTAAAAAAAAACCCACAACATTTTGAAAAAAAAATTACTTAACTAACCCAAACCTAACAGTTTTGACAGCAGTTATGTATATCTATATATTGCCACAAGCACACACCTGATTAACCATTTTGCATTTCCAACATTATTATTGCACATGATACGCTTATTTTAACTACTACATTCTGAAAAAAAATCTTAATCAAATTATTATTATTTAATATTTATTATACGTTTTATACTTTAAGCAGTGGATCTCCTGTTGAAAACTTTTTTATTTTGTAGAATTCCACATTATATTAAGGTAGCATTGTATTTGATGGAGTTTTCAGTCTATCGTGAGAACATAATTGGACAAGCATCATTTTATGCAGCATGTCTAGATCTTTTGCTTCAAGAAGGCAAGTAATTTCATCCTAGATAATGTAAAGTAGTATTTGTATTTACTGATTTAGGTACTCTAGGTTATGGCTTTCATTCAAACATAAACTTCACTTGTTAAGACAACATTTTGCAAAAAATATATAATGGTCATCATTTAATAATAATCCTTGCATTTGATATAGCTCCTTATCACGTCGCTAAAATGTCTCCAAGTGCTTCACAGTGTAACGTGTTGTGAAGTGGAGTGATTGTGTCTTTCCAGAGGGATGAGGGTAGTGAGTTTCAGACTTTAACGGTGCAATGAATGCAGTGTTGGCCATTGTTGGGGGTGTGGGTGGAAATGGGCACTAGACCTGTGTTAGCTGAACAGAAGGACAGGCATTGGAGTGGGGTAAACAGGTCAGGGAGGGAGGGAGGGAAGTGCTAGAGCTCAAGATTAAGAAAGGCTTCAAAGTGACATAATATTGTTTTTGACCACAGGGGTTTCACTGAGAGCATTTGATGAATGTTATGCTTTTATCAATGCAAACATCGATGATCCTATTCTAAAGGCTGAGAGGAGTTTGATGTTGAACCTTCACGCATCAGTCGCACTCTGGTAAAGTGATGCCAATTGGTCAATAACAATAATAATAATCATTGCCAGACTGTTTGACTTGTTTGGTGTATATACTCTAACTGCTGATATGTAAGCTCGTGTCTAAACAGGTTTCTCAGACTGTCCGAATGGTCCAATTCTCGCGCCTCGTTTAAGATGGCAAAGAGATTGGTGTCTCAGACCAACGCTTCACTCTTCTCTATGTACGGCTATGCCAAGCTCCTGGAGTGTCAGATTCTGGTCTTCCGAAAAGCATTGTGGGAAAAACAGGAGAACGTGATGGAAGTCTATCACCAGACCAAAGAGGTTTCCTTTTTATTTATCCTTGCGTTTAGCTGTTTGGTGTTAGAATGACTGACTTTAAGCATAATATTAGTTTCATTCAAAGAACATTTGACTCTCATTCAAATTTTTAGATTGAGATTTTGCTTTGGTTAATTTTATATTTCAAAAGTAATTCTTCTTAAACAGTTTACCATTAAATCCAGTCCAATATATATATATATATATACACACACACAACAACATCAAGGCCAAATTATTATTATTATTTTGTTTGCAGGGATTATTATCCCCGGAAAAGTGATCCGCCAATTGACAAACAACCGGGTTCAAACTTATTGCTGGGTTAACAGAGGTGTGCGTGGAGTAAGGAAATTTGCCCAACTTTCCACCCTGCCCGGGAATTGAACCCAGGTCCTCTCGCTTACGAGACGAGTGCTATAACCACTGAGCTACAGGACTCCACAGGGGATGTGATCACACGTTGTAATTTTCATTCCCAATAGTTCTATTTTCTGGTCCAAGAAATCAAATGGTCCAAATGTGAAGCATCCACAACCAACTTGTTAAAAAAAAGGCAATTGTTAAATGTGGATTTAAAATAAAATATAAAATATACCATTCTGCACATCTGGTTTCTTTTTAACAGTATCTGAATGACTTCAAGGAACGGTGTTGTAACAACCCACTTTATTATGCACGACTCTTCCATCTTCGAGCATACAGCTACATGTTGGCCGGACAATATGGACGAGCAAAACATTACCTTAAAAAAGCAACAAAGATCAGTGAGGACCATGGGAACATCTTGGAGGGAAGCTGGTTAAAGCAAAGTGGAGTAAGTGTTACTTTTTATTGACTGCCATTGCCATTTTATTTTTGTATTTGTGAAGTAAAGTAAGTAAATTGCGAGGTAAATCTAGCAGGTCTAACTAGCCAAATTGGGGGAGTCAATATCGGGATAGGGGCTGAGTGGAAACACCTCAGTAACTGGCGATCCTGGATAACTGGTAACTGGATAAAACACTCCTTCAGAAAAAGTTACTTCAACCTGTGCAATGAACAGCACTTGCCATAATCTTGCACATTGCTAGTAACAAGCGATATTCTCGAACGAACCCACGGATTGACTTGAGAGGCAGCAATAGCAGACCTATAGATAGTAATACAGAAGTTCATTACATTTGCCTTGGCGAATAACTGCACTTTACTACCAATCAGTACTACAATCTAAAGGCTTCCTCTCCCCAATGTGGGTCACATATATCTATCAGATAGATCATAAGCGTAGAAAACTTTGCCAATGGATATAACATGGAGCCTAATAATAATCCCTTCAAAAACCAAAACAATAATAAATTGGTCATTTTCAATCTACGACTGTTTGTGGGACATTGCTGTGCGCAATTGGCTGCCGCGTTCGCCCACAAATATACAGTCAATTCACTTTACAGTGTGTTCTGTGAAGCGCTTTGGGATGTCCTCCCGATGTGAAAAGCGCTATATCAAATGCAAGGATTGTTGTTGTTGTTGTTGTTGTTGATTGTTGTTGTTGTTGTTGTTGATCCGCCAATCTATTAACTAGATCCAGGACGATTTTCCTCACTTCATATTATTAGGCGATAAATAACAACAAGCTAAACGTATTTACAAGTCTTACCCAATTTGCTCGTGTTCTGTCCCCAGGAAGCGTGGTTTGACGATTCCGAAGATTTTCCTGAAAATCCCTGGATCAAGTTAGGTACAAAAATGCAGATCTGGGACGAATTAGGGGAGCAAATTTCCAGCGTGAGGTATCTCCTGCTGCCGGCACGGAACGAGAATGAAATAGTTGAAGATGAAGCTTTGCCTACAGACAAATCAGATGTGGATTTAGTTTGTCTTCCTTACTAGCTCACAGCAGGATATAATGGGAGGAATATGTTGTAATACTTACCTCTAGTCTTCAAATCAATTGTCAAGTGTGAGTCCCCATACCAAATATTTTCACTCATCAAAATAAAATGAATGAATAAGAATTCTTTCAAGTGAATAATTATGAATTTCTATTAATTCTATTAATCTATTCTATTAATTAGTTTCTATTAATCAGCAAATGGCACTGCAATATTACTCACACTTTTTAAAAAACTTTTTTTTAAAAGTTACAAAGAAACGGTTTCATTTCTAACATTGTTTGTTCCGTATCCTGTTACGTAATTATTAAACCCAGGTATTGGAGTCTTACAGAATTATATGATTAGTTGTTTATGTATTATGTAGGTGTAGGCTACCCCTCACAGCTTCTACATGACGTCAAACAATTACAATTACTGGGCGAAACGCGGCAGCATTGTCCCACAAACAGTGGTGGATTGAGTGAGTGTCCGAGTTCTTTTTTTTTAATGATACATGAAGAAATCGTTACACATAAGAGTATTGTAAAATGCCAATACGAAGCAATGTTTCCACCACAAAATCTGCAAATATAATACGCTGAAAGTACATCGTGGGCAAGATGGACTTTTTATTGTGTTTCACTAAACGTGTTCATAAATACTGAAAATAAAAACAATATTGAATGTATTAACATTACACATAAAATCTCAGAAATAATTTACATCTATCCTGTTTTACTTTTTTTTTAAAAAGAGAAATAGGAAGTTTGAAGTGAACAGTTGTACACACACATCATCAACCAGTTGGTGGTGAAATTCCACGATCAGGCCTGTCAACACAAAGATAGTTTAAACACACGAGAACTGACATAAAGAGTGCAGTTCCCCACTGGTCGGTACATTTGCTGGCTTTACAGTGCATGCTTAGAATAGGATTTGCATTTATAATTATAATTAGAACTGCATCAAAGCCAGTAAACTAATTGACGGACAGAAAATATACCTACTCCAACAAGATTAATTTAACTGACGAGCAGAGAGAATAAATAACCCCACAGATTAAGTTGGTATTTACATACCTGTATAAAACAACAAAAACATCAACTGTTCAGAACTATTTCTATTGATTTTATCTTGAACAAAGTGCAATGAAGTAGTTTAGGACCTAAACTGGTTTACAATTTAACACTATTTAATCATGTAGAGATAGGAGTTCAATGCATTCATTCTGATGAATAGTTAATGCTTTGTCAAGAGATAAACCATCACAAATAGATTGAAATGATTTTTGTTCACATGCGGAAAACTATATTTCATTTAATGATGAATCCAAATAAAATCTGTCTGGTTTGCTAAATGTGCCGTACTTTATAAGCTTCAATACTGAAAATCTAAGTGCTTGCACTTCATTCTTCTTATTCCTGAATATAGATAAACTAGACATCCTCTTGCATGAAAATTTGATTTTTTTTTGCCCCTGTTCCCAAGAAAGATGTTGAACAGTTTATAGATTATATAGAATTTTTACCCAGAGAGTTGTTACAGTCTGGAACACACTGCCTGATAGGGTTTTGGAAGCAGATTCGATAGTAGCTTTCAAAAGGGAATTGGATAGGTGTTTGAAAAGGAAAAATGTGCAGGGCTATGGAGTAAGAGCGGGGTTTGTAGGACTAGTTGGGGTAAGAGCGGGGGTGTAGGACTAGTTGGGGTAAGAGCGGGGGTGTAGGACTAGTTGGGGTAAGAGCGGGGGTGTAGGACTAGTTGGGGTAAGAGCGGGGGTGTAGGACTAGTTGGGGTAAGAGCGGGGGAGTGAGTGGGACTAGTTGGGGTAAGAGCGGGGGAGTGAGTGGGACTAGTTGGGATAAGAGCGGGGGAGTGGGGACTAGTTGGGGTAAGAGCGGGGGAGTGGGACTAGTTGGGGTAAGAGCGGGGGAGTGGGGACTAGTTGGGTAAGAGCGGGGGAGTTGGGGTAAGAGCGGGGGAGTGAGTGGGACTAGTTGGAAGCTCTTTTCAAAGAGCCAGCACAGGCACGGTGGGCCGAATGGCCTCCTTCTGTGCCGTGAGATTTCAATGATTCTAAACAGCTTGGATCCCTCTCTCATAATAATTACCTCATTATTTGAAGATATCCAGAGAAAGCAAAGTGTCATGTGCACATGTGGACAGCAAGATAAGCAGCTAATTTAAAATGAAATCTTTTGGAGACAGTAATTGCCTTTCAGTTAGTTACCATTAAGGCTTCCGACCACTTTTTAATTTTAAAAATTCAGCCATTCACCCTCAATTTATTTAGATACCAGAAATCATAGGCCTCACGCACACACACATTGAAGCAACGTATAAAAGTATAGAAGTTTGGAATAATCATACTATTTCTGCTGATCTGACTATTATACTTTTCATCTTTGTTTATGGGCTTTAAATTCATGTCCGCTAGATTTTGTTCCCAAGGGGAAATGATTAAACGCAATGATATTTAATATGCAATTCTACATCCAGTCTGAACAATTGCAAGTGAAGCTTTCCATGTCCTGCATCATGACGTGAGCTACACACAGTGCAAAGTAATTTAGACGGTAACAGTAATTTGACAACGGAACAACTTACATATAAAGCAGTATTGCGAGTATTAAACTTATAAAGAAACATGGGAGAGTGATGTGTGCCATAACATGAGGCACATACCTACACGTTTACGATGTTAGATCACAGACACCATCATTCATATTACAAATATAAAAGTCTAAATTGACCAGACACATCACAACAAGTAAATTGCAGTCCTTATTGTACACCGGCTGCACCTAAGTGGTACATTATTTTTTCACACTTAAAACCGTATAGAAACACGTAAGAATCAGATAGTCAAACAGAGTGAATCGACCACCGTTTAGAATGTAGTAAATGCTGGTTGGAATGCTAAACTGTTGATTCATGTCACCGTGAAATCTGATCGGTCGGAATGATAAATGATTAATTGTGGCACCAGTTTCTCAATAGACCAGGTAAACACAGAACAGAATACAAAATAGGTCAAAGACACGTTTCCCTGTCAATACTCTTCCCTGAGTCAGTTTTCTTCGCTTGTCTTCGTTCGTGGTTAGCGTGTGAGCTACACATAAAAAAAAAGGAAAGGATGAAGCGGTGCTAACCCTGAGGAGAGCCACGGTCAAGAAGAAACTCAAACACAACGTGCAGGAGTAAACTCAGCATGAGATCATGCAACGGCGTGACAAACAATGCAGCGTAAATGCAATCTAGTACAGCTAGTTACAGCCGCGGTTATTTCAATCAAAGTAGTGGATAAGTGAAAAGCTTAAGGTTGTCATATCAGCAAATCATAACGTAAGATAAATCAAAAACCTTGGACATTATCAGTGTGCAGAGAGAACTAAATCAAACTTCACCTTGAGATACCTAACTGGCAATCAATTCACTGGCAAAGTTTTAAATCGGTTGCTGAGAACGTTTTAAGAGTTGCCAACAATTTTATTCAGGTTACGTTTGCTCCAGTTTCTTCTGCACATCTTTAATTAATTAAAGCAAAGCTGAGGGTCCGAAGAGTGTGAAAAAAAATGATACAGAAGTGATGCACAGGTGACTGAGGAGAAGGTCAAAGGGGGAACCGGTCTTACCTTTGGGGAATTAGCTTCGAGGTGGGTTAGGAAGGGGAGCTTTATGACAGAAATGGAATGAAACAAGACAGATGTTAATTCCATCTCGGGTATTATTAATAATAATAATCCTTGCATTTGATACAGCGCCTTATCACGCCTTCCAGACGTCTCAAACAACTCCACAGAATATATTGTAAAGTGAATTGACTGTACATTTGCGGGTGAAACGCGGCAGCCAATTGCGCACAGCAGCGACCCACAAACAGTCGTGGGTTTAGAGACCGTATTAAATAACTTAATTTCAGGCTAATGTAATCAATCCTCCTAAAGCTACAAGCTGAAACATATGGTTTCCAGACAAGGTAAGTGAGCCTTTGCCTCCTATAAACACAAGTCAGCAAATCTCAAAGAGAAATGTAATTACAAAATTACTTTCTTTTGTGTGTTTTCTTTTAAAAATTCGATATAAATATTTGTGTTAATATAGATTGAAATATTTTCTGTAAAAAAATGAAAAATACTTTCATTTCAAGTGAAGACGGAATTCAAATATGGTACCTTTTTGAAGTTAAGTTGGAATCCTTGTTTTTTGCATTCTCAGTGTTCATGGAGAGGGCTTTCCACACAGAAGTTTTGGCCATTTCATCGGAAAGGTTAATAACAGATGGATCATCCCTAAAGACAAGCAAACATTTACAAAAAAAAAGCATCTTGATCATCATATATTAGGTTATTATATCAACTTTTTTTTAAATGATCACACATTGCCATACATCTAAGAACAATTACCATTGAATTATTAGGCACACAAATATTGTAGCTTTCTGGAGGTTAATAATCCCTATAAGCATTACAAAAACATATAAACATTGCATTTTATTATGACTAAGAATCGAAACACCAATTCTAATAAAGATTTTAGCTGGGTATAAATAGTAATAATTCTTGTATTTGATACAGCACCTTTTCATGTTGTTAAGGCGTCTCAAAGCGCTTCCCAAGATATATTGTAAAATTAATTGACTGTATATTTTGTAGGCAAAATGCAGCAGCCAATTACGCACAGCAATTTTATATATTGTATATAAAATATATATTCTACCTGTAATCCCCTTCCAAAGGCAGTTGAATAGTTCCTTCCTCTTCCATTGTTAACATTATTTGTTCTTCCTTTGGAGTGAAAACAAGTAAAATAATCAATGAAACAAATGATTTACTCAAGCATGTGGATCAGTCTAGATATATATGTGGGAATGATTTAACTTATTGGTAAATAGCATTTTGTATTATTTATAAAATTGCTTTAATTTCTTAATCTTGGTCTATTTTATCTTATCTTTTACATGTAATTGTGCATGTTTTGTGCTTTGCAGATGGATATGGCAGGTTACCCTAACACGGCAGCACAACAATGCCCCACAAACAGTCGTGGATCGAGTGACCAAATTATTATTATTATTATCTTCAATACAGGTAAGATGGTTCTTACTTCCTTTTCTTCATCTTCCAATTTTTTCTTTTTACTCTCGGGCATCAAGTCATCCAGCCAGCTCAGCTCCCGTTTGGTGAAGATGAAATCTAGAAGTTTCCGTATGAACACCAGAGCCAGGACCTGATAACACATGTTCATTATAATAATAATAATCCTTGCATTTGATATAGCGCTTTTCACGTCGGGAGGACGTCCCAAAGCGCTTCACAGAACACACTGTAAAGTGAATTGACTGTATATTTGTGGGCGAACGCGGCAGCCAATTGCGCACAGCAATAATGTCCCACAAGGTGTCGTAGATTGAAAATGACCAATTTATTATTGTTTTGGTTTTGGAGGGATTATTATTAGGCTCTGTGTGGAGTAAGGAAACTTGCCCAAGGTTTCGCCCTCTGCCTGGAATTGAACTCAGGTCTCTCGCTTGCAAAGCGAGTGCTCTAACCACTGAGCTACAGGACTCCGCACCTCCACAAATTTTAGCCACTTTATTGACAGAATTGGGTCATAAATGTAATTTGGCTCCAATTTTTTTTGCTAAATGTGATCACTTTTGTGTCTTAGCATTGCATGTTACAGTAAACCACACACACGTCATGTCAACTGGGACATTACATTTAATATGACTTTAATACGCAAAGTATGAGTTAAGTGAAAACTTATTAATAATAGGAAATTGAACTGGAGTTGGGCAGATTTACGACTTAGGCCATTATACAGATCAAATTTAATATTAATAATAATTATGTGAGACGAAGGTCCCACAAAGGAATGATAATACCTGTTACAATTTAGATAATACCAGTTACATTTGTCTGAAACACTCTGGAGCAGAGTGTTGCTGTCTATAGGTACGCACCATCATTGGGAAGACGATGGCAGCTCGGGAGACCTTTATTACCCAGAGCAAAATCAAACAACTGAACTGTATCACAGTGAACAGGTGGACTTTCCGAAGAGGTACGTGACGTAGATAGATAAAGTCTGGCTGATGTTTTGCCGGCATCCCAAATAACTTCAAACGATCGAACAGCTGTAAGAAGCAAAATAAATTGCCGCAGGATAAGTAAGCCATAGCATCCTGCTTATCAAATTCTAGAGAGTAAAGTTTTAGATGCAGGTTGGCAAGAGCCAAGGCTTGGTTTTATTTTAGAAACAAATACATTTTAGGATGGAAATAAAAACCTTTGTACCTGAATTCCTCTAAGTGAAGACGCACCCATGTACAGGAAAACTCCATATAGCACTGGCATTGGGATAAACTGCAAAGAGACAAAAACAATCTTATCAAAAATAAATACCCAAACCTGTCATTGTCACACGCCGAGACATTATCCCAGTGGCGGGGGCTACATAACTGAAGCTGCTGTTACAGAAATAAAATAATAAAAATAATCCTTGCATTTGATATAGTGTGTGTGTGTGTGTGGGGGAGTGAGAGTGAGAGAGTGAGTGTGAGAGTGTATGAATGTGTGTGTGGGTGTGAGTGAGAGTGAGTGTGAGTGAGTGTGAAACAATACATAGCCACTGAAATATAGCATAATTGTAGGATGTTTTGAATCACATGTAATTGTAATAAAAACATCACAATCACATTGAACAGATGTTGGTGTTAATGCTGATGATAAGAGGTTAAACGTTACCTTGAGAACCGAAGTCATGAAGACAGACAATCCCATCAGAACAAAGATCATGAAGCCGGTGACTCTCTGCTCACGGATCCCCAGGAATTTGGGCTGTTCCCCTGGGGCTGAGCACTCGGACTCCAGCTTGAGGCTGTTGACGTGGGATATGGAGAGAACGGTGGCTGCCACAAACCAGGGCAATCCCATGATGGAGCACACGCCAAGCATGAGAGCCACCATCAACAGATCCAGATGGTAACCACAGCCTTTCTGTGAGACAATTAATGTACAATACAGACAGCATCAGATACCCAGAATAAAGGCAAAAGGCTACAACCACAACAATCACAACCACAACAACCACAAACAGCATTGATATAGCGCCACACAGAAGGCGGAATGATCACAAACGTAAAGGCTGTTCAAATACACGTTTTTGATTTCCTGCAAATTCCCCCATCCACGTCTCACCTTCAGTTTGTGTTCCTTCCTGTTGATAATGACAGCCGTGATCTGTTGGTCCATGAAGATGAGGATAGTACAAAGCAGGGCTGGAATAACAGCGGCCAACACTGTCCACCAGGGGTTTGGACCCAACGGGGAAATCAGCCAGCCGCGGTCATCTCTCGTTGGCTACAATAAATACCAAAGCAGGAAACCATCAAGATGTTTACAAAGGAAACAAGACCCTCATTCACGCATTCATTACATCCACTACATCAACTCCTAATACTCTCCGGAATTAGGTAAGCAGGAGAGCGAGAGAGCGTATTCCATGCCAACAATCTATCTCCTGGATTTCCATGTGTAGGTGGGAAGCATGGAATTCTCAGCTTGGTTTGGAGACTTAAGCAATGGTGATGGGTTTCCGCATATGTCAGACACCCAACTGGCCACCCCCAAAAATACACTAACTCTCTGCTCAAGTGACTTAATAATCCAAAGCTAACTGAAAGCTATTAACAAATGAATAAGACATTTAATAGTCCAAAGAAACAGTTTTGATGTTTGATTTATTAAAACGTCAGAAAATAATAAATGTTTTACTTTTACCTTGAAAACACTGGGAACCTGCAGCTTGGGAGACGGGATTCCGAGACAATAGTCGATCAACACCATGGTCAAAATAGCCAGAAAGACAGAAAAATCACTGACTGATGATCTTACCTGTGCAAGGAAAATAAAACTCAAATCTTACATCTCATACATTGATGTTCCCTCCGCTAGGCGGGCTCCAACCTGCTCCACGTCTCCCGCCCAGCAACACCCCCACCCATCGGCAGTCACGCCTTCAGTCTCTCTGCTCCCGCCCTCTGGAACTCCATCCTATAATCCCTTCGCCTTATTCCGTCTCTCAAGACCCTCCTCTTCGTCCACGCCTTCGTCTTACCTTCTCCCCCACCCTCCCTGCCCTCCACCCCTCCCCACCTGATCCCACCTCCAGCTCGGGTTCAAATCCCTGACTGTCCAGGGCCTTGAGACGGCCTCCCAACAGGAAACGCTCGGTGTAAATGTAACGTGTGGTTTTGTCGCAGCTGCTAAGTGTAAGGTTAAAGAGTGAAACAGCATTAACATTTACAGACTGTAAAGCTGCTTCACGTCTGGAAATAATTCAATAAACTTATAATGTCACGGCTCACCTTCTCCAGGAAAAGAACCAGAGATAAAAATGTGACCTTTCTATTTAAATTAAATCTGAGCCAAGTAGTAATATTGGTTTATCAGAAACATGTATCTTTGCTTCAAACAACTGCTACTCTTGTGATGCCCACTAGATGGTAATAGATTCCACATTAAGAAGAGTCACGGTTACTGTCTTGACGAAATAGTATTTGACAAAACCTACTATTCCTTTGCAAACACACAGTGAGGTTAAGCATCATCAGGATACCGACTCAAGAAAAGTCCCGTTTAACACGTTAAGAAAGCCGTAACAATAAAACAACGTACCTTTGTTGGAAAGTACCGGCTGGTTTTAAACTGTTTGAAGAAGTGTGACAGCGTGCAGGTGGAGAAGAACAATATAATCGACCAGAACAAAACATCAGGGACATACGGCCCATGGTGTCCGCAGGCACTCCCCAAAAACTCTCCGTAATATTGGATACATTCCTGAACACAGAAACATAAACACAGCATCTCACACATTAATACAACCGTAAATATGAAATAGGTTTTTTGCAATAGGTGACGTGCCTTCTCAAAGTGAAGGTAAAAAAAACATTCAGTGACAGAGTGCTTCTTTATAGAGCGCTTTATCTCAAAAGATTTACAACTGTTCATACCTTGTTTTCTAAGCGCTCCAGGATGCTATCCCACGTGAAGGGCGCTATATAAATGCAAGTTGTTGTTGTTGTTGTTGAACTGTAGATGTCCCAGGAATACATCCTAACAGACCTTACGCAGTCAGGGTGAACTTACTTGCACTTATTTTGAGAGAATTGTCAAAAGCTAACTCTTTGAATCCTCCTAAAAGTCATTTGAAGTAAAATACAACAACTTGCAATTATATAGTACTCTTCATGTTTGGATAACGTCTCAAAAGTAGTTGTGTTGTACTGAATTAAGGCAATACCATGTTAAACATTTATACCCCAACATGACATACAGAGTTGTTCTGAGGTTTAAAGTTGATTAGAGAAATAAAAGAAAAACTCAAAGCAAATGCTAATATGATGTACAGACTCAGTCAACACCAGAGAGCCATCCATTTAATCTCCCCATCTGCCAATGAGAACATACTGGCTGCTCTGTCATTACAGCTTGATAGGTCTACTGTGAATTATTGTTTCAGCTCCTAAAAACACACAGCACTTGTGCAGGGTTAAGATTCTTACCAAATAAAGACTTTGGTAACTGCACAGAAACAGACAGGAACAAAACATAAACGCTAAAACGCCAGTGAACCAATGAAATATTTTCTCAAGCGCTTGCTTATCCGAATTAAATTCCAAATCCTCACTGGCCTGATTGGATGATTCCCATAAATTTGAGCCTTTTTCCTCCCAATTCTGCAAACGATTCCAAGCTTCGCTCTGAGATGTAGCTGTTGGCAGTTGGATAGAGTGGCCAGAAGGGATTTATTTAAATTGTTTCAATTAATTGAGGCTTTGTACCGCAGTGTGGTATAGCCCTGCTGTGTGAAATAGTTGGATCTGAATAAATGTGAACAGAATTTACAAGCAGATTCTCTTACTTGCCCCAGAGAAATGATTCCTTTTCTTTACAAAAAGCAATTGTCATAACTGAGGTTATAAAGAGATATATAGAAACAAACTCCTAACATACGATGAGAACATTACGTACTAATACTGAAGGCATAAAGACACAATTTGTTAAGCACTTGTTAAGGCAATACTCCCAAGAGTTTACTGGCATTGCAAAGACAAGTAGCATTTCAATAGCCATATTTACAGATAATAATGTCGCCTTATTATTAACTAAATAGATCAAGTCCATTTTGTTTCGACACATCGGGAATTGGGTCATCGTATTTGAAACTGCTGTGAGATTGGGGATCTCCCTGGTGTCTATGGAGCATATGGAATAAAGCTCTCGATGTTAAGCTCTCAGTCAACAATAACAAAAATGAAAATAAACCTTATTCATTATGCAGTGGTTCCCAGGACTTCAAACATCAAGGAAGATCATTATGAGATAGACCAGAGAGATTGCATCTGTCTGCTTGGCAGCCGACAGATATTCCTCCCACCAGATATTGGAGGTTGTATCAATTGTACAGTATATAGTAATGAAGTTTTCACAAGAGAGTGGGACTTTTCGGAAGCCATGGCTTCTGTCCCCCTATTGTCCGTGGCTTCATTCATTTCCTGTCAAATGTGGAACCAGAACTCTGAGAAGAAGGGGAATCCTTAGTACAACCACACAAATTGTGCCTTTGTGAAATTGGCTTCTATTTTTCCCAACAGATGGCGGTAGGAAGAGAAGCAGAAATGTTGGCAATACCACAACAGGTCAACCAGCATCCAAAAAAAGAAATTGTTGCCAGATTTTGGGCCATTGCCCTTGACATTATCTCCTTGTTCTAACCTTCAAATGCGTCCATCATACCCCCATATCTCCCACTCTGACTGTGAAGTACATTGGGATATTTTGCTCTTGTTGATGACATTATTTAACGGGCAGACATGTTTATCTCTCTGGTAGGGATGGAAATAATTTATGATAATTATGGGTACTTCAGCTTTGAGGGAATATAGAATAAAATAATATTTACTTCACAAGGTTTCTTTGGTAACCCAGAAGAAGGATTTCAATGTTGATTGGGTTGAAAATGGTGCAAATAAATCGGCCTCTACGCCCCGAAACTCTGGAACTCTCTCCCTCAATCCCTCTGCCTTGCCCCCACTACCCCCAGCATCGTGTTCCACCCTGTCAACAGCTCTGGGACGCTACGCTGTGTGAGGAGTGCTGTGTAAATGCAAGTTGTTGTTGAAATGGAGGGATTCAGGAATGAGCAGATCAGAATCAGAACACTGAGAAATCTATTAATGGCTTGTTTAATACGATCTTGACATTATATCCTCATCTAACATTTCTTTTCCTTATTCTCTTTGAAATGAGTGTTTCCCCAGTTTACATCGCTGTTTAAGTCTTACGTCAATGATCTGCTTGAAATGTGATTCCTTTGCTCATTTGTAAAGTAACATCTGCTTTACACTTCTACAAAACTCTTTCATTAGATTCCTGTATGTGTGCAATGACCCAGAAACTTTCTAATGTTATGAAACTAGGATTGACCTGGTTTATGCTGCTTGGCTTGAAGCTTGTTCAAACATCTCTGACGCTGTATAATCTGGGCCATTTATATAAATCTTCACTGTCAATACGCAGTGGTCATCACATCTGCTTAGCATGGACTGCAAGGATCGGAATACTGATGAACAGGGTGAATTTCCACACTCCTCCTCAAGATCAGGTGTGAACTGGCTGAAACAGGTCCACAATCTTCATCTATTTATCAGGATTATTTAAATATGTGGTGGTGTAAGTCAAACAGGCAAGAAAACAGACACACACAAGGAGTTCAAAGGTGGACTTACAGACACAGTCATATTTCCCCATTTGAGTTCCGTAGCTGTTATATTGTGGTTTTCCCAGGAATGCAACGTTTTATTGCTAGGATTTTGTGGCTCTAGACAAACGCATCTGTAACAAAAATCACAAGAAGTTATACTTTGCCCAGAAACTTTTTAAAACCAGACCTGGATCCTCTTAATGTCATCCTTACTACAGGAATAATCAGTGATTGATTTGCCGCCAATGGTGGAAATGGTTTGCCCTGTTTGATCACACTGACTGACTGAGGGGTGGACTGGCATGTGTTGAAGCTTACACTGACCTGCCATCTATCGTTGTCCAGTCACTGTCACACGCCTAAACACAATACACGACTGTCTGTAGTACGCGAAAAGGGGAGAAATGCCATTGCCATAAAATTAACCTTTTCATCCACCAGTTCTGTTTAATGCAGCTGCTGTTAAAAGACCATAATTTCCTAGGTTCCTCTACCTCAAGTGTTAATTTCCTGCCCCATTCCAATTGTGATCAGAAGGCTTAGATAGTAGAGTTACTTTAAGTACCGTGACTGCTTGCTGTATGTTTCTCTGAGCAGTTTAAAATTGACAGGACAATGAAAATGCCAATTTATCCAGTCACGTATTACAAATATGTCCTCCACAGGAGCCAATCACAGATGAAGTCGAACATTAGTCAATCCACACAGACTGAAGCACTCAAGAAATCTCTCAATGTTTTGCTCAGAAAATACACAGTCACTACACTTTACAGTATATTCCTTGAAGTGCATTGAGACGTCTCGTCTCGAAGACGTGATAAGGTGTTGTGTCAAATGGAAGGATTATTATTATTATTAATGATAGCATTACAGAGCGGCTAGGAGTTATGGTCTATTTTTTTTGTCAGGTCTGGAGAGCACATTTCCAATTAACAATGTATTTTTTTATTGATTCTGTACGAAGAGACCAGAGAAGATGGTGCCAATACATACGAGTAGTGTGTGAGTTGCTCCAGGCTGTTGTGCATGTTGATGGGATAGGTCTCGCTCAGGTGATAGAGCTTCTCCAGAGCCTCGTAGATGAATATGATACAAATAAGGGAAGCGAAAGCTTCCTCTGTGAACCTGGTGATGTAACGCACCAGAGAGCTGGCATCTGTAGCCACGAGCAGCAAACAGAGAAAGGCAGTCCATAGGCCAATACATGTCCTCAGGGATAGGTACGACAAGCCATATTCTCTGTAGGTCAATAAGACACATTAGGAACGTACTAACAAAAGAATTTTCCAGGCGAACAAAGACCAACAACAACAAAACAACAACACAATTACATTTATCACAGTGCCTTTCACGTTAGGAGGACGTCCCAAGTTCCATCCAGTTCGCCTTCCACCATCCTGGCAGTCGCTTGACATGTCGTGTCCCAAAGTATATACCGTATCCCCAGATATTATTTCCTAACAGAAATCTATCTAATTTGTTCTTGAGACAAACGGCACTTTGAACTGCCAGGTGAATAGGATGCGGTGTACATTAGATGCGTTATAATAGAAATTAAAAACAGAAGTGGCTAAGAACACTCAGCAGATCAGGCAGCATCTACGGAGAGAGGAAAGTGAGTTAGCGTTCCAGGTCCATGATCTTTTGTCAGATCACATTACGTGATATAATGTTTCTTGTTCAGCAAATCAGAGATTTGGGGAAAAAAATACATGTTTTTTCAGACATAATTTTGATATTGAGAAAAGAAACACAGTGTGATGAAGGCAAAATATTCCAGTTATTTATCCAGCACATAGCGACGTCTCAATCTTTACAGAAAATGGAAGGAAACAGTGAAAACACTCACTTGCAGAATTTAAACAGGATCTTTTCGAAAACCAGGACTGGTCCCGTGCTGCCAAGGATGGTCAATGGTTGTCCAGCAAACAGGGAGTAGGCGATGCCGGTCATGGATGCTCCAAACAGGGATTCAATTGCACTCTGCAAGGAAATTAATAATAATAATCTTTGCATTTGATGCAGTGCCTTATCATGTCTTTGAGACATCTCAAAGTGCTTCACAGGATACACCGTAAAGTGTAGTGACTGTATGTTTTGTGAGTGAATTGCAGCACTTGATTTTTTTTTTGGGGGGGGGAGGGGGGGGAGGAGGAATTATTACCCCGGGAAAGTGATCTTCCAATCAACTAACAACCAGGTTCCAACTTACGGCAAGGAATTTAAACATTTTAAGCATTCGTATGGAAGTTGATGAGAGTCTTTTGAAACAAATAATTGTTTGAGGCATTTGGACGTTTTAGAATAAATAATTATTAATCTTACTATTCGACCTTCCGTAGCTTCTCCCAACAGCCCACCGAATGTGATGACCGGAGACATGCAGGCACAGTACAGAAACAGGAAAGACGCAACACATTGCAAGCTGAATGCATCCTTGATGTCACTCCAGAAATAGGGAACTCTTCTTTTGACATCTTCAACCAATCCACCAAACAACCTGGATTCAGATATTGAATAAATAATTAATAGGTAAATCTAATGCCACAACATTAGCTATATATACAGTACAGTGTCAAAGGCCTCTATCAATTGATGCAATGTGAAATATTACAACCCATTTGATCAATAAAACATTACAGAATATTTTGTACAAAATGTCAATTTTACCATTAATATAATTTTAACCTTTTACAATTAGCAAAGTTAGACTCGGTAACAAATGAGGACTGGGGCGCTTCTCTAAATAATAATAATAGCCTGCCCCAGTTTTCCCACAAAATACAGTAACTCCACTTGACAGTATATCCTATGAAACGCTTTGAGACCTCTCAATGACGTGCTAAGGCGCTGTATCAAATAGAAGGATTATTATTATTAATTATAAACAAGTAGCATGTTCACTCACCTTCCTGTTCTCTGTAACTCAGGCCCACTGTGGCCCCCATGTTCCTCGGCCTCCCCGTGGCCTGTGGTTCCGTTTGGTACTCCTGGAGTTTTCCTCTTTTCCTACAGTAAATAACAGAGGAGAGAAAATAACAGAGGAGAGGTGTAATGTGTTGTCTATTTAGATAGCAGTAAGTGGGAACCTGGTTGTCGTTCGATTGGCAGATCGCTTTCAGAGGGTAACAATCCGCAATTGAGGTAAATATGCACGTTAATACAGTAAACGGCCAAAAAAATACCATCAATGCACTTCACATATTATTATTATTATAGTAAATCGTATCAGTTGGGATCATATATTTAATATGATTAATATGATTTATGCAAATGATGAGTTATGTGAAGCCGCACATAGAATATAAACCCTTGAACGGGACTTGAGCAGAGATACGAACAACTCAGGCTATTGATTACATGGTTAATACAGATCAGACTTGTGTGAGTTTTACTGCAGTAAAAATTAAATGTAAAAATGTTGATCCCACAATACCTGGGAAGGGACGTTTTTGGGAGGCTCGATCCGGATTGTTGGATCCCACTCTCCAGGGGGCAATACAGTCACTTGGTCAAGAAACTCATCAACCCCAGCGACCAAGTCATTCCGATCTTTTGCTTTATACGCCACATCATGGAAAACCTAACACAGTTACAGACACAAACACCAATTAGCTGCGCTAAAGTTTGCTCAAACAGCATCGGTTTGCGTACACAGTCAACAACCTGGGCCCAATCGGCTGCCGTGTTTCGCCCACACAATAAACAGTCACTACACTTTACAGTATATTCTGTGAAATACTTTGAGACGTCTCAAAAACATGATAAGGGGCTATATCAAATGCAAGAATTATTTATTATTAAAACATGAAATGGGTCTAGAACAATCCTCACTGTCACTCTGACAGGGAGGGTGGTCCTAGCTGGACAAACAGTGGGAAAGCTGGCCAGATAGCGATATCAATGGCAAGCCATGTGGTTTTAGCTGGTTAGACACTCGCAGTTACCCCAACGCAAACTCTACAAGAGCTAATTCTGGATCACAATGAATTAATTGAATTTCAGCACTTGCCTCATCAGTCATGAGAGTCGCGATAGACCTGCCAATCTCGTGGAACTGCGGGCCTTTCCCAAGAGGTCCCAGGAGAATAAACAAAAATCTGTGTCGTGGGGGAAAAGGCAGCAATGTGTTAAATACAGGAGTGCATCGTGATTGCCATAGAAAAACTAAATATTTAATAGTTTTGCTTAAACCTATCTGATACTCAATTGCATACAGCAGCGTCCCACAAACAGTCGTGGGTTGAGTGACCAAATTATTATTATTTATTTATTTTTGAAGGGAATTTGATGCCTTGTCTGATAAACACACACACACGCGAGCACACACACACGCGAGAGCACACACATCATGAGTTGTTTGTTGAGAAGTCACATTGACTGTCCAGCCAGGAGACTGACCGTGTTGGGATTGGAACTTCAGCCACTCCGGAGAGAACAACAGCAGGAGACAAACGAACAAATGCCACAACTGGTCGATCCAGACATTCCAGTTCCCCAACTAAAATATTCGAGGCCTCAGCGCCAGGAGGAATCTTCTTCATGAAGTGAAGATCCACCTGCGGGAGAAACATTATTACAACAGATATTATAAGATTGGGTATGGAGAAAATAAATATGGCTTAAAATCTGATCACTTTCTCACTTATATTCCATCCATGGAATAACTCTATTAAAAGCCTTGATTTTAGGGGCCCATCAAGCAGAGATGCTGAAGCCAAGTGTTAAATGCATCTGGTAAATTTACCTTATCATTTTGGTTTCTCTATAGAAATGACACCCGACCTGGGCAGGGTGAAACCTTGGGCAAGTTTCCTTACTCCACATGCCTCTGTTTACCGAGCAGTAAGTAGGATCCTGGTTGTTAGTCGATTGGTGGATCGCTTTCCAGGGTAATAATAAATAAATAATAATTTGAACATTCAATCCACACTCAATCAGCGCCTTGGGATGTCCTCCCGACGTGAAAGGCGCTATACAAATGTAATTTTGTTGTTGTTGTTTATGGGACGCTGCTGTGCACAATTGGCTGCTGAGTTTCACCCACAAAATATACAGTTACTACACTTTACAGTATATTCTGTGAAGCATTTCGAGAAGTCTCAAAGACGCAATAAGGCACTCTATCAAATGCAAGGATTATTATTATATATATATATTACAACCAAATAGTGCAAGGTGTTGTAACTCAGTTATAAACCCATTGCTTATTAAATTAAACATGTGTTTGTCGACTGAAAACTACACTACAATATAGTGTTAATTCTACCATTCTCACCAACAGAGAGGCTCACCTTGCTGAAGTCCACAGTGCTGTTCTCTCGGCTCACACCAACCTTGCCTTCCAGATTAGCAGGGGCCGACTGTGGGGAGATCATCTGACCTAGATCACAGGTCAGTAAAGTGTTATTGTCCATCAAGTAGAGTGTGTGTATGTGTGTGTGTGTGTGAATAATCTGTACTTCACGTTTAAAAAATTCAGTCCCATTTCTATTTCAAGGTTATTTACCAACAGAAACATGGTAATATTATTTGCATTTGTTTCGCCCACAAAACACAGAGACAATTCACTTTACAGTATAAACAAAATGCAGATGCTGGAATCTGAAACAAAAACAGACGTGGCTGGGAACCCTCAGCAGGTCAGGCAGCATCTGTGGAGAAAGGAAAGTGAGTCAACGTTTCGGGTCCACGACCCTTCGTCAGAACCCTTACTTTACAGTAGATCCTGTAAAGCGCTTTGAGACGTCTCAACAACGTGATAAGGCGCTGAATCAAATGCAAGGATGTTATTATTATTATTATTCATGGTTTTTAATGGCTGTATTTTTTAGATTTGCAGCAACAGAGGTTGGGCTCTCACCATTTTTATCCACTAAGTGAGGGTCAGAATGTTTTTTGCCAATATCAGCAAAGGATCTGACAATAGGAATGCGATTGCTGAGCTTCTTCTGATTTTGATGGTGGTGCCGTTTCAGGAGAGCTTGATGCACCTTTTGACAGATGTCATCGTTTAGCTGTCCGGAGGCTAATTGCTTCTCTAGAATGATGTCTGAAAAAGTAAACGGAAATCAATTATTACTAGATTTTTAAACAAGTTAGATGCGCACCGAGTGTCTGGCTTAGTGAGTTGCCTGCTCCCACCTCGGGTCAGAAGTTTGTGAGTTCAGGTTCAATCAGGACTCGAGCTCACATTCCAGTCGAGGCTGCATTGTCACAGGTTCCAGCCTTGACGTGAGAGATTAGACATGATGTCCTGGTCCCTCCAAGCCTTGGCTCTTGCCAACCTGCGCCTAATACTCTCTGGAATTAGGTAAGCAGGGTGGGCCCCTCCAGGGAGAGTGAGAGAGGGAGAACGCATTGCATTCCAACAATCTCTCTCCGGGATTTCCATGTGTTAGAGGGACGCATGGAATTCTCAGCTTGGTTTGGATGGGTTTCCAGGTGTGTCAGACCCGGCTCGGCAAAAACAAATCCCAGTAATAATGCATTTGGTTAATAAATTTGTACATCACCTACATTATTGCCCTGTGACATACATTTTACAACTCACCTGCTATGTCTTCAAGGCTGCTGGCTTTCATGTCCAAAAGGACTGTCCCATTGAGGATACAACTTCTCAGCTCAAACAGGCTGTGAAGTGACAATGTTGCCACGTACGGCTTACTCCATCGATCGCCGCCATCTTCCACATCCTCCTCAAATTTCAGCCACCTGAAACGAACCGCGGGCAGCTTTGTTCATTAAATGTGCTGAAATTATCAATTATTATTATATGCAACAGCAACAACAACGTGCATTTATACAGTACCCCTCAAGCAGGGTAGAGACCTGGAGCCGGGCGGGGGTGGGGGGGTGAAGAGGAATGTCTTCAGGTGCCGTCTGAAGATGGGGAAGGAAGGGGCGAGGTGGAGGGAGGGATAGAGGAAGAGCTTTCCAGAGTTTCGGGGAGTAGCGGCTGAAAGTGCGGCCACTGATAGTGGAACAGAGGGCACGAGGGACAAGCAGTCAGTAGAATTTTTTGTTTTTCTTTGAACCTGTATTAATATATATACATAAATATATAATAACTGTAAAACCACAACCTCACCAAACCTCATCGCTTAAAGTAAGATTCAGATAAAAATCTAATCACCTGGCGGTTTCTTTCCATTCGGCATCTTCTCCATCGTGCATACAGATCTCATCCAGCTCCGTGAAGAGATCGTGGGGAATATGCTCCTCATCATCATCCTCTGTTCCCAGGATAAACTGCACTCGCTGAGAGGGAGTATCTGTGAAACGTGGACATCACACAATAGTACAGGTACGAGAGGTTATTCTGGTGCAAACAGTCATTAGACTCAGTGACAAGGAACAGATGACAGTATGGGATTTCACCCACAAAATGCACAGTCACTCCACTTTACAGTATATTCTGTGAAGTGCTTTGAGACATTTTGACAATGTGATGAAGCATTATATCAAATGCAAGGATTATTATTATTACTACACATTCAGCAAAGTCACATAATGATCTCCTTTCCACTGGCCTGTTTGGAAGCGAGAGATTTGTTTCAATGCCAGGGTCTCGGAGAAGAAACCTCACACTTCACAGAGCACAGTATTGTCATTAAGCCTTAGATAACATATCAGAACATTCTTCCGTCAAGGAGTTCCTATGCCTATTCATTACAGATCACCACACCTATTCTTTGCAGTAAATTACTTTATCGAGCGATTAAAAGCACCAAATTGCTGCCACGAATCAGGATTATCTGTTATCCTCGGCCCAGACAGTGACCTAAAACTTCTCCTGGCCAAAGCCAGACATTTATCTATCTATCTTTATAAATGCCACGTTTCGACAATTGTTATTTCCATAAAAGTGTTGTATACGTTCATTTAAAGATGACAAACAAATCATGTCCTGACTTAATAGGATATGGAAGAGAAACAGGCATCGCAAATGTGGTTCGATCTTACGTGTCTATGAAGGACGTATAGGTAATCATTAGCTTTATATTTTTAACCTTTCTGATTGCCGGTGTCTACAGAAACCCCTCTCTCCGTGGTTGAGAGATTTCGTACTGTTTCAGCTCACTCACTACACTGAAAAAAACACCATTATAGCAAAGATAATCAAACTTTTTTTCTTGCCTTCTGTTCTCTCACCAATTTTAGAAGTCCAGACTTGACAGCAGCAGCTGCCGATACAATCAATGGTGTGAAAATCGAATCAGATTCAGCAAATCAGGATTGCTGAGAGCGTGTTCATCGTTCCCCCTCACCCTCCCACACACCCCCCACCCCCTCCAAACCATACCACAAAATGCATGAGTGAACTAATTTGCTTTCAGCAAAGACTTAAATCTACTACCATAGACAGAAAACAGCCCCTCTTCCCTCTCCACACCTGGAGTAGTGCAGTAAAACTGTCATCAGTCTGATCTGTACAAATCGTATAATCGCCTAAGTCGTTCAAGAGTTTCTATTCTATGCAATTTTGACATAATTCATACTTTGCATAAGTCATATTAAATGTACGGTCCCAAACTGATATGCCTCAGGTGAGGTTTTACTCAACATTTAGAGAGAATAAAAAGAAGTTAAAAGGAGCAATACATCAGCAAAATGAAAAGTTAAATTTGATTTTAAAAGTGTAAAGATTATATGTTTTATTTTAATGAAGAGACAAGTGAAAACTGCGACTCTGCTATGATCCCGATCCCGCCAGGGGCCGGAGTTCCTCACCATAAGTCGGAGATTCCCTGCCGTCCTCTAAGCTGGAATCTCTCTCTCGGTCTCGCTTGCGATGCTTGTGTCCGCGATGGCGGTGTCTCCTGTGGCTTCTCTTCCCCCCCGGTACATGCACACCTATATACAAAGTCCGGTGGCCTGCACACACAACAATAACACTACAAACGTCAACTGCCTCAGCTGCAAAAGCACAAAGATCGTCTGCAATTATATTCGCTTTGTTCACAAAATACAGTCAATTCACTTTACAGTATATCCTGTGAAGCACTTTGAGACCTCTTGATGACGTGATATGGTGCTACATCAAATGCAAGGATTATTATTGTTATTATTATTGTTATTATAAGTATACCACAAGCAGAATAACAGAACGCTCAACAGCTCTCACCGTGAAATAAATACCTGGTTTTACATTTTAAAAGGTTCAAACTGAACGTCAGACATGTTAGTTTCAGTGGTTCACATTAACAGTGGCATTCACACCCCTGACAACACTGAAATTAAAGATCGTATTAAAATCGTGTGCGAATCATCAGTCGCACATTGCAATCAGGAACCGATTAGAATACCGTAACTCAGACCTCAATTCCCACGGGAACCACAGGAGACACTTCTCACCTCCTACACTTGAGGTTATATTTGTAACTTCTTACGATTCGCTTTCCTTCTTGGAGGAAAATTCAAACAAGATTTGGTTAGGTCAGGGTATTAACTGATATAATAATAATAATAATAATAATAATAATAATCCTTGCATTTGATATAGCGCTTTTCACGTCGGGAGGACGTCCCAAAGCGCTTCACAGAACACACTGTAAAGTGAATTGACTGTATGTTTGTGGGCGAACGCGGCAGCCAATTGCGCACAGCAATGTCCCACAAACAGTCGTAGATTGAAAATGACCAATTTATTATTGTTTTTTGTTTTGGAGGGATTATTATTAGGCTCTGTGTGGAGTAAGGAAACTTGCCCAAGGTTTCACCCTCTGCCTGGAAATGAATTCAGGTCTCTCGCTTGCAAAGCGAGTGCTCTAACCACTGAGCTACAGGACTCCACGATATGGGGCAAGGGCGGATAATTGGAGTTGACGTACAGATCAGCCATGATCTTACAGAATGAAAAACAGGTTCAAGGGGGCTGAATGGTCTCCTCCTGTTCCTAGGTTTCTATATATGCTTCAGTTTCAATGAATTGTAAAATAAGGCTGAATATAACTTGTTGTCAAAAAAAATGTGGTCACTCAATCCACGACTGTTTGTGGGGACGCTGCTGTGCGCAATTGGCTGCTACATTTTGCCCACAAAATATACAGTCAATTCACTTTACAGTATATCCTGTGAAGCGCTTGAGACGTCTCGAAGACGTGATAAGGCGCTGTGTCAATTGCAAGGATTATTATTATTCACATTTATCCCAATGCTTTAACCTACATTGTTTCTGTTTTCTAACACAATTAATAAAAAGGTTGTGCCTCAAATGTTCAGTTGTAACTCCATTATTTCTGGACCATTTTAGCCATTTTTAAGGGGTTTTGTGATGGAGTAATTAATAGTGAACTGTTCTGTAATCTTGACACTGTTAGAGATGAAATGCCTCACAGTACTGGCAACAGTGTGTAGCACGTACTGAAGCTCAGTATCACTGGATTATTTGAAACCTAGCACTTTGGCTCCAATGTGTTAATTACTACAGGATGCAAAATGCAAGACAAACCCCAAGGTGATACTTCAAGCTGTTAATGCTCACAGTATTAAGTAACCAACTAGAATGGACTATGAATTAAATTCACTTCACGGTGGAATAATCTGAGGTGAACATAGCTAACAAGGTAGATTCTACCTGTCTCTTCCTTTAAGAACATATGTAATCACACACAAACCGCTCCTGTTTCTATTATCTCAATGAATTTAGCCTTCGGCAATCAACTTAGCACCACTTGTGAGACACATTTCTCCCACACTTTAACAGGACTGTGCGTCATTAGACACTGTCCTTTTTAAGCCAACTGTCTAAAACAGGGGAGAAAAGCTAAATGGACCTAAATGCTTTGTGGTGAATTTGTTTTTGTGGATGTGTGGGGCAGAGGGTGGGGGGGGGAGGAGGCAGCCGGGTGTCTGACACATGTGGAAAACCATCACTGTGTTTACGAGTCTCCAAACTAAGCTGAGAATTCCATACCTCCCTCTACACATTGAAATCCCAGAGAGAGACTGTTGGAATGGAATGTGCTCTCTCTCTCTCTCTCTCTCCCTGGAGGGACACATCCTGTTTACCTAATTCCAGGAAGTATTAGCCGTAGGTTGGCTTGGGGACACTGCGGGTGCGTTGGGGTAACTGCCGGGGTCTAACCAGCTAAACCGCATAGCTTGCCATTGATATTACCATCAGGGAAATCAGGATGTAGAGGAGAAAAGGGTGGGTTAGTCAGCAGGCAAGAGAGAATTTAACCAAGGCTGTAAACCATCTGATTCAACACCTGAAAGGCTAGAGTTCTGAACCTATGCACAGTTTGTGGTCAGGACGGTCCTACACTGGCCTGGAAACCCAACATGGTCCACCATGAGCAGTAACCTCAGCAGAAACATCTTCATGATATCCCCCACATGGCAAGCTCCCCAGCTCATTTGTGCCCAAAAAGGAAAGGCGTCAAGTAGAAGCCGATGGATTGAGCCAAGGAAACAGAGAGAAAGTGGCTTTACAATTCTCCTCTGAGACTCATTAATCACTATTTATTTTTACCTTCTAAGTCCTCCTTTTCAAAGTGTGTTTTCTGAATGGTTCGTGTTCCTCCCCTGTCCACCACTGCCTCTTCATCATTTCTCTGAAGGAAAGAAACACACACACACACAGCTGTTGAGAAAAAGCTACACTTTCAAAACACCTTAATCATCTTAAACCAGAGATTTCCTTTTGTGTACACACACCCCAACACGCCCCCCAACACACACCCACAACACACACACACACCCCAACACACACCACACCCCAACACACACACACCCCAACACACACCCACACGCACCCCAACGCATACACACCCACACGCACCCCAACGCACACACACCCAAACCCCAACTCACACACACCCACATCCCAACGCACACACACACACCAACACACACACACAAACAACACACACACACATACCACCAACACACCACACAATCAATTGATAAATGATTTTATCCTATTGAGTACAAAACATTCACATTGTTAAACTACCACTGCCAGTATCATTCAAACTCAACGCAACAACAAATGAATAATAATAACAATAATAAAAATACTCGCTTTGGATATAACACCTTATCACATCATTGGGACATCTCAAAGCACTTCACAGAATAAGGTGAATTGACTGTATATTTTGTGGGCGAAATGCAGCGGCCAATTACGCACAGCAGTGTCCCAAAAACAGCCACGGATTGAGTGACCAAATTATTATTACTATTATTATTAAATTTCTGCCTTCAAACTAAAATGAATTTGAAGGCAGAAAGGGATAGGGAGTCCATGTTCACAGTGTTTATAAGCCAACTGACTCCCCACAGATTTCATCTGATGCGATGAGACTTGCAGAAGGCCTTTGTAAAGAAACCATATACAACAAGCTGAAAAGATCAGCCTATTTATATCCTGTGCTATTGAGCAAATTCAGCCTCTCTGTGCCTCCTTGGAGAAACGGGAAAGATTTTCTATTGTGTCTAGCTTACGCAGGCAGAGCAAGTACATTTAATCATGTCTGTATAATTGCTTCAGCCCAAGGACACCTTTACAGATTGGGTACAGAGCAGAAGAAATGCTGTTCTTTTCTTCCAATCACTAACGAGCAACTGTCCCGTTTCAAAAGGAAATATTCAATATAAAAGGGTTAATATTTTTTCAAAAAAAAATAAAAAATTTATGGTACCTTTTGTGTCTCTTAATCCTCACTATGTGCCACCTCGTTTAAATCCTGATGTGCTCATTAAACAAAGCACTACAGTGAATCATGTCATGGTCAAGTGATTAGAACCAGATACCGTGAGCTACAATATTAACATCATCATTTGGGAGGACCTTCCAATAATAATAATAATCCTTGAACTTGATAAATCCCTCCAAAAAACAAAACAATAATAAATTGGTCATTTTCAATCTACGACTGTCTGTGGGACATTGCTGTGCGCAATTGACTGCCGCGTTCGCCCACAAATATACAGTCAATTCACTTTACAGTATATTCTGTGAAGCGCTTTGGGACGTCCTCCCGACATGAAAAGCGCTATATCAAATGCAAGGATTATTATTATTATTATATAAAGCGCCTTATCACATCTTCAAGATATATACTCATATATATATATGTATATACATATACTGTCAAGTGAATTGACTGGGTATTTTGTGAGTGAAACATCCTGACTGTCTCATTTCAATCACAAGCCTCGATGCACATGACAAAGAAAATGGTGAATGCTGAAACAGGGGAAGGGGGAAAGACTCTGGGCCAAGGAGAGTGGAACTACAAAAGATTTTAAATTAATGTATTACATTGTAGGATTTGAAGCTATACCCAGTTAGTGACAATAATAAAATGCAAACAACGTAGAGATGTAATGTAAAACTGCTTCTCAACATATGTGAAAATAGTGCCAGAGAGCACAACATCTATTTTTAGTACTCAGCGTTCCTCTGGGATGGATTATTAACCTGGATGTGGGTTAATGCTAAGTCTGGTTAGATTTTACACGGTCATAAAATTGAAGGTCATAAATATTTCATACATTGAGAAGAGCAAATGTTTTGCCAAATTCCTGAAACTTTTCTGGTTATCTTTAGATTGATTTGATGTTGAAAACAACAATAGTAATAATCCTTGCATTTGATACAGTGCCTTATCAAATCTTCAAGACGTCTCAAAGCGCTTCACAGGATATACTATAAAATGAATGAACTGTATATTTTGTGGGCCAAACATGACAGCCAATTGCACACAGCAGCGTCCCACAAACAGTTGTGGATTGAGTCACCAAATTATTATTTTTATTTTTTTGATGGGATTATTACCCCTGGAAAAGTGATCCGTCGATCAACTAACAACCGGGTTCCTACTTGCTGCTGGTAAACAGAGGCGTGTGGAGTAAGGAAACCCGCCCAAGGATTTGCCCTGCCCGGGAATCAAACCCAGATCCTTTCACTTGTGAGGTGAGTGCTCTAACCACTGAGCTACAGGGCTCCACCAATATTGGTACAATTTAGACATTGTCCATAAAAAACATATTCTACCCAAACATGGAAGAGATTATTTGGAAGAAATGAAGTGAAGAATTTACCAAATCCTGGGAGATTTTACTGCTGCTTCTCTCCCCCTGACCTGAAACAATTTGACCCGGTCAAACTAGAGTGTGTACACAGAGCTCTTAGCTGATTAAACATAGACTGGACAACTTTCCATAACATCTGGACTCAAGCAGACCAAAGTCACAGCACTGTAGGAGGTCACTGGCTCCTTCTCACTACTTCTATCTGCAGTACACCAAGCTCCAACACTGCAACCATGTTGAGATGACTCAACAGTGTGGATGCAATAGATTTCAAGGCAACTGAATAACAACTCGTGAAAATATTTTCACCAAAATCAAGAGTGTGGTACACACACACACACACGCGCACACACACAACAGGTCATCATCTGTTTGTGTTGCTCAACCCTTAATCGGAATGAGAAGAACACTTTGCAGTTTCACAGCGCGAGTGTGACTCAAAGGGCATTTTACAATCTGGAGGAGGAGAAAGTGACAATCTGTCGGGAATAATGGTGAAAAGATCAGTGAAAATCTGGTATCGATTGAATTCGGCAGTACTAGATTTCAATTGCTCATGTTAATAAAACATTAAAATGATAAATAAGCATCAGTAAATAATAATAATCCTTGCATTTAATATAGCACCTTATCACGTCTTCGAGACTTCTCAAAGCGCTTGACAGAATATACTGTAAAGCTGGAAGAAACCCCAAACAAACCTGGCATATTATTCCCACCGAATGTGCAATATATTTGTTTATCACGGTATTCTTTGAAAGCAAAAAAGCAAACAATTCAAACTTTATTATCATTCGCTTGCTACATTTGTGTTCACAGGACAAAATCAATGTTCAAGACTTACAAAATATATATATTTATATATATATATATATATATATATAGTGCGCATTCCATTCCAAAGAATTTCGCTGGGACTGCCATGTGTAGGTGGGATGCATGGAATTCTCTGGTTGGTTTGGAGACTCTTAAGTACGGTGATGGGTTTCCGCATTGGGTCAGACACCCGGCTGACCAAAAAAACAGTCATCTTCTATCCAGACTTAGTGATATTCTGCAGACTCATTGGGTGGGAACTATAAGTGATATAAATTATGAAGCCTGCTGTAATTTGGAGAGGTAAAGGAGATTATACATGGAAACTTCACTAAATAAATTTTGCATCTTTTTTTGGGAGAGATACTATGGTTCTATTCAATCCATTTAAAAAAACCTGGATTTGCAAGAGTTTAGGGAAGATTGTATCTAAGTCAGAAATGGAGTCATTTTTCCAGAGACATAGTATACATTATATATTTTATATATTACACACACACACACACATATATATATGTGTGTGATTCTTTGGTACAGAAGGGTGAACTCCAGAGAATTTAAGAGAAATATAATCCGGGCAGAAAATATCAACTTGCAGAACAAAGAAAAGACCAAAGACAATAATTAGTTATCAAAAAAATAAAATGTATATACGTTATTTATATCTCTAACGACACCTAGAGCATCAGTTTGTCGTGCTGTGTGTTATCTCTTCCGAGTGAGCTCTCTATCCTGACTCAGTGCACTCCAGCACTGTGTCTGAGGGAACGAGAGCCGTTCATGTTCCTGGGGAAGGAGAGGATGCCTTGACCCTCACATCTCTACTTACCCCCACGCACAGATCTCCTTCTGAAACCGCTTCATTGTGAAAGTTCCACTGGCTTTCTTTCTCACCTCTCAAGTGCTCGTCTGCAAATCCCCTCAGGCCCTGGCACCTCTCCGACCTGTTTACTCCCCAACCCGCATCTCAAAGCGCTGGACAGTGGAGGAGCGCGACACGGAGCAGGGGGGAGGTGACCGTACGCACCGATATTATTTTTCATTTATTTTAAATATATAAATAATTATTATTTCAGCTATATCACCGTTATTTATAGATGTATCTGATCACGCAATGTGTTTCTGTCACTTAAATTATTTTAAAGCCAGGGTTAGGATAGAAATGAATTAAAAAAAGCACCAGAATGTTATTGTTGTGAACTAATACTCATAAAGCACATAAACATCTGAACTCATCGGGATTGTCTGGGAATGTTATCACATTGTACAGATGGCTGACTTTAAATAGAAAATCTAGTCACTTTCAATGATCATCAAATCTGTCATCTGACCCCAACAAACAGAAAAGGACTCAAAGCGAAAAGAGCATGAAGTAAACAACATAACAAAATGTCAGCCACCTACATGGATACTGTTTTACGAAGCTTTAAAATAAATCCCAAATATTTCTGGCACCTAACAGTTAATAACTGGACTTTATTGTTTTTTAAACATGAGGCTCAAGAGATTTTAAAACCCAAATATTGTAATTATTGATTAACATGTGTCTATTTAATTTTAAACCGATTAAGGTTAAGAAGTTACAGTCAAGCATTCCTATACTTATTATTATCACTGAATTTTCAACCGGTTTAATAAACCACGATGTGAAGAGAAAGTCCAGATTTTATTCACAACATTTGGGTCCGTTGGAAAGAAG